CGTTTCTGCCACGATTCGCTCTGTCGTGCGATTATTTCCCATTAGTCCCCCGTCTGATCCTCACCACCATCCTTTCGCGGTAATGGCTGCGCTATCGTTCACTCCAGTCGCATCCGCGACCTCCGTCACAACGCGTTGCCTCCTTCCGCGCGCGTATGCGCGCCGCGTCCCCCAGGCTTCCGCGCTGTCGTGGACGTCGCAAAGCCCCGCGTTCGTCGCGCTTAACGCTGCGGTGACCGCTCCTCCACCGGGGCGCCATGGACATCGGGGGCTGCGAGTCGCGGTTTCTGTTGCTGCAGAGGCGACGACGCAAGGGATGGGCTCGAATAAGGTCGGTAGCTAGCTTCTTACGAGCTTCTTCTGCGAGTTTCTCGCGCCTTCACACTGGCAAGCACAGATTTCTTCCCGTCTGAGCTCGGCTTTAAACACATCGGAGCTCGACTCAAAACACATCGGAGTCCGCTCTTGGCTCTGGCAAACCCTTGTTTTCCTTTTTACTCATCCGCTCTACCGGGTTCGTGATCGCCCGTTCTTATCTCTAGAACTGTCCCAACGGTCAGAGGTCTCCGAACCGCACTGCGTCCTTCTTCGAGGTCACCCGTATAGCATTGTACAACAAATTCAAGTCACTGCTTCGCTACCTCGCTTCCCTCGCTCTCTCTCCCTCTTTCTAAACTCCATCCTCCCCCCTTATCTCCCCGCCTCTCCCCCCGCCTCTCCCCCGCCACCCGCCTCGTCATTCTTAACTCCTATTACAGTCGCGTGAAAAGCGCTCGTGGACGTGGCAGCGCGCCAACGGCCAACCGAACATAGAGATTAACTACGTAGTCTACCCTACCTCCGGCTCGGACCCCCCCGAGTCGCTCGTCCTCTTCCTGCCGTCCTTTTCCGACGTCAGCACTGTCGACGAATGGGACCACGTGGCATCTGACGTGGCAGCGCTAGCGCCGCCCAGCGCCGCGGAGGGAGGGCGCCAGGTGGCGACTCTGGATTGGCCTGGGTTTGGCGAGTCGGAGCGCCCGGCTCTGGAGTACACGGCGGCTATTATGGAGGATTTTCTGGTGGACTTCGTTAATCACATCGGTGAGGAGTGGTGGGAGATGGTGATGAGGAGTGGGGAGAAGCTTCGCAGGAGTAGGAGGGAAGTTTGTTGAGGAGTCGGGGGGAGTGCATACATGCAGCTGATGGGGAGAGTGGGAGGGAGGAGAACGTGGGAGGGAGAGGGGAAGAGAGTGAAGGAGGCCAGGAAATTTGGACTGACCGTGCACATAGGATGGGATGGGATTCTCACTTACACTTCTTCCTCCTCCTTCTCCTCCTCCTCCTCCTCCTCCTCCTCCTCCTCCTCCTCCTCCTCCTCCTCCTCCTCCTCCTCCTCCTCCTCCTCCTCCTCCTCCTCCTCCTCCTCCTCCTCCATCTCTCAATCCCACTCCGCCTGTCCCTACCCCAACACTCACTTGGACCCCTTGTGCGAAGCACCCATCAAAATCCTCCTCCGCTCCCCTAGGTTACTTTTGAGTCGACTCAAAAGTCTCCGCCTGTCTCTGCCCCAACACCCACTTGCGCCCCTTGCGCGAAGCACCCATTAACCCCGTCCTCCGCTCCCCTATCCACTCGCTTTCAAGACATCACATGTCAGGGGGACCCCACCTGCCCTCTCCCCACCTGCCCTCCCCCCACCTGCCCTCCCCCCACCTGCCCTCCCCCACCTGCCTTCCCACCACCTGCCCTCCCCCCGCCTGCCTTGCCCCCACCTGCCCTCCCCCCACCTGCCCTCCCCCCACCTGCCCTCCCCCCGCCTGCCGTCCCCCCGCCTGCCCTGCCCATCTCCCTTCCCTATTTCCCCTCCCCACGCCCCTCTCTCCTCACTGCCCTCCGTAACCCCCTCAACACCTGCTCCTTCTTCTCCCACCCTCGCCCCCTGTCCCTTCCCATTCCCATTCCCTTCCTTCCCTCGCCCCCCAGGCGCCGGTAGGCGAGTGGTGCTGGTGGGAGCGGGGCACGCGCCCGTGGCAGCACTTAAAGCCGTGGCGGACGGGCGACTCAAGGCGGCAGCGCGGGGGGGTCGCGTGGACGTGCAGGGAGTGGTGGCAGTGGCGCCCACATGGGCTGGCCCGCTGCCCATTGTGTTTGGTCATACCGACAAGATGCGTCCTCGGTAAGTTACGCATGGGGGAGCAGATGGTTCTTTCCTGCCTCAAGGTAGCAGCGCAGGGGGGATGCGCGCGTGGACGTGGAGGGAGTGGTTGTGGTGGCCCCCCCATGGGCTGGCCCGCTGCCCATTGTGTTTGGTCATACCGACAAGATGCGTCCTCGGTGAGAAGGGAAGGTGGTAACATGAGAATGCGGGGGGGAGGGGAGGGTGGACGTGCAGGGAGTGGTGGCAGGGCAGTGGTGGCGCCCACGTGGGCTGCCCCGCTGTCCATTGTGTTCGGTCATACCGACGACAAGATGCGTCCGCGGCGCGGTGCGGTGAGTTGCCAGACAGAACCTGGGCTGGGACTCTGGCCTTGGTGTTCCCTTGGCTGTTCTGGCTGTTCTGGCACACAGAGAGCAGATGTACTGGCGCCTCCACTCATCTGCCTGCGTCAAGGCACCTGTGCTTTCATGTGCTGGTTTTTGGAAGAACCCAGGGCTGGTTTCTTGAGACGTCTCAAAACACTTCTTCAATTTCATGTGCTGGTTTTTGGATGAACCCAGGGCTGGTTTCTTGAGACGTCTCAAAACACTTCTTCAATTTCATGTGCTGGTTTTCGGATGAACCCAGGGCTGGTTTCTTCCCTTCCATTCCCCCCTCCCCCCATTTCTTTCCCCACTTCCCCTTCCCTGCCATTTCCTTTCCTCCACTCTCTTCCCCACGCTTTCCCTCCCCTCCATCTCCCACCCACTTCCTCCATCCTCCATTCACTCTGCTTTCACCCCTCCTTCTCCCTCGTCGTCTCCCCCCCTCTCTCCCTTCCAGCTATGCCATATTCCGATCGCTCGTGCGCTCCCCAGCTCTGGGCTGGGCGCTCTACCGCTTCGCGCTCACCTCGCCGCGCAACATGCGCCAGCAGTACCTCTCGCACGTCTACGCCGACGCAGACAACGTCACGCCCTCGCTCCTCGACTCCCGCACCTCCATCACGCGCCGCCCAGGCGCTCGCTTCGCCCCCGCATCCTTCGTCTCGGGTCTTCTCGACAGCGTGAAGACCCGGGAGGAGTTTGTTGGGTTGTTTGCGCGGGCAGAGGAAGAGGGAGTGCAGGCGTATGTGGTGGCTAGCAAGGGTTGCCCGAGGCGGAGCAAGGCGGAGATGCAGGCTGCCAAGGGGGCGGCGGGCGTGGCGGGGTACGTGGAGGTTGAAGGGGCGTTGTTGCCGCATGAAGAGTATCCGATCCAGACGTTTGAGGCTGTCAAGGGGATTCTGACGGAGCTGAAGGCTTGAGGGAGGGTGGGTGAGGCTGTGACAAGGGTCTATGGGGATTGCTGGGAGGGTGGGAGTGGAGGGGCGTTGTTGCCGCATGTCGAGTATCCGATTCAGACATTTTGAGGCTTTTAAGGGCATTCCGACAGAGCTGAAGGCGTGAGGGAGGGGTGTGGTGGCTGTCAGGGGGATCCCTTGGGAGCTTTCAGGCTTGTGAAAGCATGAGAAGGAGAAGACGCGAGGAGGAACCTGATAGGCGTGATGCAGAGAGCTTGTTTCAGTTATACCGTATGTGTGGAGAAAGGGCGTGGGTGGGGCGTGGGTGGGGCGTGTGCGAGGCCTGGCCCCTGGGGAATGGACGAGCGAGTGGACGGACCTGCCTGCTGTGCCTGAGGGGCCTTCTGAAACGGGCTTGTTTCAGATGTGTGGAGAAAGGGCGGGGGTGGGGCGTTGGTGACCTGTGGCCTGGGGAACGGACTAGCGAGTGGACGGACCTGCCTGCTGTGCCTGAGGGGCCTTCTGAAACGGACTGCCTGCCGCCAGCTGCGTGGTTTGTGTCTGCATTGCATACCGTTGACTCAGGTCATGGTTTCAGGAATGGAGTGGAGTGATCAGCTGAGCCTGTAGCAGGGGAATGGTGTGTGTATAGGTAGGGGCCTTTTACTGAGGTGCATCCAAAGGAGGTAGTAACCCCCCCCTCCCCGCTTTCTTGTGTGCGATGCGTGGTGTGGAAGCGGGGGATGGGAAGGAAGGAAGGGAACTTGGATGAAGGATGGGCTGAGCTCTTTTCTGATCATACCTGACCCGTGTTACACACTTACAGTATGGTATGGTATCACCACTGCACAATCCCAGCTAGAGTGGCTCCCTTACAGAGTGCTGCATTAGTGTACTCGTTATGTGATGAGATTGTATGTGCAAGCTTTGTGCTTTTTTGCACGCGATTGTTTACAGTTACGGTATACAGTTACCGACACAGAGACGTTTTCATGTTTCCCCTATGTAACCCTGGTAATACATCATTGTAGCAAAACATCATCCACATTACAAGCAAAACAGGGGTTGGTGATGCACATGAAGGGAACAACAGTGAAGTGGAAACACTAGCATTGATGTGCCCAATCAATTGTACAGCAACCTCACCACACCACCAGCCAGATATACGGTACATGCATTCCAAGTTTAACACCTGCAAATAAAGGGCAATTCATTGCCGTGTCCTGCCTATACCCATGCCCATTTTCCCCCCTGAGGCTCAGCTTGCTCATCTGCTGGTGACTCCTCTTGTAACTTCTCCTTTCACTCACCCACACACACTCACACACTCACTCACTCACTCACCCACCCACCCACCCACTCACTCGCACACTCACCCACCCACCCACCGACTCACTCTCTCCTCTCACACCCCACTCACTCACACCCCACCAACTCAAGCACTAACTCAACCGCTCAACCACACATTCAACCACTCACACCCCACCCGTGCTCGCTCCCATCTCCCCCCTGTGGCTCAGTTCGCTCATCTGCAGCGCTGCAGCAAACACACAGGAGCCAACCACTCACGCCCCACCTAGTCCCTCACACCCCACTCACTCACACCCCACCCGTGCCCGCACCCATCTCCCCCCTGTGGCTCAGCTCGCTCATCTGCAGCGCTGCTGCTGCAGGGCTCATGCTGCTGTGCTGTGCTGCCTGGTTTATGCGCGATATGGCCTCTGACGATTGCGCTGGAGGAAGGGAGGAGGAGGGGAGAGGGGGAAAGGGGAGAGAGAAGAAAGAACAAGGGATCAAGTTCTAAGAGAGTCCTTGAGAAAGCACAGCAGCAGGGCTCATGCTGCCGTGCTGTGCTGCCTGCCCCATGCACGAGATGGCCTCCGATGATTGTGCTGGAGGGAGAGGAGAAGAAGGGAGCGGGGAGAGAGCAGGGAGAATAGGGAGATCATGATTCAAAGAGAGGTCTTGTGCAAAACGCAGCACAGAACGGCAGGTGCAGAACGCAGAACAGCAGAGGAGAGTAGACGAGACACACCCAGCAGCAGGCGCATGGCAGCAAGGTGCTGGTGTGTGGGCTGGGCGCACAAAGCTCTCTGGAAAATGTGCCAGGATCAGCTCAGCAGATACACAGAGCACGCAGGAAGGAAGAGACACACCCGGCAGCAGGCGCAGGGCAGCAAGGCGCTGGTAGCTGGGCGTGACCTGGTGGCTCTTGAGCCTATTCACAGGCCAAGGCAGCAGGCGCACACAAAGCGAGCAGGAACTCAGCTGGCAGCAGGCGCAGAGCAGCAAGGCGCTGGTACGTGGGCGTGTCCTGGTGAGTCTTGAGCACATACACCAACTCTTGAATACACAGAGAGCGGAGGTAGGAAGGAGCTCAACTCACCCGGCAGCAGGCGCAGGGCAGCAAGGCGCTGGTACGTAGGCGTGTCCTGAATAGCCGGCCCATCCCTCGCTGCCGCTGCCAGCGTCTGTGGCGTGGCTATTATCCCCTCCACCGTCGCATGTGCCAGCTCAAAGCCCCCTGCCACAGGCTGGCGTTGTGGTGAGAGGTGGCAGAGATAAGACAGGAGGGTGGGGGGGTGTGTGGTGGGGTGGCTGGGGGTTGGGAAAGAGACCTCTAAGAATCGTCTGTGGCAGGGACAGGGGACAGTCTATTATCCTCTCCACTGTCGCATGTAGCACCTGTCCCTGAAGCCTCCTGCTACAGGCTGTAGGTGGCGAGACGAGGAAGAGGAGATAAAGACAGGGGGTTTGAGAAGAGAGGGTTGAGAGAGTAAACTGTGACGGTGCTGTTCCTGCCATTGTGAGCAATTGTTCCCTCTGCTGTTGCTTTTGCGAGCTAAAAGCCCCCTTTGCTACATGTTGTCGAGAGATGCAAGATAAAAGAAGGAGATGTGGCAGGGTTGGGCGGCTGGGCGGACGTACCCGCGAGGAATGGATGAGATGGATGGGAGAGTGTGCGGAAAAAAAAAAAAAAAAAGTATAGACACTGTTGCGCATTGTGGGAAGATGGAGAGAGTAAGAGAGGGCGCACCTTGCAGATTGCACTGGTGAGCGTTGCAGAAGGAGAAGTTGAGGCAGACATTGGACAAGGCATGACGGAGTGAGGCCATACATGCACACACACACACACACACTCACGCACGCACGCACGCACGCACGCACGCACGCACGCACGCACGCACGCACGCACGCACGCACGCACGCACGCACGCACGCACGCACGCACGCACGCACGCACGCACGCACGCACGCACGCACGCACGCACGCACGCACGCACGCACGCACGCACGCACGCACGCACGCACGCACGCACGCACGCACGCACGCACGCACGCACGCACGCACGCACGCACGCACGCACGCACGCACGCACGCACGCACGCACGCACGCACGCACGCACGCACGCACGCACGCACGCACGCACGCACGCACGCACGCACCACGCACCCACCCACGCACGCACGCACGCACGCACGCACGCACCCACCCACGCACGCACGCACGCACGCACGCACGCACGCACGCACGCACGCACGCACGCACGCACGCACGCACGCACGCACGCACGCACGCACGCACGCACGCACGCACGCACGCACGCACGCACGCACGCACGCACGCACGCACGCACGCACGCACGCACGCACGCACGCACGCACGCACGCACGCACGCACGCACGCACGCACGCACGCACGCACGCACGCACGCACGCACACACGCACGCACGCACACACACACGCACACACGCACGCACGCACGCACGCACACATACACGCAAGAAAACGGATACACTCAGGCAAAAAAGGCCATTAACTTGAAAAAGGCGTTCTGTCTACAGAAACATAAAAGACGAAACAGGTCGACGTCGTGGGCAGGACGAGGATGAGAAGAAGGGCTCTGAACAACAAACCGAGTGAGAAGTCTTTTGAACAACAATATTTACAGTTGAATCCGTCGCTGCCACGTAAAGACATGGCTCCTATCTGGGACTCCGTGGGCAGGACGAGGATGAGAAGAAGGGCTCTGAAGAACGAACGGAGTGAGAAGACGAGAACGCGGTAGGCACAAGTGGGAATGACTGCATTGACTGCATTGACTGCACTGACTGCATTGACTGCACTGACTGCATTGACTGCACTGACTGCACTGACTGCATTGACTGCACTGACTGCAGTGACTGCAGTGACTGCAGTGACTGCACTGACTGCACTGACTGCACTGACTGCATTGACTGACCCTGCAAGTCCCTTAGCCAGCCCTCGCATGACTGCTGCTGCTGGCACCGCGGGTGACCCTGATCCCTTGTCTCGCGCCATGGCCATGGCCTTCATTGGCTCCGTCTGCATGCATTGGAGGCATTGGAGGCATTGAATGCATGCATGTATTGATGCATGGATGCATGGATGGAAGCAAGGAGAGAACAAATGCAACTTTTGAGGTGCCTCAAAAGGCCGCAGCTACCGGCACAGCGGGTGACCCTGACCCCTTGTCTCGCGCCATGGCCATGGCCTTCATTGGCTCCGTCTGCATGCATTTATGCATCCATGCGTGCATTGGGAGGTGCGCGCATGAGCGCATGAATGTCAAGGGGGGACGAATGAGCAGAGAGACATCATTGTGAGTCCATACCATGCGTGCGCACAGATGGTACATGTGCGTGCAGTGCAGCGTAAGCTACCGCTATTAGCTGTCTAATGGCCATGTGCACTACAAATCCCATTCCCACCCCACCCCAATTCACCCCATCCAATCCAATACCACCCCACCCACGCACCACTATCCCAGTGAGCCCATCATACAGGTCGCTGCTCGTGCAAAGCTACACACAGGCCCCATGCCCACCCTACCCCACCCCACCCCACCCCACTCCACCCCACCCCACCCAACCTCACCACACCCCTTACACTCACCACAATCCCAGTAATGCCATCATACAGGTCGCTGCCAAAGCACCGCATGCCCACCAGAATGCCCTCCCCTATGTGTGCCGGCCGCGACCCATCCCCCTCATCCTTGAGAAAGTCAGGCTTCGCCTCTTCTATCCTCCTCACCATCATGGGAGCACTCGTCACTACCATCCCACCAGCACCGCTATTACTATTAACCCCACCACCACCGCCGCCACCACCACTCTCCCCCCCTGTCAACGCCGGCCGTTCAGAACCCTCCCCACCTCCTCCCCAGCCATTTCCTCCATTTCCCCCCACTCCTCCGCTTCCCCCTCCCCCAGGACTTCCCCCCCTTCCGCTCCCTTCCCCCTTCTCCTCCCCCGCTCCCCTCTCGTCCCCCACAGCCATCCCTGAGCCTAGCTTCGTTGTTGCTGATCCAGGGGACGAGCTGGGCTTATAACGGGACAGAGCTTGAGAAGGGGATACAGAGGAGGAGGACCCAAACGCTGGGTCTAGGTGCAGTGCGGTGGGGTGCGATAACAGCCCCACAGGGTCCTCCTGTCGGGAGGAAGAACCAGGAAACGAGGTAGGGAAGGGGGAGGAGGCGGAGGGGGGGCCATAGAAAGCGGAGGAGGAGGCGGAGGAGGAGGAGGGGAGTGGAGTGATGACGGGGGAGGGGGGAGCGGAGCCCTGTTTGTCTTCTAGTGCAGGTGAGCGGCCGAAGAGCGCGTCGGGGGTACGGCGGAAACCGTCTCCTAGCTGCTGAGAGAGCATCGCCACTCCCTCTACTGGATGCTTGATGGCGCTGGGGAAGTTGAGTTGAGTTGAGGCAAGGGGAGGAGGGGGTAAAGAGAGAATGGGAGGTGAGATGAGCATTCTGTATCGGTGACGCTCCTATCTGCTGAGAGAGCCGAGAGCATCGCCACTCCCTCTACTGGATGCTTGATGGCGCTGGGGGACAGGGAGACAAGACAGGCGGGGGAGTTACGACAGACAAGGTCAAGAGAAGCAGGAGAACATTCTGTTTCAGTGAAATTTCCAGCTGCTGTGTGTGAGTGGTGTGTGAGTGGAGTGGTGTGTGAGTGGAGTGGTGTGTGAGTGGAGTGGTGTGTGAGTGGAGTGGTGTGTGGGTGGAGTGGTGTGTGGGTGGAGTGGGAGTGTGGGGGGGGGTGTGGGTGGTGTGGTGTGTGAGTGGAGTGGTGTGTGAGTGGAGTGGTGTGTGAGTGGAGTGGTGTGTGGGTGGAGTGGGAGTGTGGGGGGGGTGTGGGTGGTGTGTGGGGTTGTGAGGGGGTTCCAGGGGGTGTGTGGGTAGTGTGGGGGTGTGTGATGGGATGGGAGGGGTGAGGGAGAGTGTATGTGGGGGAAGAGGACCGGCTTACTTACCCTGTGATTCCCATACTGAGGCCGTGCATTAGTCCCGATACTCCTTCCTTTGATGCACCCTCTATAGGGTCGTTCTGCATAGCAACAAAGGGTGCATCAAAGGAAGGTGACAACAACAGGTGTATGACATGACATGCACAGCACAGCACAGCGCAGCACACACGTGACACACGCACACGTGACACACGACGCACACGCACCCCTCTCCCTCTCACATGCGCAACACACACAAACCACACATGCATGGCAACAACAGGTGTATGCGATGACATGCACAGCACATGCACAGCACATGCACAGCACATGCACAGCACATGCACAGCACAGCACACACACACAAACGTGACACACACATGCACCCCTCCTCCCTCCCATCCCCCAGTCCCCATCAACACACGTGCATGTGCAGAGCACAGATGACCCGGCATACACCGCCGTATCATCAATACCGGAGTTAGTTAAGGACGTAGCACAGACAGAGCACGATTGTAAGTTGCAACACACTGACGGACCAGACCACAGCATGACAAGACCTTACATGACAAGGAACCACATGCATGTGTGCTGCTGCATGTGCGCTGCTGCATGTGTGCTGCTGCATGTGTGCTGCTCTATGTGTGCTGCTGCATATGGTTCCTTGTCATGCTGTAACACACTGACGGACCAGACCACAGCATGACAAGGAACCACATGGAGGCAGCAGCACACACGGGGTTCGCCACTACCACAGCACTGCACTGCACCCACCAGCAGGTGATCCAGTCCATGCACGAATTTTGCCGCAAAGGCATGCAAGCCCGATACTAGCCCCTCGCCCACGTGCCGTGGTCCTGCCTTCCACTCTGGGGGGAGAATAAACAAGATTACAGCAAGAAAAAAAAAAAACAAGAGGAACACGGCTAGATTTGACGTTTAATAAGACGGCCCTGTGCCTTCCTCTTGTTATCCAACCAACCCTCCCCTTTACATTCCCTGTGGTTCACCTCAGCCAATAGGTGCCCCCCCTCCCCTATGCTCTCCTGGCTCATTCCTCACGCAATCACACACTCCCTCACTCTATTATGTTCAGCACGGCCATTCTGACTTTGACTCAAAAGTCAGCCCCAGCGACAACACCAGCTCCTCTCATCCAGCCTTCCTGTACCACTCTCCCACCCACCCGGCCCACACTCACTCTCCCACCCATCCCCCCCGTAGCGCACCTCGCAGCTTTTCTATAGCGTCCAGAACGGCCATTCTGGGTCCCAGCGACGGCACCAGCTCCGCCAGGGATTCCCGGGACAGCCGCAGCAGCACAGCGCCGTTAACCTGCTGTGTGGCAAACACCCCTCTGTACTCGCCAAAGCCTTCCCTCTGCAGCCACTCGCCCACGCTCTGTGGGGACAAGGAAGGGAGATGCGTTAGAATCAATCAAGAACGAAAACGCGCTCCCCTGTGCTCTCCTGAGCTGGCCCCTGCTTGCCCGTTCACCTGCTGCGCTGCAAACACCCCCCTGTACTCGCCAAAGCCCTCCCTCTGCAACCACTCGCCCACGCCCTGTAAAAAGAAAGGAGATGTTTTGAAGTTTTCACTAGCCAGCAGCAGCACAGCACCGCTGACCTGCTGTGTGGCAAACACCCCCCTGTACTCGCCGAAGCCCTCCCTCTGCAGCCACTCGCCCACGCCCTGTGGGGAGATGGGTCGATGGGAGGTTTGTTAGAGTTTTTTTTTTTTTTTTTTTTTTTTTTTTCAACTGTAGCTCGCCCGTGCTTGGCCGTTAATCTGCTGCGTGGCCAACACCCCCCTGTACTCGCCGAAGCCCTCCCTCTGCAACCACTCGCCACGCCCTGCGGGGCCCGAGTGAATAGGCGTGGGAGGGAGGTTGAGGGAGAGGCATGAGTGTGCGAATCGGGTGCATTGTGCAGGTGCATCGGTGCAGTGTGATTTGGAGGCTGTGCTGCAGCCACTCGCCCACATTCCACTTGCCACAAGAACCCCCCCCCCCCCCCCCCCCCCCCAACCCCAAAGAAAAAGAAAGAAAAAAGGAGGCCTACTTTATCTTCGCTTACCTCTTTTATAACGCTTGCATTTCTTCTCCTGCTTCCTTATCTGTTCCATCCAGCCCCCCTCGCTCTACCTCCCTCACCTCCATAGACCACGACAGCGGGTCGTCAGGGTGCCCTGCCAGTGCCACGTCAGCCAGCGCGCCTCGACCTTCCTCTCGCCCTCCGTCCCACTTCCCGCTTCCTTCTCCCGCTCCATCTTCTCTCCCATCGCCAATGCCACCGCCGCCGCCGCCGCCGCCGCCGCCGCCGCCTCCGCCGCGTCCATCGCCACTAACACTTTTCCCCGCGCTTCCCGTGGCGTATCCGCTTGCTGCTGCTGCTGTCAGAACCTGATTGGATACGGCGCTGCTGCTGTTCGCGCCTCGCTCTGCGACGTCCTCATTTTCGCCTCCCATGCGAGCTCCCTTGCAAGCTTCTTTGCGAAATTCCTTGCAAGCTTACACTTGCGAGCTTCTATGTAAACTTCTTTCTATGCTAGGCGTTTATGCGAGATTCTATTAATAGGTCTGCTTGAGAAGAAGCAGCACGGAAAGGAGGTGGAGGTCGTCGAAGAGGATGGAGGGATGGATGCATGAACCTTTCTCCCATCGCAGAATCGACAAAACGCGTTACGTGCCAGCCTGGTTTAGAGCAGTTTCTCCGCATAAACTGATGCAATGGCGGAATGAGACTATTCAAGACACGGATTTTCTTGCTGAGCTCCACGCACGGGTGGAGTCATGCGGAATTTGGCATGCCGTGTGGGTTGTGTGAATGAAACAAGTTGCGTGTAGCAGCTGCATCAAATATTGCGTGCAGGAGGAGCATAAAAAATCTACATATATTTATGTTTGCACTGACAGGGATTATTCAGTCATCGTTTCTGGTGGATTAATTTATGAAAAATATGTTAAATATATCTAGGGACGTATATTTCAATCTTAGGACAACGTTTCAAAAATGTGTGAGAATATTATTATAACAGAAACTCTGGTTGGCTTGCACATTCTGCGCAAACACGAAGCATTTAAATCGGGGCCTAGTGGTTGTCGTTGTCGCAACCTGACCCAGAAACCACCCGCCCTCGTTCAAGTCAAAACTGCCAAAAACCCCACCGCACACATACGAACTAAAACGCCTATAACTCATGAAAAACCAGAGGTACCTCTAAATTCTACGTACGAACCGTGGAGGTTTGATTATGCGAACGGCAGTTTTTCCTACTGCCACCACACCAGACCAGAGAAGCACACAGATTCCACAACTGCACACAAAAATGTTGTGCGAGAAACGCCTTTCACGGGTACCTCCAGGAAAGCAGCTGGTGACTCCTCGTGCTTACGTCCTCTCGATCTCTCGTTTTATGCACTCGAAGGCGATGCCTTGTATCCTTCGCACGCATAGAGTATGAATCGTTCATCTAGATCCAGTGAACAGCTTCACTCGCAGCGAGTTACAGCCAGTGAGCCGATGGATAGAACCAATCAAGCATCGGATCGGGGTTGATAGTTGAGAAAGAAATTCGGTCAGAGATTCATCCATCACTTTTGGAAGGGTAACTTCCGGCAGAGAACGGTTCAGAGTGGTTAGGAACACAGCCCGGCGAGAAACGAAAGCCATGCCGTCAGTGCGATCGACGTCGGAGATTCCGTCAGCATCCCGCGGTAAACGCCGCTCCGTACGCATTAGACGGTCCGGCGAGTCAACCTACGCGGCGATCACTTCCGCGTTTAGCGGCGGAATCCGCGGGATCGCCTCGCGACTCAGCAGTGCATTCGTGCGAACGAGACACGCGGATGGAAGCGATTCCCGGAGATCATTTGGAACATTTACGTCAGCAGGATGGACATGGCTAGGATGGATTTGGAGAATATTAGGAGCAGGCCGATCGGCGGGATCGGCGGAAGCGGCGGGATCATGGCGGAGAGGCAGATCAGGAGCAGCTATAACGGCGGCCGTTGCAGGCGCGGTGGCGGTGGCGGTTATCGTTCACTGCTGGATCGATATCCTCGCTCAAGTACACACACTCTCCCGCTCTCTTCCCGCCATTCCCCCCTCCTCCCCCCTACTACCCTCTCCTCCCCACCCTCCTCCCCCCCCCCCCACATCCCCCTCTCTTCTTCTTTCCTCTACCCATCCTCCCCGCTTCCTTCGCGTATGGACTTTTATGCCTCCCTTACCCCCCTCCCACCTCTTTCCCCCTTTCCCTCCCCATTCACTCTTTCCCGTCCCCGCTGCGCTTTCTTATTAATATATCCTCCCTCCCCTTCCCTCCTCTCCTCCTCCCCTTTCTCGTGCCCTCTCCCTCTGGATGTTCCTTCCTCTCTCTCATTCTCCCTCCTCCCACTCACCTCCTCACTCACTCGTGCAATTTCCCGCGCTCTCGCGTCCCCTCTGGCATGCACGCGCGCCTGTCGCCTGCTTTTCACCTGCACGCATCTTCTCATGAGCCTACCTGTGTGTGTGCCTGCTGCTGTGATGGATTGGGTGTGCTGCATGATGCTGTGATGGGTGGGGTGTGCTGCATGCTGCTGCTGTGACGGATGGGGAGTGCTGCATGGTGCTGTACGGTGGGCTGGGAATGGAAGCTGTTTCCAGGAGCAAGTGCGGATACTGGCAGCGTCAGCAGCGGCAAGCAACCGAGCCACACTGCGTGAACTATCACGTCTCACAGCCAGCCTCAAAGGTGGGTGGACTTTTGAATCAACTCAAAATGAGTTGACTTTTGGGTTGACTCAAAAGTCAAACCGAGCCACACTGCGTGAACTATCACGTCTCACAGCCAGCCTCAAAGGTGGGTGGAATGGGCAATGGCAGCCTGCCTGCCTTCAAAGCTTTCCATTGAATGTTATTTTTCAGAGTCAGATGGCTTTCCTTTGCAAAGTTGTGGTTCCTTTTTAAGATACCCTCACCTCATGCTGCTTGCTGGAGTGGGCCCTCTCAGGCCCTGAATGCCACTGCTTTTGAATGGCCCTCTCCCAAGCTCGCTGCCTCTCTAGTCCCGTGCTGAAGCTGTTTCGCTGGAGCTTCTGCCTCTGTCCCCGCACACTAAGTTCCTCGCATACCCATCTCCTTTCCTCCATCCCTTTTTTCCCTTTTTTTTCGGTTTTTTTTTTTCCCTTTTTCACCACCACCACAGAGTACGCGTCTCGTCCCCTGCCAGGCTGCATTCTCTATGTGGACGATCGCTCACTCAACGCCTCCCACATAGCAGGCCCCTGGCCCATCTCCCCCCTCTCCAACCCCTCCTCCTCCGCCTCCTCCGCCTCCTCCGCCTCCTCTTCATCAGATGGCCGTGATCCTGACTCTGGTTCCTCCTACCCTCACAATTACATGGAGGAGAACGGGGAGAACATGCCGTACTGGGCTGCTTCAAAGATTATCAACCGGTGAGTGGCACGAGGATGGAACGGAGGAAGGAGGGAGACGCAAGTGGAAGAATGAAGGATGCGTTTGGCAGAGGGAAGCAGCAGAGGAAAGAGCAGAAGAGTGTGCAAGGCAATGGGATTGGCTCGCTTGAGTCGTTTGGTTTCTCTACATTACATGGAGGTGAATTTTGAGTCGACTCAAACGTCACATGGTTTCTCTACATTGCATTCGTTCGACAATCGATAACGATGGTACCAAATGAATGATGACTGCAACGAACTGATTTGTCCCATGTGACCTCTTCTACCCGTCATTCTCTCCCCCTTAGTTCAGACCATAAGGCATACACATTCCATATCTCCTTCCTTGGTGTCTCTTCCGTAAGGCCCCCCCGTCTGTGTCAGAGCAGTTAAGTTTAGTCCATCCTCCCAGCATTTACAGCTGCTATTTCCATCTCCTTTTCTCTCCCATCTCCTTCACTCCCCTTTCCCTCCGTTCCCCTCTCCGTCCCTCTCCCCATAAAGGGCTTATGCGCGCAAGCATGGGTACCGATTTGCTGTCATGGATCCCACGCGGTACCAACAAGATCGACACTCCTCATGGTTCAAGGTAACAAACAAAATTAAAATGGTAGTGGTCGAGCTGACTTTTGAGTCGGCTAAAAAATACCAACAAGATCGACACTCTTCATGGTTCAAGGTAACCAACAAACCCACTATGGTATGGATCGCTAGGCGACTCCTGGATTCACTCCAGCGGTTTAACACTCTTCCTGGTTCAACGTAACAAACAACTCAGGAATAACCCTAAACCCTGGCATGTATGATGCCATGCCTGCTGCGCAGGTGCTGTTCATCCAGGAGCAGCTCACGTGTTGCTGCCGGTGGGCCTTCTGCATTGACTCTGACGCCTACTTCCGCTTCAACACCCACCAGCTCTCTGTGGAATCCTGGCTCTCCCAGCTGCAAATCGACGTCAGTTCTTCTCAATTCTTCTTTGTCTCGTTGGATTTCAACTTTCAATCATTGTCTTGGTTCTTTTCGGCTTCAACAACGCATTCAAACTCTCTTTCTGTCGTCTGCTCTCCTTTTGCATTCCTTTCTCCAATCGGATCATGCAATTACTTCTCATGCAGGGCTACTTCGACTGGATACCCAAGGATTACGGGGCTAGTCTGGTAAACCAGACGCATTTCCCTCGGGACCCAGCCACGCTCCTCCTGCCTGACGACGGCGACAAGGATGCAGTCTTTGCGCTCTTCCCCCGGAACGTGGACGACCGTTACTCGCAGTACCCGCATGCTCGAGCAGAGGCGCTTTTCAACCCTGATCTCGAGTTCATCAATGCTGGCGTATCCCTCTGGAGACGGTCGGCTGCTGCGATTGAGGTGAGCTGTTGTGGCTTTTGAGTCGACTCGACAACAGTCACCGCAGTGCCCGCATGCCCAGGCAGAGGCACTGTTCAAAGCTGGTCTCCAGTTCATCAATGCTGGAGTCTCCTTGTGGAGATGGTCGGCTGCTGCGATTGAGGTGAGCCATGTGGCGTTGCTGCTTCGCTCGTTGCTTTAGGCAGGTAATTCTGCACTTGGAGGCAATTGCGTAACAAGCCTGCTTAGGCGCAGTCTATTCCTAAGTGGTGTGTTGCTCTTCTTGGGCAAAATGCATTGTACGTTTATGTTCAATAATGTCTTTGTATAAGGCTGTGTAGTCTTTTCTGCTCCTTAACATGTGGTGTTTGCCTTCCCCAATCTCTCAGGCATTGCGTGTTTGGTACAGGGAGCAAGAGGAAAGTGAATCTCTATGGGAGCACCCTTGGGAACAACGTCGCCTTGCTCGATTGGCTGCCTTCTATCGCAAAAACATGGTCATTGTTCCCTTTTTGGAACTCACTGGCCCGGATGGGCGCATGGTTCGGCATTTTTGGAAGGGCATGGATAATCGGGAAGAGATGCTTAGATTGGCTGTTCTTGGTTCTGTGGCTGCCCATGAATTATACAATTAAGGTTTCTATCATGTATGTATAATAAATATTTAATAGAACCATGCGATGAATATGGCTCACTGCATAGGACAGAACCACTTATTTGCTTTGTAGGGTCCAAAACAGGCCTGTCGATGTTCCTGGGGCCCTTACTTGGAGCCCCCAGCTCCTCCCTACCTGACCCTGTATTGGCCGTAGCTGAGTGTTTTGGCGCCCTTAACGGTCACGGGCGCAGGCCAAAGTGGTAACTTGATATCCGGGCTTGCACTTACACTCTCTTAGCTAAGGGAAAGTTCGGCTGCTCCAAAGCTGACTAAGAGAGATCACAAACACGGGATTGGCTAGAAAACGCCAAGGGAAAAAATCCCCTTGGCGCGCTCTCGTGCAACCAAGGAGAAAGGGGAGGGGGGTGGAGTGGGGGGGTCAGGCAGAATTTCTTGGGGGGGGGGGGGGGGTTCCCTAGAACCGGAAATCAAAACTTTGTGGGTGGGGAAGGCCTGTTTGGAGCACTTAACGCATCCGGGGAAGGGTCGAACGAAGCACTTAGTGGCACGGGTGCAGGGTGACCCTAACACTTAATGCAGTCGAGCTGGAGCGAAAGTAGCCCTGAATTTCAGGGCATTAAGGGCATATGCCCGTCAATCGACAGGCCTGGTTCAAAATGGCAGCCGCCCTGCGCCACGGTTTTTGGTTTGCTATGGTTGTCTATCGCGGTAAGGACTGCCAGATCATCCTCTGATGAGTCAATCACGCCGCATTATAGGTTGGTCTGACCAAGTTCATCGGCTCGCGTTCTTCGACCCGCCAGCTCACGTATTCTTCAAATTGAGTCATCACCAACTGAATGGTGGCGGTTTTGGGAGCGAATCGACCGTCATGACAGCTCCAGTGAACCGCTCTGCAGTTAGCCTTCGGCTCCACACCGTTTCAACTGACGCCAGTTGCTCTGGCACCTTAGGGATGCCAAAGTGGCGCGGAAATCCGAACCAGAGACGTCGGTGCGGAAGGTCTGACCCGCGCTGCCGGCTAGGGCGGCGCGACTCGCCCTGGTGGCTTTGCCTGAGCGGCTGACGGATTTCTCCTGGCGACAAGAAAACGTAAAATCGCCAGAACGCGTCACTCTTCAGATTTCAGTGCATCGCCATAATTCCGTGGACGAAACCTTGATTAACGATTTGACCGCCCGGTCGCAGCATTCCGTGTCGATCGTCTGGTGGTCGTTAGGGTCGCACTGCGTAACCCTGTTTTCGCAGCACGCTGACTGTGGGCGTCAAAGCAGCCGACGCGCCTGTACGCGCGAGAGTTGCGCGGTTGCGGATGGGTCCGCTCCGCACTTTTCGCCCAACCCCAGGGATGGAAAGGTACAGGGACGACAATCGTTCAATGCAAAGTCATGTCGCAATGGTTTCGTTACATGGTGACAACAAGTCGTCACCTGCTATTAGTTTCGCCAACTCCGAGAATATCGTCAAATGAATCGTGCCCAGATTCCGTTTCTCTGAAGAAGCTTGGGAATTTGGGGAAGCACTGTTTCACGAGCAGGCTTGTCAAGAAGGTTTCTGTTTCTCTTGCTATCACGTGTCTCCTCCGCTCCAGCGATGGTTGTTGCACCATCCTCCCTTCCCTCGCTTCCCAGAGTCTTCTATCTTCAATCAGTAAGGCATAAGTCCACGATCTCTTCTTCCCCGATCCAACAACGTTAGGAACTTGCTGACGGTCGCAGAAAAAGTCGAGTCCATCCACGACAGGAAAATAAGCTCAACAGAGGATCTCAACAATTGAGTTCTCAAACTGGGGAGTACGAACTGGAGCCGTCTACATGTTATTGAGAGAAGCCGATCTGCTAGTTTGCAGTCTACAAGTGCGGATGATCTAGAAAATAGTGTATCAGGTAACAGTAACGGATTGTAGCAAATCGGAGTAGGCAACTAGATTGAATTAGTCCGCGTAGGTGCGCGCGACATGGGTGCTAACGCAACTAAAGCGGCAAGGCACGTGCTCAGCACGCGGCCGCACGTGCTTAAGAACGACCTTCGCGACATCTTCGCTCACGCCGCCGAGTCGAACGCGCATCGGCAAGCGCAGGCGAGCCGCTTCCGCAGCCGCAACAGCCGCGGCAAAAATCAGGACGGGGAGACAGCAGCATGCGTCGCGGTTGACGATGACGAACGGAGATGCGAACAACATCCTAGCGAAATTGCGCATGGAGATGGTAACTCTTGTGACAAGGCGGGCTGCAGGAGTGCAAGTGGTGCGCGATCGCGCGGAAGAATGGAGGGGTCGGCGGAAAGCATCATGGGCCCTTCCGCGCGGGGAGCTACGTCGAATGCGCGGTGCGCAGAGAATTGCGGGCAGGGCTGCGGGGAAGCGTTTCCAGTTGACCATATACCCTCTTCGTCCACTTCCGCTTCCGCTTCCCCGGTCATCCCCATGTCTGCGCCCATTTTCCGCCAGTCCGTTCCGCCAGCGTACGCCACCTCCTCCTGCTCCTCCCCGTGCTCGCTCTCTCTGTCGTGTTGTGACGAAGGCTATGGCCTCTCGTCCACGCGTGATAGCTCCGACGCTTTCGATGCGGCCGGCGCGAGCGGCGAGCTTAACGGAGGCAGCGAGGTTTTCTGGGACCGGCCGCAAACGCCGCTGCTGCTGCTGGAGTGGCAGGAAAAAGTGGTTGGGGAGATGGACGATGCGGAGGATGAGGAGAGGCGCGTGGCTGCGACCGTTGACGGGGATCGCGGAGGGGAAATCGGGGAAATAGAGGTCGACTGTTACGCGCGCAATTTGCGTGTGGGGGGAAGATTCAGAAGCGATAGCTCGGAGGATGAGGAGGACGACGCGTTTAGAGAAGAAGGGTTTATTGTTCGGCGCAGGAGAAGGAATAGTGCGGACCAGAGCGTATCTACCAGCAGTGTCTCTGGTAAGAAAGATTGTAGCGGAAATCCTGAACCACAAGCGGGGTGTGTCAACGGCTGTAGTCAATTGGCGGGCGAGGTGGGATTAGAGGTCGGTGAGGAGTTTGATGCTGGCGTTGGGGGCTTGCTGGGTATAAGCAACCTCGTAGCAGCGACTAGTGGTAGCGATGCAACCAGCAGCAGAATTGGCAGGAGCGGAAGTAGGAATAGGAGGGGAAGCCAGGATAGGAGCAGCTGCAGCGGCCATGACGGCAATCGAGGCGTGGAAAATAACGCTAAAGAGCCTACTTCTGCTGCTTCAGCAGTTCTGTTTTCAGCCACCGATGCGTCTACTGGCAGTGATGCTGGTGCCAGTGCTGTTGTTGATGTTTTGGCTGGGAATGCTACTTGTGAGCCCGTTGCTTGGGATTGCGCAGCAGCCGAAAGGAGGGAAAGTTCTCTTAAGGCAGAGGTTGTCAGCAGCAGGAGCAGTGTACTAAAGGGCTTTGGGGGAAGGAGAGAAAGGGGAGGACGAGCCTTCTGGAGCGGTCATTTGGACGTGAAAGAAGCTAGTTCTGGTAGCATATGGTCAAATGTCACAAGTTGGAGACCCGCTGCTGCCGTAGCTTCAGGGAAGGCAGCAGAGCAGGCACAGGATGCGGGAATAGGCAATGGAACAGGAATAATGAGGAGCAGTCATGACACATCAGATGGTCACAGGCGTCTCGGCAGCAGCAAGCACAGTAGCAGCAGCAGCAGCAAGCATGAGTGGGCGCTACCAGCAGCAGTTGAGCGTTTGGTGTGGCATCGTCTGCGCACAGAATCAGACAAGCCTGTACTGCCTGGGCTTTTCTACAGGGTTCATACAACGGACAAGAGTCGGCGTGAAAAGACTCCAAATTGGGAAACGTGACTTGAAGCAGGTGTACTACAAGTCAAGCGCCATACTTGCAAAGCGAGCACTGTTGCAGCAGTTGTACCTACAAAGCAGTACCTAAGAATCCAGCACCATACTAGTTCATTGCTTTGATCGTGCACTACTGGTGCCAATTTTTCTGAAAACTCTACTGGTGCCAATTGTTCTGAAAGCTGTACTAGTGCCATTTTTTAAACAAGCTGTACTGGTGCAGTGTAGTAGAACTGAGTGAAGTCAAATGCTAGTACGCGGTACTAAGCTGGGGTATAGTTGACATGCTACACAAAATATGTTGCACAATTATTATTCCTAACCTCTACGAAGGCTCGGATTAACCTGACAGTGTATAGAGACACAAGCTATTTAGCCACTCGATGCTTAGCACGGATAAACCGTACTAGCGAGGTCAGCCCTGTTTCTTCCCAGGCAGCGCGCCTCGAACCACTACGATCACGCGAGCTATATTCCCGACATGTAATCGACTCCACCCACACGCCCCAATGGTTTCCCCTTCACCAGGGGCCCCTCGCCAGCCCTCGACGAGTCATTAATATTGAGGTTACTAAGTTACCCTATTGCACGACCTGTGCGGGTGCGACGTAGAGCTGTCCGCGAAGCAGCCCCTTGTTGAACTTCTCCGTGTAAACCTGCACGTAGTACTCTCCCGCGTTCGTAATAATCGAACCCGTCTGCTCGGTATCAGCCTGCAAGCACTTCATCTTGTTGCTGATCTCGAGGGTTGTGGACAACACGATTGGGCCGCGCGACGAGTACGTGGCGCGGTGGAGGTAAGCGTACGTCGGCTGCACCGGCACGTTAAGGAACTGAAACTCGTAGCAGATGCCCCCTCCGCCGATCTTTGCGAGAAACACCCCCGTTCCCGAAATCCCCGACGGTGGCTGCACCTGGTAACCATACAGCACGGCGAAAACCGTCAGCGAATCCGACAGCTGGCCGCGAAGCGCACCCGTCGGCTGACCGGTGGTGGAGAGGTTCAGATAATGCGCGGGGGGGTCTTTAAGAACCTCGAGAATGGCATTAGGATCCGGAGTCACGGAGTTCATATCGCTGACTGCGGCTTTCCCGGGACCGTAAAAGCTCACAAGGTAATTTCCTCCCTTCTGACCCTTACCACCAGCAACGAGGTTCGCGGCGGTGCGAGGGCCGACGGCACGTGAGAAATTGAGCTGGTACTTGGCGGAATAGAGCGAAAACGCCATGTCAGCGACAGCCATGCAGAGCTTTCCGCCGCAGCGCGCGCCAGCTTCGGCTGATGTGGCGGCGGTCATGAGCCGCGGCGTCGCGACCAGCTGCCCGCGAACGACGCCGCTGACGGTGTTAACTTGCACGTAGAACGACGTCGAGTTGTCGTTAAGGGCCTTAATTAGAGTGTGCTGCACGGAAATGCACGCCTTAGCCGGGCTGCTGCCAGAAGCCATCAGTTTCACCAAAGCTGTTCCGGTCTGCGAAATCGTTGCGTGGTGGAGCACGACGGACTTGACGGCCGGTAAGTCGTCCGACGGGTAGAACCGGTAGCATATATCGTGACCGACCGCCCGGTCGATGCGGAATTTGACGACGACGAGCGCGGTTCCGCGTGCCGCCGGCTGCGGCGCGTTGGGGTTGTTGTCGTGCGCGAGGCGGGCGTACTTGGGCGACGCGAGGCTGTAGAGCGCGAAAATAATCGGGCAGCGCACGCCATAGTAGCAGAAGTTATCACAATTGCCCAGCCACGCGAGCTGCTTCACGGCCCCGGGGCAGGAATCGAGAAGCTCAGTGCCGATAGCCTGGTAGCAATGGCAGATGTTATCGGGAATGCCGAGGATTTTCTCGCGGTAAATCTTCTGCGCTTTGAGGCAGCGCGCGGTGAAGTCGCCCATGCAGTCCTGCGTGTACGGTTTAGAAGTGCAGACCTTGCACACGTCGGCGAGGCTCGAGATGGTGCCGACGTCTGGGTCGGGTAGCTTGGGCCCCGGAGGGGGGAGGAGCGGCACGGTATCGGGAGGCGCGGTGAAGCCCGGAGGTGGGTCGTAGAGAAATTTCGCGCTGCAGTGCAAGGAGAAGGTGGAGGCCGCTAGGAGCGCGAGTATGCACAGCGCCATGCGACGAGCCATGGCGATGGGGTTCGCGTGGAGTGATCTACGATTGAACGTCTTTGATCTGCAGGAAGCTCTATAATGAGGGGAAAGAGTGACTAGCCGCCGTATTGGGAGAAAAACTCCTGAGGCAAAGCTGGGATGCTAGGGTTGGCGTGAAGTTCACTTCGAATGATCAGATTGAAGAAAAATGGCTAGGCAAAACTTCCCAGCAAAATTGGCGCCCTGCTTTGATCCTGTAAATGTGCGAGACGGAAGGGGCTAAGGCCAAAGGAATACGTTGATTGAAACTGTGATTGAACGGGAATGGCTGACCCCTTTTTGGTTGGTCTCGACATGAGCCCTTTCAGGCTCGCGCGACGCGGGATGTTTTCGTTCACCCCAGCTTGCCCAGTTTGTCAAATCGAAGGCCGCGGTCCGCTCTAGAAAAGAAAGCACCCCCTCTGTTGAAGGGAACCAGGGTAGGCTATCGTGAGCGGGCAGTAGCTTACGATTTGAAAACTTTCGCATGTCGGGAAACCTAGGGTGAACAAACAGTCCTCCGCGCAGTCAGAGCGCCACGACACCAGGGTTTCGCGCTTTCTGGTCGACCAGACGCCCTGGCAAATGCAGATTTACTGTGAGGTGTTGGTGGAGGGAGTGAGGCAGGCTTGGGTTTGGTTGTTTTGGATCGTGCCTGCCAACGCGGTTCGGATTTGAGCGCCAGCAATTATGTAGGCGCAACACACCATTCTTTCGCACGACGCTGGGAAGTACGTCACGACGACTGAAATGTTTCAACATTTGTCGCTTGTCGGCATGCATTCGTGATCGTCACTTCATGCGCGCACTTGATTCAACGACTAGCTGGAACTCAACGGCAAGAGGCTGAAATGGACGGCTTGAAGGTCGTGCAATCTGCCGGTGTGCGACCAGCAATTTCGCGCGGACGTCAGACCCAGGGTTTGAGATGCAAGCCGACAAGGATCCTTTCTACTGTTACGTGCAGCTACAAGGACTCTCGCGCTTTTCCGTGCCTGACAGGCTTCCAAACGTAGCATTTGGTAAGGGACACAACAACGCACTGTGTGATTCTATTCGGAAGACAAAATATAATGAATTAAACCACATGAAAATCCTGCTCTTTACATAAAATGGCCAAAATGACTGTTGAATCATGAAAGGCTAAATATTGATCAATTGGATGCCGCCTCATCAAAACAGAAAAATAATTGCTGAGGTCTTCACATGCTGGCACCGTATCTCATGGTTTGGTCCTCCATGATACCGATGTGACACAGCCAAGACAGTTACTACGGTACCGTCCGCATGTCAAAACTGCCGCCTCGAGGATGTACCACATCAACATTCAGATTGTTCGGCTGGTCGTGTTCCAGCATTCTCTACTTCCACGGGTACAAAGGGTGAAGTGCTAGAACCCGTTACAGTACCAAGCACATGCCCCACGTGATGGCAATGCCCCGAGGCACATGTTTCGCTTACGATAACCACTAGACACGTGGGAGCACAGAAGCAGGAGCCCTGTTACCATCAAGTGTAGAGTTGAGCAAGTACACACACACACACACACACACACAACTTCAATTGCCTAAGGAGTTAAGGAACACAAGACTGCCACCATCAATACTGCAGCGCGCAGCAGCCACCTCGACACTCATGGTCTCCAATTTCAGGTCCTGTCCTCCTTATTGCTCCATGACAAGATGCTCCCGATTCAACCTACCTCCTTATCTTACTCCTTCCCTTTCCCTCTCTCTACCAGGCAACTAGCCTCATCCCCCCTACACCTTCACCATCTCAAGCCTCTAATGACCCCTTGCCTCTTCTCTTGCCCCCCACCACCCCTCCTCCCAAGGCCCTTCACCCTACCCCTCACCACCCTTGGCTCCAATCAAACCTCCTCTCGTGGCGTAGGCTCCATCTCAGAGCGTGTATCAAAAGCATCGGCGTCACAAATAACCTCCTAGGGCTGATGCAGGCACACCAGTGAGCAAGACTTCTCACCTTTTCCCCCAAGGCCCTTCACCTGAAGCCTCACCACCCTTCCTCCTCGGCCTTCAAACCTCCTCTCTTGGCGTGGGCCCCATTTCAGAGTGCGTATCAAAAGCATCGGCGTCAAAAATATCCTCCAAATGCTGATGCCGGCAGGAACACCAGTGGTGCGGGAGGGGGGAGCCGAGGAAAAGCGGGGAAAGCGGGGAAAGAGAGAGAGTGAGGAGATGGAGACACAGGGAGATTGCCATAGAATAGTTTGCAGACGAGTGGTGGTGGGGAGGGGGGAGGGTTCTGTGTCAAGCACACATGGAAGGTGCCAGCGCCTTTTGTTAGCACGCCACAGGCCAGCTTTTCAAGCCTCTTAAAATTGCCTGATCATGTGTTAGAAACCCACGTGCCATGGCCATGTGCCATACGCTATGGGTCATGAGCCATGATCCACAAGCTACGACCCACAAGCCGCACGCCAGTGTGGATTCCAGGGGATATAGATGGAAAGATTGCCAGGAGCGCGTCTCCTGCTTGAGGAGCGCGCTCGGAAAACGACCTTTGAGACGTCGCAAAAATACTGATGGAAAGATTGCTAGGGGCGTGTCTCCTGCTTGAGGAGCGCGCCCAGGAGACTGCTCACCTCGGCCGAGGCGAAGCGGACGAACAGGGAACACAGCGATGCAGTCGTGCTTCAAGGAAGCATTCAAAAGACTCAGGTTTCGGGGTGTGTATCTGCTCACCTCGGCGGAAGAGGAGGAGCGGACGGGGAACATGGCAATGCAGTCGGGGTTCCAGGGGATGCCACTATGCGCCACCACGAGCGTCCACACGTACGGCACAAAGAACTCCTCTGGATGCATCTCCTCCTCGTACGTGAACTTGAGCTCCGTGAACATCTGATTGATGGGTCATTAAGAACAACAGGGGAAGGTGAGAAGGGAAATGGAAGAGAAGATGGAGCGTCTTGAATGGGATGCATCTCCTCCTCGTACGTGAACTTGAGCTCTGTGAACATCTGATTGATGGGTCAATCAGCATTGGAGAAGGAGAGGAGCGGAAGGAGAGGAGCGGAAGGAGAGGAGCGGAAGGAGAGGAGCGGAAGGAGAGGAGCGGAAGGAGAGGAGCGGAAGGAGAGGAGCGGAAGGAGAGGAGCGGAAGGAGAGGAGCGGAAGGAGAGGAGCGGAAGGAGAGGAGGAGCGGAAGGAGAGGAGCGGAAGGAGAGGAGGAGCGGAAGGAGAGGAGCGGAAGGAGAGGAGGAGCGGAAGGAGAGGAGCGGAAGGAGAGGAGCGGAAGGAGAGGAGCGGAAGGAGAGGAGGAGCGGAAGGAGAGGAGCGGAAGGAGAGGAGCGGAAGGAGAGGAGGAGCGGAAGGAGAGGAGCGGAAGGAGAGGAGCGGAAGGAGAGGAGCGGAAGGAGAGGAGCGGAAGGAGAGGAGGAGCGGAAGGAGAGGAGCGGAAGGAGAGGAGGAGCGGAAGGAGAGGAGCGGAAGGAGAGGAGCGGAAGGAGAGGAGGAGCGGAAGGAGAGGAGCGGAAGGAGAGGAGCGGAAGGAGAGGAAGGGGAGGGGAAGGTGGAAGTGGGGACGTCTTGAAATGGATGCATCTCCTCCTAGTACGTGAACTTGAGCTTCGTGAACATCTGACTGATGGGCACTCAGCATGGGGAAGGAGAGCAAGGAAGATAATGGGGGGCCGCTTACATTGGATTGCCCATGATCATGGCCAGACCAGCATATCATGACCCATGACCCGTCACCCCTGACCCATGACCCAACCCATGACCCATGCACCAATCACCATGCACAATGCTACCATGGTCAAGCGAATGCCTCACCTGCATGCCCTCGCCCCGCCACGTGCGTGCATTGGCAATGACCACGTCTAACACTCGCTCCACGGACCAGTCGCCGTCCACATCATGGTCGTCCATGCGCACGTTGAAGAAATCAATCACCTGCCGGGAAGCAAGGGAGGACCGAGACAGGAAGGGGAGCATCTCGGTAGGTAGGCACTGCGACAGTGCAAGGTTATGTGTAGTCGTGCATACACTCGCTCGCTCCACGGACCAGTCGCCGTCCACATCATGGTCATCCATGCGCACGTTGAAGAAATCAATCACCTGCCGGGCAACAAAAGGGGGAATGAGAGGACACGAGATACGAAGGTTGAGTGTATGAGGAGGTTGAGTGTGTGCACAGGCAGGCAGGCAGGCAGGCAGGCAGGCACCAAAACAATCGTCCATACACCCGCTCGCTTCCACGGACCAGTCACCGTCCACATCATGGGCGTCCATGCGCACGTTGAAGAAATCTATCACCTGCCGGACAGGGAGGGATGTAGAGCGGTTGAGGGGTGTGTGCAGGCAGGTAGGCTCCAAGACAGTCGTCCATGCGCACGTTGATGAAGTCTATCACCTGCCGGATAGGCAGCGATGTAGAGTGGTTGAGAGGGGGAAAAGAGACAGGAAGGGTGAGTGTGTGAGCAGGGTGAGCGTGTGAGCAGGCAGGTTGGCACCGAGACAGTGCAAGCTTATGTATGGTTGTCCATGCACGTGCTCGCTCCACGGACCAGTCACTATCTACATCATGGTCGTCCATGCGCACGCTGAAAAGGTCTTTCACCTGCCGGATAGGGAGGGAGGTGGGGCGATAGTGACGGGGAAAACAGGTAGTAAGGGAGAGCGTGTGGGTAGGTAGGTACTGAGACAGCGCATGCCAACGCGGTTGTCAAGAGGCGAGCATGGACATGGAAGCGAGCAGCAATAGCATGCTCAGCGTCAGCATGAAGCAGCAATGGGATGTCCACGTTGCCAATGCTCACATTGAAGAAGTCAATTACCTGCAGGATAGGGAGGCAGGTGAGGCGACCGAGAGAGGGAAAAGAGGTAGGAAGAGAGCGTGTGTGTGTGAGCAGGGGAGAACCCAGAAGCACTCCCTTTTCCAAACGCATGCATATAGAGGCAGCTACCCCAGCTCGCACCGTGAAAATGTTTTGCAGCAGCTCGCAGAAGCGGGGGTGGTTGCGGAAGGGCACAAATAGCTCCTGGCGATGCAGCAGCGCGTATACCACCTGCCATGATGCATGTGTGAGACCATGTGTTCATGGGGGTGTGGCATGGATAGGACAAGGTTACGGTTAGGGAGCTTACAAACAAGTGTGATTCGCAAAAGTCAAAAGAGAAGGTGAGAAAGAAGACGAAGAGGGAAAGGAAACACGAAAGAAAAGACGAAAATGTATAAGATGAATGAAACGTAACAGATGAGGAAAATGTAGAAGGAAATGGAAATGTACAGACACAGGACATGCAGTACCGGTAGCAATGAGTCTGCCGAGCAAGCAGGACAGGCATGGATGACACGGAAGGGAGCAACAATCACACACACAGCTGCAGTGATTTCATTCACCTCGGGGTTCCGTGGAAGGGCATAGGTGAGAATGGCGTTGATGATTTCGAGGACTATGCGGAGAAAGTCCGTGTAGATGTGCAGCTCCGTGGGCTGCTGGTGGGGGGAGATGGGGGGGGAGAGAGAGAAAGAGAGTGCGCAGGAAGAGGGAGGAGAGAGTGCGGAAGGTGATGCTTGAGTCGACTTATGAGTCGACTTAAAGCTGATGCTTGAGCTGACTAAGGAATGATTTTGAACACTATGCGGAGACAGTAAGTGTAAACGTGCAGGCCCGTGGGCTGCAAGGGGTGGAGACGAGGAGGGAGAGAAAGAGAGAATGCAGCGAGAGAGAGAGAAGAGAGTGAGGGAGAGGGGGAGAGAGAGAAGAGGGAGAGGCAGGAAGGGGAGAAAAATGCATACATAATCCATGATGCTTACATAACCCGTGCTGCACACATAACCCATGCTGCACACATAACCCATGCTGCACACATAACCCATGCTGCACACATAACCCATGCTGCACACATAACCCATGCTGCACACATAACTCATGGTCCACCCACCACACACACCCCATGCGGCATAGATACCCCATGGTGCACACTGCACACACACCCCATACTGCACACACCTCCCCACGCTGCAAACATACCCCACAATGCACACACACCACATGCTGCAGCAGCACACACCCCCACATGCTGCACACATACCCCGTCACCAGCACCATCCCCATCCTGATCCGCTGATTGCTGTCCCTGCGCGTTGCCCTGCGAGTCTGCCTTGCTGGGCATGGGGTGTGCTGCTGCTGTCGACAGTTTCGTGTACCTGGAAATGGGGGACGCGGGGGAGTTGGGCGAGCGCGGCGAGCATGGGGTGTGGGGCGAGTACGGCGAGAGTGGGAGAAGTGAGCCGAGTTGGCTTAAAAAACCACATGCATGCAAACAGGTAAGGGAGACCGTGACGAAAGGGTGTACGGAGTGAATGCATGCGAGTTAGCGCAACAGAGAACGAGAGAGATGCAAGGAGACGAAGCGAGAGACAAGAAGGGGCCGTACTTGCGAGCGAGCATGTGGAAGAGGCTGATGAGGCACATCAACAGGAGGGTGACGTGATGGGCAAGAAGGTGAGGAATGAGACAAGGAGGCAAAGCGAGGGGCAAGGAGGGGCCGTACTTGCGAGCGAGCATGTGGAAGAGAGAGGTTGATGACGCACATCAAAAGGAGGGTGACGAGAGGGGAAAGGAAGAGGAGAGAGGGACAAGGAGTCGACGCGAGAAGCAAGGAGGGGCCGTACTTGCGAGCGAGCATGTGGAAGAGGCTGATGAGGCGCTGCGAGGCGTAGGCGTTGAGGTGGTGCGCGTGGGGTGCCATGTTGGCGAGCGTGGCCAGGCAGTTGGTGTGTAGGTAGATGTCCTGTGTGTGTCATAAGGGTGTGGTGTGGGGGTATGATGGGGAACGGAGGTTAAAAAGGCACCTCGAGCGTGGCCAGGCAGTTGGTGTGCAGGTAGATATCCTGTGGGCGGTGCATGGGGGTGCACGGGCAAGGGGCGTGTGTGGTGGGGAAGAGGCAGCTGAGGGGTAAGGGGTGCCATGTTAGCGAGCGTGGCCAGGCAGTTGGTGTGTAGGTAGATGTCCTGTGTGTGATGCATGGGTGGTGTGTGCATGGGGAGATTCAAACAGCGTAGGATTAAGGGGGGAAAGGAAAGGACTAAGGGTCATCTAGAGAGTAGTGAGACAGTTGGTGTGTAGGTAGATGTCCTGTGGAGGGTGCGTGCATGGTTCAGGGGTGTGTGAGGGGAGAAGAGCAAAGGAAGAGGAGGAGGGACAGGGGAGCACACAAAATTTGACACATCTCACAATGCATACGAGCATGATGGCCATAAACGATCCAACAGACACGAAGAGAGAGGGGTGGATGACGAGGAGGGGATCGATGAGGGGAGGGGACGGAGGAGAGGGGGTGCTGAAGGCGGATGGTGGCTATAGGGGAAAAAGTGGGGAGGGGGGGGGGGGGAGAAGGGGGGTAGCAGATGCATATATTGCACAGCAGCACTGACTCTGAGCTTGGAGAGGTTGTATTTGACGGTGCGGATAAGGATGATGACCATGAGCGAGCCCAGGGAGATGCGGGAGAGCAGGCGCTCCTGGTACCACGGCACAGAGGACAGGATCTGCATACACACACACACACACACACACACACACACACACACACACACACACACACACACACACACACACACACACACACACACACACACACCCACCGCATGGGGATAACGAGCATGGGTTTTAGCGGCGCCTCAAATTGGAGATGCGGGAGAGCAGGCGCTCCTGGTACCACGGCACAGAGGACAGGATCTGCACGGCGTTACAGGGTTGGGGATTGGGATGCGCAGGGGAGATGAGAATTTCAGACTTTTCAGACGCCTCAAAAGCAGGCGCTCCTGGTACCACGGCACAGAGGACAGGATCTGCATACACACACGGCATGACGGCATGGGGATGATGAACACGGGGGGATGCATGGGAGGGGTGGCTACATGACTCAATCTAAGCGCAAGGTTAAGGGGAGATGCGGGAGAGCAGGCGCTCCTGGTACCATGGCACGGAGGAGAGGATCTGCAAGGTGTTACAGGGTTGGGGAGTGGGATGGGCGGGGGGAAGTGGTTTTTTGAGGTGCCTCAGAAGTCGCTCCTGGTACCATGGCACGGAGGAGAGGATCTGCAAGGTGTTACAGAGTTGGGGAGTAGGTGGGATGCATGAGGAAGATGGGGATTTTGACAAGAGCAGCACAGTGTCTCACACGGTTGTGTTGTGGCAGGAAGTGAGAGGTAAAGGGGAGACAGAGGGAGGAGGGGAAGGATGCCGGCGAATGGATTGGAATGGGAGAGAGGGGTTCGGGGACAGAGGAAATGCAGCAAGTGCCCGGTTCCTGACTTCTGGAGAGCATAGGGAAACGTGGCAACAGCTACCTTATCAGCATCAGCAGCGCCAGCGTCGGTGGCAGCAGCAGCAGCGGGTGCAGCAGCGGCAGAGGGTGCAGCAGGAGCAGAGGGTGCAGCAGCGGCAGAGGGTGCAGCAGGAGCAGAGGGTGCAGCAGGAGCAGAGGGTGCAGCAGGAGCAGAGGGTGCAGCAGGAGCAGCAGGTGCAGCAGGAGCAGCGGGTGCAGCAGGAGCAGCGGGTGCAGCAGCAGTGGTGTGGGGGCACGTACGAGCTTATGGACATTGGCGTTGAAAGAGGCGTCTTGCGAGAGGATGAGGAGGATGATGAGCAGCATGTACATCTGGTTGGACGTGCGCCGCGGGGCGTTGTAGAGCATCTCCAGTAGCGGCATGATCTGGTCGCGTGGCAGGGGGGAGTAGGGGGAAGGAAGGGGGAACAGGACAGGGGGAACAGGACGGGGGGAGCAGAGTTGTACAGCATCTCCAGTAGCGGCATGATCTGGTCGCGTGGCAAAGAGGACACAGGGCACGGGGAAACAGAGGCGAGAGGAGGGGTGAGAGAAGGGAAGGTGGTGTGGTGGAAAGAGTAGGGCGTGGGGTGCAGTGGGGGAGAGTGGGAGGAAGCAGGAGGGGTTGGGGAGGAGGGGGGTTGTGCGGAGGGAGACTGAAGTGATGGGATAAGGCTATGTCTGTGTGGGCGACAGGAAATGGGAAGTTAGAAAGGACATGATTGATACACCTTCACATTTGGGCCACATCACCTCCTATCTCAGCACATTACCTCCCCTCACCAAACCACCTCCTCCCACCAAACTACCTTCCCTGTGCTCACCTCACTACCTGTGCTCACCTCATTACCTGTGCTCACCTCACTACCTGTGCTCACCTCACTACCTGTGCTCACCAGGGTGTCAAGATCTGAGCGAACAAGGCAGTAGTCCAGGAAGGCTGAGTTGCCATGAATGAGCGAGTAGAGCAGCAGAGTGGCGCGGTCGTCAGTCAAACACCTGCACCACGCACACACACACCACCCGGAACAGAAACAATCCCGTCAGTCAGTCAGTCAGCGTTTTCCTTTCTGAACTCTGGATGGACAGAGTGATGGGAAAAGCTGATAATATATATTTGCAGCGACAAAAGTTGAAAACACGGCACATTAAAGCAGCAATGATGGAACCAAGAGCACCCAAGGCAAGAAAAAGAAGAGGGCCTGGCAGGTTTGGCGGCGGGGTATGGAAGCCTCACAATCCCAGCGCATCATGCAGCGAGGCGAAGGCAATCCGAACCGCATCCTCACTGCCCGCGCCCACCAGCCCCTGCACCTCCCCTCCCCCCTGCTCCTGCTGCTGCTGCTGCTGTCCTTCCTGCCCTGCTTGTTCTCCCTGCTCTTGTGCTTGCCCCTGCGCCAACAAGGGCTGCTGCTGCTGCTGCTGCTGCTCCTGTGCAAGAACTGCGTCATCTGTGCCATAGGAATCTGCTCGACCAGTACCACTAGCAGCAGCCATCACACCGCTCCTGCCAGACCCTGTAAACGACCCTGTGCCACTGCTACTGCCATTGCCCACACCCGCACCTGAACCTGCACCTGTGGCTGTGGCTGTGGCTGTGGCTCTGGGAGAGGGAGCGGAGGCAATGGCAGGGGTGAGTGTGCCATAAACTGCTGCTGACGTCTCTGTTTCTGCTGCACTCAAAATGGGCTCCACTGGCAAACGGATGGAGCAAGAGAGCACGGGAGTGGGATAGGGAGCACAGGGGATGGTAGAGGACTTTTGAGTTGACTAAAAAAAAGCGGCTGATGTCTTGGACTCTGTTACTCAAAACGGGCTCCACTGGCAACAGGATGGAGCAAGAGAGCACGACAGTGGGATAGGGAGCACAGGTAGGGATGGTGACTGACTGCTGACACGCAACAGCACTTGCAATCAGCTCTACTCGTGTGATACAAAATACCAATAGTATTGCGTGTAAGTAAACCACAATCCAAAAGAGCGAAACACCCACTTACAGTCTACATCTCGCGCGCTGTTGATCGCCCACTTGTAAGGATTCCACCGCGCTTTCCTCACTTGCTGCTGCTGCTGCTCTTGTTGCTGGCTCTGCTGCTGATCCTGATCCTGCTGCTGCCCTTGCATCATCCCTTGCCCGTCCTTCCCATCCATCCGTGCCTCTTGCAGGTTCAACCCATCCTGCAACCGTTGCTCCAGTGCCTTAGCATCTCCCGCTAACCCTTGCACCTGAACCTGCACAGCATCTGCCCCCACACCCCCCCCATTCCCCACCTGCCCCTGCCCTTGCTCCTGCCTCAACCCCCCCTCCGTAACCCCCACCCGCCCCAGCTTCTCCGCCTCCTCCCTCTGCATCTCCTCCCACGCCTCTCTGCTCCCCACAGACGGACCGTAGTGAGTCAGCGCGAGCAGCAGCAGCAACGCGTTGTCTGCTAGCGGGCTCTTTGCCACAGCAGAGGAGGAGGAAGAGGAGGAGGAGGAGCTGACGAGGAAGGAGTAGGTGTAGTAGGGGAGGAGGAAGACGGCGACTGCAGCAGAGCCCACGCGGCGCAGGACGCCTTGGCGTGTGGAGAGAGAAGCGACGTAGAAGGGCACGCGGGGAGGGACGGGCATGCGTGCTACAAACATGTGCAGCAGCCGCGAAACAAACGGCACTGCCAGGTCGTGCTGGTGGGGGTGGGTCGGTATGGGGGAGATTTGAGATTTTTGAGTCGATTCTCAGAAAGAAAGTGTGGGGGGGGGGGGGGGGGGGACGGGCATGCGCACTAAACACATGCGCAGCAGCCACGAGACAAACGGCACTGCCAGGTCGTGCTGGTGAGGGCAGGAGCAGGTGAGATTAGGAGAGAGAGTGGTGTGCGTCTATGACGAAAGCCGAATCTTTAGTTGACTCAAGAAGCAGCCAAAGCATGCAGCTCTGTGCCACGTCAGGACCACAGAAACATCACATTTAGGGTTCCAACTCCCACCACCAAACACAACCCCCAACCCCCACACCCCTTCACCCCATACCCTCTCCCTCCACACCCTTTCCCCCCACACCCCTTCCCTCCACGTGCCTGGTTCATGGCTGCCTCGACAAAGAGGTGAGCGTCCGTGGTTGAAGGTGACAGCAGGCGAGGCGAAGCGTGCAGCCCTACGCTCACGACACACAACCACAATTGCAACCCCCTTCACCGTGCACAACCCCCCCCCTGTTTCCCACACCCCTTCCCCCCACGTGCCTGGTTCATGGCAGCCTCGACAAAGAGGTGAGCGTCCGTGTTGAATGCGACAGCAGGCGAGGCGTGCAGCTGAGTGGACATCATCACAATGAGCAGGTTCACCGCCTCCAGATGCAGCAGGTACTTGGTGGCGCTGGTGGGTGCAGGGGGGAAGGAAAAGGAGAGGGGGAAGTGGGAACGTAAGTTGAGGCGCCTCAAACGGCGACAGCAGGCGAGGAATGCAGCTGAGTGGACATCATCACAATGAGCAGGTTCACCGCCTCCAGATGCTGCAAGTACTTGGTGGCGCTGGTGGGTGCAGGGGGAAAGGGAAAGGGATGAGAAGTTTCAAGATGGTGAGGTTGTGAGGTTGAGGGAAAAAGGGAGATTGGATGGAAGAGGCGATGGGAACAAGGAGCGAGGGGTCGTAAAGGAGGGAGGAGGAGAGGGGAAGGGGAAACGAGGGGAGGGAGACTCGAGAAGTGGCAGAGGCGTTGCAGATGGGAGCGGAAGGGGAGGGCAATGGGGAGGTGGTCGGGAGGGTTGGAGAGGAGGAGCACGCTTGGAGTGAAATTGGTCTAATTGCAGGGGTGGATGAGTGAGTGGGTGAATGAGTGAGTAAGTGAGTGAGTGAGTGAGTGGGTGAGTGAGTGAGTGAGTGAGGGAGGGAGGGAGGGGGAGAACTGGGACAGTTGGTGGTTACTGATGGCTCACTCACCTTACATCATGATGTGCAACGAAGGATAGGAGGGATCTCACGGTATCCACTAGCAAGTCATGCCGCCCTGCAATCACACACACCCACACACAAACACATGCACACACATCCGTACACGCACACATATAAACAGACAGAGACACACAGACAGACCCATCCACACACACACCACTGACACACAGAGCCACAACCACACACCCCCACCTTCCCTCCCCTCTCCCCCCCACCAACCACATACGCACACAGAAAATCTTACATCTCCCAACCCCCAGGCCCCCATAACGCACAAACATGCACACACCATCTTGCATCACACAGCCCCCCCCCGATCCCCATCAGGCACACCATAGCACAAGCACAGAAGCAAGGAAGCAGAATAAGAGCCTGACTGAAACACCACATGTGTTGCCCGCACAATCCCCCACGATCCCCCACAACCCCCCACTTTCCCCCACTTCCCCTCACCTCCCCTCTCTCAACACCACCCATTCCAGCAAGAATTACTCCAGACCTCTCCAGCCCACCATCACCCCTCCCTCCTGCCCCCAGCCCTCACTTCCCTTTTCCCCTCCCCCAACACCTCCCTCCCGCCCCCCGCCTCCCTCCCCCCGCACCTGCGTCTCGGCCGAACGCGCGCGCCTCCTCGGGCGAGAGGTGGATGACAAGATGCTCCCAGATCTCGCGGCTGTCGTAGTACTCCACCAGGTGCTTCACGAAGAGGCGCGTGAAGTAAACCGTGTTGATGGCCGTCAGAGGCATCTCCGCGGGGCTGGCGGGCACCTGCTGCAGGCTGCGCATCATGTGCAGCAGCAGCTTGCCGAAATGGTACGTCTGCCGGTTGTTCAGCGCTGGGGGGAGCGCGCGGTGTGGGGGGGCCGGGAGGGAAAAAGCGGGGGTAATGGGGACGGGGAAGGTGGCGAGGGGGGGAATGGGAGGTGTGAGGAAAAGTAGCCAGAGAAGTAACCCTTGAAAATTCGAGCAGACGGCGAGTTACGTGCAGCAACAGTGCTTCCAAGTGGAACGTCCGACGGTGGTACCGCACAAATGCGGAGGGAGGGTAGGGGTGGGGAAGAAGGGGGAGGTGTGGGGGGAGAGAGGGGATGGGGGTACATGACAGCGAGGATGGGGGGTTGGGGGAGGTTATCAACGAAGCGGTCGGCACTGATTCACACACCACAAAAACAGACAGATCGATGTGAACGTGAAATTTATTTAGAAAGAATCTGGGTGCATGTGAGCTGGTAGCAAAAACCTAAGTGCGCACCGACTGCCTGGTGTCACGGACTACTGACACAAACACCGCGCTGATACTGAAGCTGACAATGCCACCGACACTGACGCTCACCTAGCGTGGTGCACGCTTCTCTCGTCGCCTCGTCAAAGTCTGCGGGTTTCATCTTTGGCAACGGGTACGCGAACGACAGCAGCTTCTCCCAGAACGGGTCGTTCGCGGGGATGGATGTGGGGCCCACAAAGCGATCCAGAAGCTCTTCGTGCCCCCCCAACACCGGCACAGACTCCGCCGCCCCCATTGTGTCAATAACGAGGATGGATGAATGCTCGGGCTGGTTTGAGCTTTGGCGGTTCAGAGAAAAAATAAAAAGACCCTAGGTACAGCTCGCCCGTTATCTACAGTTACAGTTACAGTTACCGTCACAGTCACAGTTGTTGTCACGCCGGCTCCACCTGCTTGTGCCGAGCACTGAGGGTTAGCGGACTCCGGCGGAATCACAGGTCTTGAATGAGCTAAGTTTAGCAAGACTAAAACTAGCTGCTAGAACAGGAGAAGACCACAGTTTTAACGTCATCCAAAATGTATGCATGGAAAGCGGGAGTTGATAAACGGTGCGCGAGCCTCAGATCCGCAATCTGACGGCGCACCTCTGCCTTTCCTCGACCCGCTGTGCGTGGATGTCACCGTCAAGCGTCGCATCGGCGAATTATGTCGTACACGTTGGCTAACCGCGAAGCAATCAGCAACATGCTGGTAACCAGATCGAATCCTAAGAGGACCGGCGAAGACAATATATCGGCTCGGTTCACGAAATCTGAAACTACAATAACGCCATCAAGTGAAGGACAACCCTACGCTCCACGGGCTTTGTATGGAGATCTAACATGTGGAATTGCAAGTGACCCGACGCGTCACGTGAACGTGCTAGGGACGCCTCGACGAAATAGCCCGGCAACTCATAAGCCCATCCGTCCTCTGAATGTCGGCTCTAACAATGACGAAGGACTGCGATAACCTGACGGCAGATTCCATAGCTGCATCAGGGTGGCATGAGCATGGACTGATGCTGCTCTTCTTGGCAACTCCGTTGAAAATCAGACCCATTCACAAATCTCCCCCATCTCCACAGCAGCATGTGCTTCCTCCCCCTCCGTTCGCACTGGTCTCCGTCTTGTTTCCCGTCAAAACCTCGTCAGTTGGTTCATCCCGCCTAGACTGTCTTTGCAATTCTGGATCAGGGTGTACTGAAAGTAAGTTTTTGAAAATATCAAACCCAGCCATTCTATCGTATCAAGCCCCAAAATGCTCCACCTACGAATCATGTCAAATACCTAAAGCGAAATTCAAAGACATGCACTTGGAGCCAGAAGCCCCTCCATTAGTATGCAGATGGGCAGAGGCAAGTGACATCATGACATCAACACTTTCAGCCCCCAATGTGCAACCATAATCCAAGTCTGAAATGGAGCCCTAAGGTAAGAAAATATCATGATTCCATGGAGGTGTTTATTGGGTCAAAACAACCAAACTATCGTACTGTACTTGGCTTCAATCTCTGAGCTACTCACTATTAACAGCTCGCATCCGTACATAATCACTACGCGGATTTTGCGCTTGGGGCAGCCGGCAACAGCTGTGTAGGAGGGTGAGTGAACAAGATGGTGAGCAATGTATGGATGGAACAAGACATAAGATATCGGAGGGAGTGAGAGGGAGGGAATGAGAGGTTAGAAGGCCAAGGGAGGGAAAGAGGGGGTGAAATACAAACTGCAAGCTTGAAAGTATAGCAGACGGAATCACCACTACGAACCTGGTAACAAGAGATTAGCGAAGTAAAAAAGCCCAATGCTCCAGTGACTCGAGGTGTGACCGTCTTTGGTGCAAGCTGAAGCAGGCCAATCGCAACAATAATGTCGGTAGTTGACTTCACAAAGTTCAGTTGTCGCTGGCGTGCCTTCGCTAAAGCAGCTAGCAATTGATCTTTCTGCAAACACCAATGACTAGCTGTTAGCCGCGGTTCCCCAACATACACAAGCGAGAGACAGCATAAACGTGACTTACCAGCTTGGCTTGCTCAGTTGCGTTCTTCTTCTCCTTAGCGCGACGGATTTCCTTGCCAAGTTTGGCACAAGTGATGGACAGCCGATAGAGCTCACAGACCTGACGCGCGAAATCGAAAAAAATCAGGCGATTACGAATGCCAAGTGGGCTGTACGCATTCCGCAGACTTGCTCACCTCAATGACGGATCCAACACCACAGCTAGACATCCAGCAGTGAAGGGAAAGCTTGGCTATCAGATCACTTCGTTCCTTGTTCTGCGAAGCAACAAACGCTGCGTAAAATGGAGTTTTCCGAAGGCTTTAGAGCTGACTAACATGCGTACGACAAATCATGTACCTGATAGATTCCAGAACGACCCAGCCACACCACTTGATCCAAGCCAAGGAAAGTAGCCAGCAAAGCACTCTTAATCTGCAGAACGATAATATAACATAGTTGTACTTCATTTTGGAAGAGAATTCTCACAAGCACCAATCAAAAGTGCAACCTCATGTAACCTACCCTTCCGAGCAGCACCAAGAATAGAGGGGTTGTCTTGGGGGCAGGACTAAGAAGATTCTGGATCTCATTGACGGACTGCAAGACATAAACAGCGGAATGCGATTTAGACGCCATCAAAAAGGTAAAAATCGCAATACGAAAACGGCTGCGGCAGAAGTGACCAACCTTCAAAAGCCTGAAAACTTTTCTCGCTAAACTGGTGTTCTTGTCCACAGTGGCTGCAATGCCAGGTTCACCCCCGCTGATGAACTTGGAACCATACTGGATGGCCCTACAAATCTTGTCACGTGTTTCCGCTTTGTTCAAGTACAATGCGAGCAACGCCACGTGAACTCTTGCATCTTCAATGGATGAAACCATGGTCAGAATCCTTTTACTCGAAACCAATTTTTTCTTTACAGGAAAGCCTGATTCAGAAGTATGAAAGAGCTCCGGTTCAGATAGTCGAGCGGAGCTTAGAGACACGTGAGCAATATTAGCCTTGAAGCAAAGTCAAACCAGTAAAACGGGTGCAGGTTTGATTGTGCAATTCAGAGATGATGGAGCGTGGACAAGGTGGAAGGTGGGAGGGGTGAGAGGCGCGGTGGGGAGCCGAATGGAGACACTAGAGCGGACGGGGTGACTGGGCCAGTGAGGTGTGTCACAAACTGCCCTATGTGGGCCAACTGACAGGGAGTCTGGGCCCGATGACGTGTGGAGGTGGTCCCTGATTTCGAACACATGACACGTGGAACAGCAAAGCACTTACAACATGAAACGAAACTGCTGGGCCTAAGCCCACATGTTTCGTGCACTTACCCTAGAAGCAATAAAGCATCACAGACTGTAGTTTACCAGAATATAACTATTCAATTTTACATCTATATCTGGTAAGTGTAGGAGCAGATGTTGGAGAATATATATATATAGATATAGATAGAGAGAGAGAGAGAGAGAGAGAGAGAGAGAGAGAGAGAGAGAGAGAGAGAGAGAGAGAGAGAAAGAGGGAGGGAATTAGGGAGAGAGGAGAGATGGAGAGAGAGGAGGAGGATAGAGATGAATCTTTTACTATATACTTTCAAAATAATAATGTCCACAACAGTGTAACCCACTGTACTTCTGTAGGCATTGTCCTACGATCATGGCATTCAGTCGAGGATACGGAAGGTCACCATTTGCCTGCCACGGCGGATGTACCACCACGTCAGCTCCTGAGCACCAATCCCGTTTCGAGGAGCTCGATTGTTCCCTTGAAATTCCCCCCTCCGTTCTCGAGTGTTTCTCCCCGCTTCCGTCCACGTTGCCCACACCATCATCCCCGCCCACAACCCCGCACCCCCGCACCCCCATTCCCCTCCTTTTTCCCCCAGTTCGTACATTCACCCCACCCCACACCACACCCCTCCCCCCCCGCTCTTCCCCCCTTCCACTTCTCCACCCCCTCACAACTCGCCCATTCCAGTGTTGTTTGTATCATCATCAGTTTGTCTAACGATTCTCTTTCCGTCCACCATTCTGAGGGATTCACTTGCTTCAGCATCACCATCCGCCGCACTTCTACCATGGCTTCCCTTCTCGCCACTCCTGTTCGTGGCCTCACTGCTGGACTTGCTTCAAATGCGGAGGCTTCAGACGCGTGGGTGCGATCCGCGTCCTCGTCATCCGCGCGCCTCGCCTCTCTCCGCGGCACCGGATTCGATCCCCTCCGCCACGTCCGCGCGTCGACGTACCGCCGCCGTGCATCCGCCGCGATTCGCCGAGTCTCGGCATCTGCCGAAGATTCTGCATCAGAAGCATCGTCAGCAACCGAAGAAAAGCCTTCCGTTACAAGCCCATTCGCGGGAAAGAAGATATCGGCCCTGCTAGCAGCCCGCGCCGCAGCCGCTTCTAAGGCGGCAACCAGCAGCGCATCGGGTTCTCCCGCCGCTGCCGAAGCACCAGTGTCGCCACCCGCAGCAGCCGATAGCGCATTTCCCCCTCCCCCCACAACGGCTTTCCCCTCGTCGTTCGCCAAAAGCCTCCCCACTTCCACCCCTACCTCCCCGTTCGCATCCCCCGCTGCCCCCGCTTCCCCTGCACCTCCCCGCGCCAGCCCCGCCCCCGTTCCTGCACCTGCGGATCGCTCTTCCGTGAATGCCGTTGTTGGCGGCTCAGTCACGCCGAAAGTTTCATTCCGCGGAAAGGCCATCGTAGATGCTTTCAAGCAAGGCAGCGGCAGCAGCGCGAAAGGCGGCGCTGGCAAATCCGCAGCCGGCGCGACCGCGTCGTCATCGACGTCAACACCGGCGGATGGCAGAATTCGCGTGGGGTCCCCGCTTGCGCCGGCGAACATTTTCAACGAGGTTAAGCGAACTCCGGAGGAGATCGAGGCGGAGAAATGGCGGTTTCAGGTGAGCCGCGATCAGCTGCTGCTGGCACTCTCCTTCTTCGCGTCGTCGATTATCATGCTCGGAACGGTGTTCGTCGTATGGAAACTGGGCGCCATTCATTTCAACGAGTACTGAGAAAGGGAAACGAATTGAGGCGGCTTATGTAGATTGCAGACAAGGAAACATGAAGAGGGGAACATTAGGAGGGAGGGGGGGGTGTTGGGGGAATTGTGGGATGGGGAAGGATGGAAGAGCATGGCCTTCGGAAGGACGGATGGGGATGGAGGATAAAGTTCAAGAAGGCGTCTGTATTTGTCTCTTCGGAGGAGAATCAGCAGCAGCGGGAGCAGGAACAGGAGCAGCAGCAGCAGCAGCAGCAGCAGCAGTTGGGGAACAGGAGCAGAGCAGCAGCGGATAAGCTTCACTTCCACCAAACATAAACCAATGCTACACTATTGTCTCTGCAGTTTGCTGAATGTAACTGCTGGGATAATAGACGAAGCGTGCTAAGAGATTGTGTTTTGGTTGAGTGGCAGTCGAAGCGGCCGTGCTCGGTGCTAGGCGGTTGAGGGTGTGTGCTGTGACATGCAGAAAGGGTGGGCTGGTATGAGGCTGGAGGAGATTTTTTCGAAGGGGGAGGAGGCATGGGAAGGTGTGGGGGGTGTAGGCGAAAGCAAGTAAGCCGAGGAAGAGGAATATGGTGCACGAGAAGTGATGGCGATGGTGTTGAGGCAGGAAGAAAGTTGTGTGGCTGCTGTTTTGTAAAGGTGGAAGGGAGTGGGGGGAGTGGCTGCGGAAAGGGAAATGTTGTGTGTTCAGCCTAGGTGTTTGATGTCTGTTTATGTCTAACTATGCTGTAGGTACCGTCAATTTTGCTGTTTCCATATTTTTTTTACGGTACATTTATGTGTGCCCTCATGGTTCACATGCTGCACCTTCGTCTCAGATGCGGTAATAGGGTGTGCATGTGCATGCTGAATGGGCAGTGTTGCCAAAACTGTTACAAAGGTGATTATGTCAATTAGTGTTAAACAGACTGCATTAACTAGGGCTACCATGTTATACCAGCTAGCCCTTACATGCTCTACTACCCAGGTCCCACCCACCCACAAGAGAACCCACACTTACGTATCAACAGGTGGGAAAAGCTCGATAGCATACCCCTGCCAGCCAAGAGGCCTTAAAGTGATGCCTATGAGCAGCCAGTCAGTCCCACGTGCATTCGGGTACAGTGATAATGAACCAACCTGTCAAATCTACACACGACAAAGGCTGATGCGCAGGTGCTGACCAGAAGCAGGAGTGAAGAATACTTCATGTAGAAGTACAGACGGAAATCGAGTGGGTCTGTGTGTCAGTCAGCCCGAACTCTGTAACAAGTGGGTTGGGGGAGAAAGCCAGTGCCGTGCCGTTTCTGTGTGAGTTAGTGAGGGAGAAAGAAGCTCGATCCAATCGAAGAGAAGGCATGTGATGTGAAAGGCTTTTCAAGTCGAGTAAAAAGCTGCCCCAGAGGGTAAGGGGTGTCTCAAAACAATCCAAATTGCAGACACGTCTCAGGAGGGGGAGAAGGGAAGGCGCCTCAGAAGAGGTGAAAGACAACTCGTGTCAGGAGAGGGAGATGAGAAGGCGTATCAGTCAGGAGAGGGAGATGACAAGGCGTATCAGTCAGGAGAGGGAGAGGCGATGGTGTCTCAGGAGAGGGAGAAGAGCGCGCATCGGCGGTCCTCGGCAAGAGCTACAGCAGCGGTGGGATCTCCAGCGTTGAGGTTGAGTTGCATGGAAGCAGAGGAGAGCTGCATGGAAGAGAAGGTGACTCGCAGCGTTGCTCCCGCGTACACTGCTGACCCCAAGGGCGGCTGGAAGGTCCGCGCTGCCAGCCGCTGCTTGGAGGGAGGAAGGGAGGGGGGAGAGGGAGGGGGGAGGTGGATGGGGGAACGGGGGAGGGGAAGGGGCGAGGGGATAGACTGCATGCACTTGGTTGATCGTGCGAGAGAGTTGCATAAACCTGACAAGTGCAAACATATTGTGTGTCCGTGGGAGCGAGTGTGGGCATGCATGTCTGTGTGCATGAGTGCATGTGGGTGGGCATGCATGTGTGCGTGCATGCATTTGAGAGTATGAACACACGCACCGGGCCAACAAAGCAGAACTGATTGCTCGCATCCACTTGTGCTCCACTGCCCTCACACACCACGTGTAATGAGTCCATTTTTGAGTCGACTAAAAAATGCGTGCATGTGTGAATGCATACGCACCGGGCCAACAAAGTAGAACTGATTGCTAGCATCCACTTGTGCTCCACTGCCCCCACACACCACCTCCACTTTATTCACATTCGCCGATCCCACATTAAAGCTCTCCCCTCCCCCTCCCCCTCCCATGTCCGCAGCAGCAGGTGCCCCCGCCTCCCCCCCACTCCCATCCCCTCCGCTCCCCCCTCCTGCTCCCCCACCCCCAAACCCGAGCCTACAGAGGAGATTAGGCGAGAGAGGAGAGTCCGGGAGAGCGGAAGCGAGAGGGAAAGAGGGGATCGACCCGTCGTTGCCTTCAAAGAAACAGTCACAGTCCGAGACAGAGACAGATGTGCAGGGTTCCGGGGGAGAGGATGGTGGTGAATCCAGGGACGGTGGATTGAGGGATGATGCTGGTGCGTCAGGCGGGGGAGGGGCGATAGGTGGGGAACGCATAGAGCCGTGGGTGGGGCGGAGCGTGGGGTCGAGGGGAGGGCTGGGGGCAGCGATCAGGAACGGGGGGAGGGAGAGACCGGGGGGAGGGGGGAAGAGGTCAGGGGGAGGAGGGGAGGGAGAAGGGGGAGGAGGGGATGGGGGAGGAGGGGATGGAGGAGGAGGGGAAGGGGGAGGAGGAGAGAAGGGAGGTGGGGAGGGGGGAGGAGGGGAGGGTGGAGGAGGGGAAGGGGGAGGAGGGGAGGGGGGAGGAGGGGAGGGGGCGGGCGGGGGGAAGGCAGGCGGGGGAGATTCTGGGGGCGGGTAGGGCGGAGGAGGGGGAGGGGAAAGAGGGGGAGGCGGAGGGGAGGAATCGGGGGGAGGGGGAGAAGCAAGAGGGGGAGGCGGGGAGGCAATGGGGGGAGGGGGAGAGGCAACGGGGGGAGGGGAGGAGGCAACAGGGGGAGGTGACAGGGGACGCATGGATCCGTGAGTTGGGGGAAGGTAGGGCATGAGAGGAGGGCTGGGGGCAGCAACGAGGAGAGGAGGGGGGGAGAGAGAGGGGGAGGGGAGGCGGATGACAGGAGGAGGAGGAGCAGGGGCGGCAGTTGGTGGTGGCGTGGCAACAAGAGGCTCATTGGTTGTGCCTGTCAGGGGAGAGGGCGAGAGAGAGAGAGGGGCGAGGGGGGTAGGTTGGGTAACTTTTGAGGTGCCTCAAGAGGGGGAGCAGGGGCGGCAGTTGGAGGTGGCGTGGCAACAAGAGGCCAATTGGTTGTGCCTGTTAGGGGAGAGGGCGAGAGAGAGAGAGAGGGGCGAGGGGGGTAGGTTGGGTAACTTTTGAGGTGCCTCAAGAGGGGGAGCAGGGGCGGCAGTTGGTGGTGGCGTGGCAACAAGAGGCTCATTGGTTGTGCCTGTCAGGGGAGAGGGCGAGAGAGAGAGAGGGGCGAGGGGGGTAGGTTGGGTAACTTTTGAGGTGCCTCAAGAGGGGGAGCAGGGGCGGCAGTTGGAGGTGGCGTGGCAACAAGAGGCCAATTGGTTGTGCCTGTTAGGGGAGAGGGCGAGAGAGAGAGAGAGGGGCGAGGGGGGTAGGTTGGGTAACTTTTGAGGTGCCTCAAGAGGGGGAGCAGGGGCGGCAGTTGGTGGTGGCGTGGCAACAAGAGGCTCATTGGTTGTGCCTGTTAGGGGAGAGGGCGAGAGAGAGAGAGGGGCGAGGGGGGTAGGTTGGGTAACTTTTGAGGTGCCTCAAGAGGGGGAGCAGGGGCGGCAGTTGGTGGTGGCGTGGCAACAAGAGGCTCATTGGTTGTGCCTGTTAGGGAAGAGGGCGAGAGAGAGAGAGGGGCGAGGGGGGTAGGTTGGGTAACTTTTGAGGTGCCTCAAGAGGGGGAGCAGGGGCGGCAGTTGGTGGTGGCGTGGCAACAAGCGGCTCATTCGTTGTGCCTGTTAGGGGAGAGGGCGAGAGAGAGAGAGGGGCGAGGGGGGTAGGTTGGGTAACTTTTGAGGTGCCTCAAGAGGGGGAGCAGGGGCGGCAGTTGGTGGTGGCGTGGCAACAAGAGGCTCATTGGTTGTGCCTGTTAGGGGAGAGGGCGAGAGAGAGAGAGGGGCGAGGGGGGTAGGTTGGGTAACTTTTGAGGTGCCTCAAGAGGGGGAGCAGGGGCGGCAGTTGGTGGTGGCGTGGCAACAAGCGGCTCATTCGTTGTGCCTGTTAGGGGAGAGGGCGAGAGAGAGAGAGGGGCGAGGGGGGTAGGTTGGGTAACTTTTGAGGTGCCTCAAGAGGGGGAGCAGGGGCGGCAGTTGGAGGTGGCGTGGCAACAAGAGGCTCATTGGTCGTGCCTGTTAGGGGAGAGGGCGAGAGAGAGAGAGGGGCGAGGGGGGTAGGTTGGGTAACTTTTGAGGTGCCTCAAGAGGGGGAGCAGGGGCGGCAGTTGGTGGTGGCGTGGCAACAAGCGGCTCATTGGTTGTGCCTGTTAGGGGAGAGGGCGAGAGAGAGAGAGGGGCGAGGGGGGTAGGTTGGGTAACTTTTGAGGTGCCTCAAGAGGGGGAGCAGGGGCGGCAGTTGGAGGTGGCGTGGCAACAAGAGGCTCATTGGTCGTGCCTGTTAGGGGAGAGGGCGAGAGAGAGAGAGGGGCGAGGGGGGTAGGTTGGGTAACTTTTGAGGTGCCTCAAGAGGGGGAGCAGGGGCGGCAGTTGGTGGTGGCGTGGCAACAAGAGGCTCATTGGTTGTGCCTGTTAGGGAAGAGGGCGAGAGAGAGAGAGGGGCGAGGGGGGTAGGTTGGGTAACTTTTGAGGTGCCTCAAGAGGGGGAGCAGGGGCGGCAGTTGGTGGTGGCGTGGCAACAAGCGGCTCATTCGTTGTGCCTGTTAGGGGAGAGGGCGAGAGAGAGAGAGGGGCGAGGGGGGTAGGTTGGGTAACTTTTGAGGTGCCTCAAGAGGGGGAGCAGGGGCGGCAGTTGGTGGTGGCGTGGCAACAAGAGGCTCATTGGTTGTGCCTGTTAGGGAAGAGGGCGAGAGAGAGAGAGGGGCGAGGGGGGTAGGTTGGGTAACTTTTGAGGTGCCTCAAGAGGGGGAGCAGGGGCGGCAGTTGGTGGTGGCGTGGCAACAAGCGGCTCATTCGTTGTGCCTGTTAGGGGAGAGGGCGAGAGAGAGAGAGGGGCGAGGGGGGTAGGTTGGGTAACTTTTGAGGTGCCTCAAGAGGGGGAGCAGGGGCGGCAGTTGGTGGTGGCGTGGCAACAAGAGGCTCATTGGTTGTGCCTGTTAGGGGAGAGGGCGAGAGAGAGAGAGGGGCGAGGGGGGTAGGTTGGGTAACTTTTGAGGTGCCTCAAGAGGGGGAGCAGGGGCGGCAGTTGGTGGTGGCGTGGCAACAAGCGGCTCATTGGTTGTGCCTGTTAGGGGAGAGGGCGAGAGAGAGAGAGGGGCGAGGGGGGTAGGTTGGGTAACTTTTGAGGTGCCTCAAGAGGGGGAGCAGGGGCGGCAGTTGGAGGTGGCGTGGCAACAAGAGGCTCATTGGTCGTGCCTGTTAGGGGAGAGGGCGAGAGAGAGAGAGGGGCGAGGGGGGTAGGTTGGGTAACTTTTGAGGTGCCTCAAGAGGGGGAGCAGGGGCGGCAGTTGGTGGTGGCGTGGCAACAAGCGGCTCATTCGTTGTGCCTGTTAGGGGAGAGGGCGAGAGAGGGCGGCGAGGGGCGAGGGGGGTAGGTTGGGTAACTTTTGAGGTGCCTCAAGAGGGGGAGCAGGGGCGGCAGTTGGTGGTGGCGTGGCAACAAGAGGCTCATTGGTTGCGCCTGTTAGGGAAGAGGGCGAGAGAGAGAGAGGGGCGAGGGGGGTAGGTTGGGTAACTTTTGAGGTGCCTCAAGAGGGGGAGCAGGGGCGGCAGTTGGTGGTGGCGTGGCAACAAGCGGCTCATTCGTTGTGCCTGTTAGGGGAGAGGGCGAGAGAGGGCGGCGAGGGGCGAGGGGGGTAGGTTGGGTAACTTTTGAGGTGCCTCAAGAGGGGGAGCAGGGGCGGCAGTTGGTGGTGGCGTGGCAACAAGAGGCTCATTGGTTGCGCCTGTTAGGGAAGAGGGCGAGAGAGAGAGAGGGGCGAGGGGGGTAGGTTGGGTAACTTTTGAGGTGCCTCAAGAGGGGGAGCAGGGGCGGCAGTTGGTGGTGGCGTGGCAACAAGCGGCTCATTCGTTGTGCCTGTTAGGGGAGAGGGCGAGAGAGGGCGGCGAGGGGCGAGGGGGTTAGGTTGGGTAACTTTTGAGGTGCCTCAAGAGGGGGAGCAGGGGCGGCAGTTGGTGGTGGCGTGGCAACAAGAGGCTCATTGGTTGTGCCTGTTAGGGGAGAGGGCGAGAGAGAGAGAGGGGCGAGGGGGGTAGGTTGGGTAACTTTTGAGGTGCCTCAAGAGGGGGAGCAGGGGCGGCAGTTGGTGGTGGCGTGGCAACAAGCGGCTCATTCGTTGTGCCTGTTAGGGGAGAGGGCGAGAGAGGGCGGCGAGGGGCGAGGGGGTTAGGTTGGGTAACTTTTGAGGTGCCTCAAGAGGGGGAGCAGGGGCGGCAGTTGGTGGTGGCGTGGCAACAAGAGGCTCATTGGTTGTGCCTGTTAGGGGAGAGGGCGAGAGAGAGAGAGGGGCGAGGGGGGTAGGTTGGGTAACTTTTGAGGTGCCTCAAGAGGGGGAGCAGGGGCGGCAGTTGGTGGTGGCGTGGCAACAAGCGGCTCATTCGTTGTGCCTGTTAGGGGAGAGGGCGAGAGAGAGAGAGGGGCGAGGGGGGTAGGTTGGGTAACTTTTGAGGTGCCTCAAGAGGGGGAGCAGGGGCGGCAGTTGGTGGTGGCGTGGCAACAAGAGGCTCATTGGTTGTGCCTGTTAGGGAAGAGGGCGAGAGAGAGAGAGGGGCGAGGGGGGTAGGTTGGGTAACTTTTGAGGTGCCTCAAGAGGGGGAGCAGGGGCGGCAGTTGGTGGTGGCGTGGCAACAAGCGGCTCATTCGTTGTGCCTGTTAGGGGAGAGGGCGAGAGAGAGAGAGGGGCGAGGGGGGTAGGTTGGGTAACTTTTGAGGTGCCTCAAGAGGGGGAGCAGGGGCGGCAGTTGGAGGTGGCGTGGCAACAAGAGGCTCATTGGTCGTGCCTGTTAGGGGAGAGGGCGAGAGAGAGAGAGGGGCGAGGGGGGTAGGTTGGGTAACTTTTGAGGTGCCTCAAGAGGGGGAGCAGGGGCGGCAGTTGGTGGTGGCGTGGCAACAAGCGGCTCATTCGTTGTGCCTGTTAGAGGAGAGGGCGAGAGAGAGAGAGGGGCGAGGGGGGTAGGTTGGGTAACTTTTGAGGTGCCTCAAGAGGGGGAGCAGGGGCGGCAGTTGGTAGTGGCGTGGCAACAAGAGGCTCATTGGTTGTGCCTGTTAGGGGAGAGGGCGAGAGAGAGAGAGGGGCGAGGGGGGTAGGTTGGGTAACTTTTGAGGTGCCTCAAGAGGGGGAGCAGGGGCGGCAGTTGGTGGTGGCGTGGCAACAAGCGGCTCATTGGTTGTGCCTGTTAGGGGAGAGGGCGAGAGAGAGAGAGGGGCGAGGGGGGTAGGTTGGGTAACTTTTGAGGTGCCTCAAGAGGGGGAGCAGGGGCGGCAGTTGGAGGTGGCGTGGCAACAAGAGGCTCATTGGTCGTGCCTGTTAGGGGAGAGGGCGAGAGAGAGAGAGGGGCGAGGGGGGTAGGTTGGGTAACTTTTGAGGTGCCTCAAGAGGGGGAGCAGGGGCGGCAGTTGGTGGTGGCGTGGCAACAAGCGGCTCATTCGTTGTGCCTGTTAGGGGAGAGGGCGAGAGAGGGCGGCGAGGGGCGAGGGGGTTAGGTTGGGTAACTTTTGAGGTGCCTCAAGAGGGGGAGCAGGGGCGGCAGTTGGTGGTGGCGTGGCAACAAGAGGCTCATTGGTTGTGCCTGTTAGGGGAGAGGGCGAGAGAGAGAGAGGGGCGAGGGGGGTAGGTTGGGTAACTTTTGAGGTGCCTCAAGAGGGGGAGCAGGGGCGGCAGTTGGTGGTGGCGTGGCAACAAGCGGCTCATTCGTTGTGCCTGTTAGGGGAGAGGGCGAGAGAGAGAGAGGGGCGAGGGGGGTAGGTTGGGTAACTTTTGAGGTGCCTCAAGAGGGGGAGCAGGGGCGGCAGTTGGTGGTGGCGTGGCAACAAGCGGCTCATTCGTTGTGCCTGTTAGGGGAGAGGGCGAGAGAGGGCGGCGAGGGGCGAGGGGGGTAGGTTGGGTAACTTTTGAGGTGCCTCAAGAGGGGGAGCAGGGGCGGCAGTTGGTGGTGGCGTGGCAACAAGAGGCTCATTGGTTGTGCCTGTTAGGGAAGAGGGCGAGAGAGAGAGAGGGGCGAGGGGGGTAGGTTGGGTAACTTTTGAGGTGCCTCAAGAGGGGGAGCAGGGGCGGCAGTTGGAGGTGGCGTGGCAACAAGAGGCTCATTGGTTGTGCCTGTTAGGGGAGAGGGCGAGAGAGAGAGAGGGGCGAGGGGGGTAGGTTGGGTAACTTTTGAGGTGCCTCAAGAGGGGGAGCAGGGGCGGCAGTTGGTGGTGGCGTGGCAACAAGCGGCTCATTCGTTGTGCCTGTTAGGGGAGAGGGCGAGAGAGGGCGGCGAGGGGCGAGTGGGGTAGGTTGGGTAACTTTTGAGGTGCCTCAAGAGGGGGAGCAGGGGCGGCAGTTGGTGGTGGCGTGGCAACAAGAGGCTCATTGGTTGTGCCTGTTAGGGGAGAGGGCGAGAGAGAGAGAGGGGCGAGGGGGGTAGGTTGGGTAACTTTTGAGGTGCCTCAAGAGGGGGAGCAGGGGCGGCAGTTGGTGGTGGCGTGGCAACAAGCGGCTCATTCATTGTGCCTGTTAGGGGAGAGGGCGAGAGAGGGCGGCGAGGGGCGAGGGGGGTAGGTTGGGTAACTTTTGAGGTGCCTCAAGAGGGGGAGCAGGGGCGGCAGTTGGTGGTGGCGTGGCAACAAGAGGCTCATTGGTTGTGCCTGTTAGGGGAGAGGGCGAGAGAGAGAGAGAGGGGCGAGGGGGGTAGGTTGGGTAACTTTTGAGGTGCCTCAAGAGGGGGAGCAGGGGCGGCAGTTGGTGGTGGCGTGGCAACAAGAGGCTCATTCGTTGTGCCTGTTAGGGGAGAGGGCGAGAGAGGGCGGCGAGGGGCGAGGGGGGTAGGTTGGTTGAGAGAGGAGAGGGAAAGAGAGGAAGAGGCGTTGGAGCATAGGAGTAGGGTTGCCAAAGGGAGTGGAAGGGAAAAGCATTGGTGCCGAGCAAAGGGAGCTGCTTGCTAGAATAGAGTGGCAGGGACAGGATACACGGGTTGGCAGTTGAGATGCTGTTGATTTTTTTTTTCACAATAGACTCAAATGCCTTTTCTCTTGTAAGGTCCACAGCGGGAGACAGGAATTGATGTAAGCGGGAGACAGGTAACGCACTGGTTGCATGAAAGAGGAGCACTGATATGGTATGCTTCCATGGTTGCACTAATCAAGGAACACCCGAGAGACATGCTTCCATGCATGTAATTTGAGGTCCCTATGTGGTGTTTATACACCATGCTGTGCTATGCCACGCTATGCCATGCCATGCCACGCCATGCCACGCCATGCCACGCCATGCCACGCCATGCCACGCCATGCCACGCCACGCCACGCCATGCCACGCCATGCCACGCCACGCCATGCCACGCCACACCACGCCATGCCACACCACGCCACGCCATGCCACGCCATGGCACGCCATAACAGGTTCGGCTCGTGCTCCACAAGAGGTGCAAACTTACAGTTGACATCGGTCCATGCCATGACACCCTTCTGCCGCTCGATCCAGATGTACTTGTTGCGCAGCCATGACTCTGGTAGCCAGCCACAGGAAGGAGGGCAGGCAGACGGGTAGGGAAAATGATAAGGGCGTAAGGCAAGGCTTTTTTGTTGCTCGATCCAGATGTACTTGTTGCGCAGCCATGACTCTGGTGGTCACAGACAGGCAGGACGACAGGTGGGCAGGCAGGCAGGCAGGCAGGCAAGCAGGCAGGCAGGCAGGCAGGCAGGCAGGCAGGCAGGCAGGCAGGCAGGCAGGCAGGCGGGGGTGGGGAAACAGAAGTAAGATCAGAAAGGGCGTGAGACAGGGACTTCTGCCGCTCCATCCAGATCCAGATCCAGATCCAGATCCAGATCCAGATCCAGATCCAGATCCAGATCCAGATCCAGATCCAGATCCAGATCCAGATCAGACAGGGTGTACTTGTTGGGCACCATCCGCATGACTCTGGTGGGAGAAGGGCAGGCGGGCGGGCAGGCAGATGGGAGGCGCAAGGCGGATGGAGGGAGGCAGGAGTGTGGGAGGTAGGAGGGTGGGTGGGACCGTGGAAGGTGCTAGGTGGGGAAGGGGGAGGAAGGGAGACGGGCGAGAGCAGAGAGAAAACCGGGTGGGGAAATGCCTCGTACTGCTCGAATTAGGTGGAAGTTGAGGCACCTAAAAAAACCATCTTTGAGGCGCCTCAGAAATGCCTCGTGCTGCTTTGGAGAATTCTCAAAAGCCACACGAATTAGGTGGAATCTGTTACACAAGAACGACTCAACACCTTCCTTTGACTCAAACCCCCTCCAATCCCATCCCCAGCTCCCCCAATTCCCACCTTCCCCAATCCCCACCTTCCCCAATCCCCGCCTTCCCCAATCCCCGCCTTCCGCAATCCCCATCTTTCCCAATCCCCGTCTTCCCCAATCCCCACCTTCCCCAAGTCACACCTGCGAGCACGGTTCTGAGGGAGGGCGATCTGGCTACTGCAAAGCATGCCAGGCCGTCAGGTGGCGACTGGGAGAGGTAACAATGGGGGAGGGGATGGGGCGAGGGGGGAGGGAAGGAAGGGGGGGAAGGCGCAGAGGGGGGAATAGGTGGGGAGATCAGGGGATTGGGGGAGGGAGAGGGGGAGAGAGAGCAGGAGATGAACGCGGGTGAAGTGAGGGGGAAGGGAAAGAGACGTCAGAAGAAGGTGAGGTTATTATGCTTCGCTACAAGAGATGATCTCAGGAAAGAGGCTTGGAGGGACAAAGGGTGGCACAAGGAGGGAATCACTGCAAGAAAGGAGGTAGGGATTCACGGGAAGGGGTGGGGAGGACTCATAGCAAGGAGGTTGGTCTGAGGGAGGATCAGAAACTCTGCGTTGCCGCATGTGCGAAACGACACATGTGTGCATGAGGGATAAGGAGGGAAGATGAGGCATGGAATAAGGTACTCATGGCAAGGAAGGACAGGGACTCACTGCAAGGGGTGGGGACTCACTGCAAGGAGGGACTCACTGCAAGGAGGGACTCACTGCAAGGAGGGACTCACTGCAAGGAGGGACTCACTGCAAGGAGGTAGGTCTGAGGGAGGACCAGGAACTCTGCATCGCCTGCTAGATGCAGCGTGACGGTTGGAAAGCGCTGGTAGAACGCTGAAGGGTCATTGCTGCTTGCGGATACACATGCAATGATGGATGGATGCACACATTTGTACACGCACATGCACATGCACATGCACATGCACATGCACATGCACATGCACATGCACAAGCACATGCACATGCACATGCACAAGCACAGGAACGAGTCACAGGAAGCGATAACAATTTAGGTGTATGAGTGCATGCTTGCAGATTGCATGAGAACACGCATGCATGTCCGCATAAGCGCATGAGCACATCTGTGCTGTGCATGCGTGCATGGGTGCAAGGCAAGGCAAGGCTAGCACGACTCATCAGCCTCACGTGGCCATCTCCTTGTTGCCTTGTGAGAATTCTCATTCGCTCAACCACACACACACACACACACACACACACAGACACAGACACAGACACACACACACACACAGACACACACACACACACAGACACAGATACACACACACACACAGACACAGACACACACACACACACAGACACACACACACACACACACAGACACAGACACAGACACAGACACACACACACACACACACAGACACACACACGCACACACACATACACACACACACACACACACACACACACACACACACACTCGCAGCAGCCTTACGTGGCAATTCCTTGTTGACATAGCACATGAGGCTGTTGTGCATGGGTTCATGCGACTTTTGAGACGTCTCAAAAGTCATAGCACATGAGGCTGTTGTGCATGGGTTCATGTGGAGAAAGCATGGCACAGCAACAGCAACAGCAGCCTTACGAGGCAATGTCCTTGTTGATATAGCACATGAGGCTGTGCGAAGCTGAGTCCTTATTGCTGAACGAGAATCCTCCCACCGTCTCAACCACCTGCCGCACACACACCACACACCACACACCACACACATGATGCAGTGCAACGGGTAGTGAGAACGAGGACATGGAAGGGGGGGAGCAGGGGGGGGATGGCATGGCATGCCACCCCACTATGCACACACGTACTACTCTATACCAGACCAGACCAGAACAGACCAGACCTGAACAGACCAGAACAGACCAGATTAGACCAGACCAGACCAGACCAGACCAGACCAGATCAGACCATGCACGGTGCTGCATGGTACTGCTAGAAACGAAACAGCAGACGTACCGCGGTGATGAGTGCGTGGAACACGTCCCCTGGGAGCTCCGTGAATGTGGTGGACGAGTCCAGCACGGCCCCGCCCTCTCCCGTTGGGGTGGGCGGGCGGAAGTTGCGCGGAGGGATGGGGAGAAGCGTGCCTGCTACTGACACGCCCTTGATGTGGATGAAGTAGAGCGGACTGGGAGAGGGAGGGGACAGATGGGAGGAAGGGAAAGCAGGGGAAGAAGGGGGGTGGGGGAGGGAGTGATTGGAGGTGTGAAGTTGCACGGAGGGATGGGGAGAAGCGTGCCTGCCACTGACACGCCCTTGATGTGGATGAAGCAGAGCGGACTGGGCAGGGATAGGAGGGGGGGCCGGGGGAGAGAGAGGCCAGATTCAAGGTGTGACACATTGGCGGAGATGGGGAGAAGCATGCCTGCTACTGACACGCCCTTGATGAGGATGAAGTAGAGCGGACTGGGAAGGGAGGGGAAGGGGGAGAAGGAGAGGGGAAAGGACGGGCAAAGGGAGAGGAAAGGACAAGGGGTGATGGCCTGAGAACAATGTGAAGTCATCTAAATGATCAATTCTTCCAGCCCTCCCATCCCTCCCATACACAGGGCGAACGTTTCCTCCCCACTCTCACCACCTCTCCCTCTCACTCCCACTCTCACCACCTCCCCCTCTCACTCCCACTCTCACCACCTCCCCCATCCCCGTGCCCCGCACATACCCAAGCCCGCACACACTCCCATCACCCAGCCCGCAAACATCCCCCACCCACATTCCCCATTCTTCCCCTCCCCCACCACCCACCCCCGCACTACCCTACACCCCCCTGCACTCTCTTCCCCCCTCCACCCCCCACCTGTCAGCGATCTCAATGAAGGTGGTCCACTGCGCGCCAGTGGGCCCCAGACTCGTGCCCAGCACCACGTAGCTGCCCTTGGCGTACGGGTCGCCCTCCAGGCACAGGGCGAAGGAGTCCGCCCACACGCCCTGCGCTGCTGCCACGGAGACGATCGACTGGATGCCCCGTCCCAGCCCAAACACCCCGTCTGGCGCTCGGGAGACTCCGGAGAGACTGCCGGTTTGGTAGCTTCCACAACTGGTGGAAAGAAATAGGGCGAGGGGAGACAAGGGGGTGGGGCGGTGGGGGAGGAAGACGGGTGGGAAATGGGAGGGAAGGGGGAGGAAAGGAGGGAGGGAGGGTGAGAGGCATCAGTAGCCCCCAGCTTTGTTCCCTTGGCGTACGGGTCGCCCTCCAGGCACAGGGCGAAGGTGTCCGCCCACACGCCCTGCGCTGCTGCCACGGACACGATCGACTGGATGCCCCGTCCCAGCCCAAACACCCCGTCAGGGGCCCGGGAGACTCCCGATAGGCTGCCGGTTTGCCACAGCTGAAGAATGGGGGCAGGGGGGATGGGGGAGGGGTGATGGGGATGGGGGACAGGAGGTAGAGGGGTGCAGGGGGAAGAAAGGGGAGAAAGAAGGGTGTGAAGGCATGGGGAGAGGAATTGAGGAAAGGAGGGAGGGCGGGTGGGTGGTGGTTTGATGAAGGAAAGGAGTGACTCATGAGACGCCCTGCGCTGCTGCCACGGAGACAATCGACTGAATGCATCTTCCCAGCCCACCCACCCTGTCGGGCGCCCGGGAGACGCCCGATAGACTTTTGAGTCGACTCAAAAGTCACCACGGAGACAATCGACTGAATGCATCTTCCCAGCCCACACCACACACCCTGTCGGGCGCCTGAGAGACGCCCGATGGGCTTCCCGTTTGGTAGCTGCCACAGCTGGTGGTGCAGTGGTGGGCAGGGGAGGAGGGAGGGAGGAATGGGGGATGCGGGACAAGGGGTGGGGTGGTGCAGGGAGATGAAAGGGGAGAAAGAAGGGTGTGAAGGCGTGGGGAGGGAATTTGAGGGAAGGAGGGAGAGTGAGTGGGGGCTTAGTGGTGTGTGTGACTGATGAGACTTACCCGAAGATTACATAGGTCTTGGACAGGGTGCCATTCCTTAACGGCAGCCACACAATATCATACAGCAACCGCCCTTCAGTCGTCCCGGCCGTGACCCCGCTCACTCCGCTCCCTCCACTCGCAGTCGTGCCGTACCGCTGCGCGTACTCACACGCGTCCGGGTCCCCCGGCAGCGACCGCGCCATACCGCACCCCACAGCTGCGGTTCCAGAGATGAAGGACATGCTGACACAGGTCTTGTCGGCGCAGGTGAGCGGCAGGTTGGTCTTGGACGCCGCTGGGTCGAATGGGGGGGACGCCTGGGGAGGGGAGAAAGAGAGGGGAAGGAAGGGAGGAGGGGCGAGGGAAGGGAAGGGGAAAGCGGGTAAAACGGAATGGGAAGGGTCTTTTGCTGAATCCAATGGCCCTGGGCGGAAGAAGGGGATGCCTTTTGAGGCGCCTCAAAAGTCTACCCCTGGCGGTGGCGGTGGTAGTTTTGAGGCGTCTCAAATGCTGAATCCCATGGCCCTGGGCGGAAGACTCTTCCCATTCCGTTTTACCTCCTTTCCCCTTCCCTTCCCTTCCGTCACTTCCAATGGCCCTGGGCGGAAGAAGGGGAAGCCTGGGGAAGTGCGGAGAGGGGACAGGAGAAATTGCGAGTCTAGTTTTTTTTCTCCAGATAGAAGCATGGGAGGGATCTTGTCGAATGCAGGAACATTCGGGGAGGGGAGTAGGCAGGCACGTACAGAACCGGTGGTGAAGCCAGTGGAGCACTGTGTGCAGTCGCAGGAGAGCCAGGAGACGGGCGTGGTTGTGTCGATCTGCAACCAGAACGTCTGCTGCTCCGACCCAAAGTCCAGCGCCACATAGTACCCACTGCGATTATAGTTGGGGAGTGGCGCAGGGCAGGCAGGGGGGCACATGACGGCACAGGAGGACACAGGAGGGCACACGGAGGTGTCTCAGAACGTCTGCTGCTCTGACCCAAAGTCCAGCGCCACGTAGTACCCACTGCCGTGTTGCAGAGGCAGGGGGTTGGGGGGGTGCAAGTGGGGAAAGAATCGATGATGGCGAAGCGAAACTGTGAGGTGAAGCTGCCTCCAACAGTGCCCAGCATGCCGTCCACAGCCTCAGCCAGCATGGACGTGGTGAAGGGCGCCACTGTCTCAAACACTGCCCACTTGCCCACACCATTCGAGACGTTTAATACAGCGCATACCTGCCTCTCATTCCCCCCAACCCAGCGCACCTCTCCTTGCTGAAGCTGCCTCCAACAGTGCCCAGCATGCCGTCTACAGCCTCAGCCAGCATGGACGTGGTGAAGGGCTTCACTGTCTCAAACACCGCAGACTTGCCCAGCGCTGACCGCCGCCTCTGCCGCTGCTGCCCGCTTGACTCGCTTGACTCGTGTGAGTGCTTGTCGTGGTGCTGCTGCTTGTGCTCTGCTGCTGGGCCGTGCTGCTGCTTCGACCGGCGATGCTTCGCCGTGCCATGTGAATGTCCTAACTGTTGAGAGCCGCCGCCGCCGCCGCCGCTGCTGCTGCTGCTGCTTTTTCTCCTTGCTCCTGTCGGCACACCGCTGTTGGTGGGTGCTTGACTCCCCAGGCCCGTAGCATACGGACCCGGGCGGTACCCCGTGTCCTGTAGTGCGTGGTAAACGTAAGGGGGGAAGAGGAAAGGAGAGGAGAGACCAGGTCACGGAATACTTATCCTCGAGTGGACACGGGACGTGAATGGGCATGCATGCATGCATGCACGGGGAACGGGTGTAAGTGAGACGTCACATTGGCATGCTTACTCATAGATGGTTTACCCATAAGTGGTTCACCCATGACTGAGTGGTTTACCCATGACTGAGTGATTTACCCATGACTGAGTGACTTACCCATGACTAGTGATTTACCCATGACTGAATTACCCATGAGTGAGTGGTTTACCCATGAGCAGCTTACCCAGCAGTCGCATAGCCTCACCAGTAGAAACGGCGAGTCTGATCGTCTCACGAGGTTCAATCTCAGCTGTCCATCGTCCCCCAAGCCCTCATGCTCCTTCCACGCTTCACTTGTGTAAACGGGTCCTAGGCCATGCAGCTTCGCGCCCTTCCTCCCCTTCCCCTTCTTCGCCAACCTCCCCTTCTCCCCTTTCTTCCTCTTCTTCTCCCTCTTTCCACTATCTCCACCACTGCTGCTGCTGCTGCCGCCCCCGCCGCCACCTCCGCCGCCGCCGCCGCTGCTGCTGCTGCTAATGCTGGTGTCGCTAATATGCTTGGCTCGTCCCGGCATTGCATTTTCATGCACCGTTAGAGTCACATCCGTGCACCCGTTGTAATCCTCCATCGTGCATCTACCCGTCCCACTATCGAAACTACCAGCAGCAGCAGCATCAACAGCAGCAGCCGCACCGACAGCGGTCCTTCCTTCTCCCCCCGCTACTTCCGAGCCTTTCGGCCGCGTGATTATGGACGCCGGGCGCGCGCGCTAACGGGGAAGCGGCGGGGGAAAGCGCGGGAACGGGAAGGGGGGACAAGGGGGTTGGGAAGGGAAAAGGGGAAAGGGGGAGGAGGAAGGGGAGGGAAAGCACTGAGGGGTTAGACGAGGAGGGGGGGATGGATTGTGGGAACGTGGAACGGGGAAGGACGCGTGTGTGTTATGAAAGGAAGGGGCGTGGGGTTGGGGGAGGAAATGAGGAGGCTGGGGTGGGGGAAGTGGGGATGACGATTTCGGGAATAAACAAGAAACACACAATGAGGGGACGAACTCGGGAAAGCGGTTCGGAGAGGACTCGAACGGGAAAGGAACGGAAGATACGTACGCAGGGAAGGGCGGCGAGTATGAGCAGCATAAGACACACGTGGCGGCGCCGACACGCGCCTCGCCGTGCGGCGGCTTGCGCGTATTGCAGCGCTCGTCGAGCCGGCTTAACAGACGCTTGCGGCGACGAACGCGGAAGAGGGGAGCACCCGTGAGCTCGCCGTGTTCGAGGCAACGGGAGGTAACCGGATGACTGGTAACCAGAGTGTAGAGTGTGCTTCGAGTTCGCGACGGTGCGACTATTACTCGGTGAGTGGAGTGGAATAGACGGGGTAAGGCGCTGCGACGCCATCGGATGCGGATGACGACGCGACAGTCACGACTAAGAACCGGTGACGCCTGTCGAGACTTCAGGAATGCCTAGGGTCAACTTTTAGCTGCCTTGGGTCTACTTGCATTGGTCAATGTTGACTGGAGTTGACTAGATGTGGCATGACTTGGGCTCACTTAGGTCTTGCAGGGTTAGACATGCGGCATACACGGGAGTCACGAACTGTTGTCTACATGGCCAACTACTACGGGGAAACGATTGCTGGGAGTCATTGCTGGGTGCTAGCCGTGATAGTAATCGATGGGACATTAGCGATGGGCGAAGATGGTTGCGTCTTAGAGTCAGTATCGACGAGGCTACCGGGTCCGCTAAAACGACCCCACGTTCCTTTGCCAAATACGACTCGCGGCGTGAACGCCTGCTTAGGCACCCTGCATTAGGGTTTCTCGCGCGCTGCCATGCCGTATAGCATAGCGTAGAAACGGTGCACTAAACCGAGGGAACAAGATGCATGCTTGAGATGCGCTTCGTCTGGAGGAACCTAAGGTAGCGAGGAGAGGACTCGATAAGAGTTATTCGGGAGGAAATGACGGACCGCCGTGTTTGCGCGTTTTCGATTCCTTTCGGCAGTGGCTTTGACAGCTACTCCCACCGCGCTCGCGCCCAGTTCCCGCGGTCAGTTTATATTGCTGTTTCCCGTTTTTCATGACCAAAAGTATAGAAGGGCAAATATTAAGTTTACCTGGGTTCAGTATAGAGGCCAGTGGAAAACTAAAACCCACTCGGATGACAAGCCATTTGGGAGGCATCAACCCTAAACACCTTGCCTCATGGTGTTTAGGGTTGATGCTCTCTTCGTGGCATACCATCCATGAGGGTTATATTTTTTTTTGTCCCGAGCTGAGCGTTTGCTATGGACTCGACGAATACATTTTCAATACCCCGTAACCTAAAAACAACTTGTATTTGTGGACTTAAAAGGGGAAACTGAGAAAGAATGTGCCCCAAGGTATTGGACGCGAGCGCAGAGCGATGCGCTGTCAAAACCACTGCCCATTGGAATTGGAAATTTGAAAACACGGCGCTCTGTCATTTCCTCGTTATTCGGACTAGTTTTTCGTTTGCAGCCGCTCTAGAATGCTGGAAGCCCCAGGGATTCTCAGGTGGAACTTAGATGAGTGGGAGAAGTTGGGGATGCACTCACTCATGGCGAGCCCAGACGCGTGGGCGAATCAAAAAGCGAACTCACGTGTTGGGTCTCGAAAACAGCGGGTGAACGGTTACCCTATCTAGTCACTTCGCGTTGTGAATGACGCATACCCTTGGCTCCTGGATGTTTGTCGTGTTGTGTGGGTTTCTGGTTTGCCCGACCTATCCGCCTCTGGTTGGCTCAACACCAAACCGCCAAAATCCAAATTGCCCTGCCTGCGCCCAGGGTGTGAGTTTTGGCGGGAAGAGGAAACACCTGAGACCGTATCGAGAATGAGTGTGAACGCAACGAGCAAATGAACAGTGTACTTGTAGTTCAATAAGAACATGACTAGAGTTGTCCATTAAGTAGACCCTTTACGTTTCCATCTTTTTGGCTAAACATATGAACATAATACTGAAATCAAGGGTAGAGTACTGAACAAGCAACTATTTGTCTAAGGAATAGCATTAACAGGCCCCTGGACTCGGATGAAACCATGCGAGTGAATTATTCGGGCCACAATTGGCCGCTTGTGGCTGTGGCCACCCCTATACGAAACCAACAGGATCCCTGGATCCTCTGGCCTCCTCTCCAACACTCTCTTTGCCAGACACCCATCATGGCTACACCGGTAATAGCTGCGCTTAAAGTGTGTTTGCTTGAGCGCCTTCTCTCCATACTTGCGCCACCGGTACCCGTCGTCCACCTCATCCTTGGTTGTCGCCACACGGTGCATCAACAGTTGCTGCTGCTGCTGCTGCTGCTCCTGCTGGTGTTGCTCCTCCGGCTGCTGCAAGTGCGGAATGTGTAGCTGGTGAATAGGGCTCATGGGACTAACCCCTCTTGTGCATGGAGAGAGAGGAGGAGACGGCACGGGTGTCGTCCCAGCAGGGCTGAGAGGAAACGGCGAAAGGGGGGTGGTCGAGGCCGAGGGCGAAGGAGAGGGAGACGGGGAACGTGGCCGAGTGTTCACAGTGCTCGCTGCCTGTACCTTCTGCCTCTTGCAAGGGTTGCTTGGAGTGCTTCCATACTGGACTGCATTCCCCCCATCCTCTTCCGTCGGGCAAGGGGCGCCACTCTCCTCTGATTCTCTCTGCCTCTTGTTGCCACACATGCCTCCTCCCCACACTCCCCCACCCCTTCCTCGGCCTCCCTCGCCTCCTCTGACTGTCCGCGTGGCAGCAGCTGCTGCAAGGGCAGAAGACCAAGTGGTGTGTAAGCCTTGGCCAGGCAACACCTGCGCTTGCTGCTGCTGTTGCTGCTGCTGCTTGTTATCTTCACTTATGCTCCCACTGCTGCTGCTCAGATGGCTATCCAGGCTCCCAGTCACCGGCCCTCCATGCACCACCGCAGCCGCAGCTTCCAAAGCAGCAGCAGACGACCCAGCACCACCAGGAGAAGCACCAGCACCAGCAGCAGCAACGGTACTGGCGCCAGCATGGGAATGCTCCTCTCGATAAACCACTCGTGTGGAAGCAGCGTCTTCAGCCAGCTCCACCGTTTTCCTCGCAGGGCAACCGGGCAGAGCGCAGCGGAAATAAGCACGGGGGAACTTGGCACCCTTGGCGGTCTTCTGCCCGTACTTGCGCCACTGGTACCCGTCCCCTGGAATGCTCTCCATGAGACGCGCTAGAGGGTCTGAGGATTGACATAAGTCTGAGACCAGAGGGGACACGGCTGGCTGATCCATGCTGTATCTCTCGGTTTCGGCTGCTGCTGCGGCCGTGGCTGCTGCTGCTGCTGCTGCTGCTGCTTGTGGGATTGTGGTAGTGGCAGGTGAGGCATGCGGTTGAGAGGGGGAGTCGGCTTGTGCTGAGGTGGTGCCCTCGTTGTGCAGGGTCGGCTGCTGCTGCTGCTGCTGCTGCTGTTGCAAGAGCTGTGCATCAGCAGCAGCAGCAATCTTCTGCAGCAGCAGCGCACGAAGGAGCGCGTCCAGCTGAGCTGGCAAAGCAGCCGCAGCCGCCGCCTCATCCCCCCCTACTGCTGCTACCACAGGGGTAGTTGGTGAGACCGGTGATGCAGGAGTGAAAGGAGAAGCCGGGGTGATTGGGGTGGCTGGGGTGGTTGGCGTGACAAAGCCACAGGAGGAGGCGGGGGTTGTTGGCGTGGCTGGTGGTGTGAATCGCAGCGACAAGGACGCTGACGGGCGGATCTTACGAGACATCGATCGGGACGGCAACGGGGACGGCGATCGAGTGGGAGGAGTTAACTGCGCTCTCCTTGGCCCTGGGCCGAGCGGCAGCGGCACCGACACTACAGCTCGAACAGCGGGAAGCGAGGGAGAAGGTGCAGCGGACACATCCTGAAGTGCGTATTCCGAGAAAGGAAGGAACGGTTTCGCATCCGCTGAGTGTTGAGCAGAGGCGCAAGGTGAGTAGGGAGAGGCAGGGCCTGGGGTATACGCCGGCTGCTCGTTGTCCCTCTGCTCTGCCTCTGTGTCTCTCTCCTCGTCTCCTGGCCAGCAGGAGGACTCTGGTAGCGTCAATGGGCGAAGCTTTAGAGGCAGGCTGCGCTGAGGATGGGCAGTGGGAGAGGCAGCAGGATGGGCAGGGTAATAGTCCGGAGAGGAAGAAGGTCCAGCCATCAGCTGCTGCTGCTGCTGCTGCTGCTGCTGCTGCTGTTCCAGGAAGTCCCCTTGCTCCGACACCTCTACACTCAACCCTCGCACCGGCAAAAACTGCATCAAATCCTGTGCCGCTGCACCGCCACTAACACCCTCGCCGCCGGTGCTGCTGCTGCCGTACTGCTGAAAGCACCATGGCATGGAGCTGTCTCCTCCAAACGCGAACATCTCTATCGGGGATAGCTGCGGCAGGGCTGTGCTTTGGCAAAGCGTTTCTGGCGCGTTTCTCACGGTTGAGATCGGTGGAGGGCGCTGCTCGTCGGTGGCAAGCTCCGCCTCAGCTCGAGGGGAGGTGTGCTCGGGGGAGGCGGACCTGTGAGATTGACCGTCGTCGTAGCTGCCATTAAAAGGCATGTGCTCTTGCACGTCGTCGAACAGTGAGGTTGAGAGAGGAGGCGACGCGGGTTCTGGTTTCACATCAATCTCAGCACCCGCGCTAGTAGCATTCGCAGTAGCGGCGCCAGCGGCAGCAGTGGCGTCGGCGGCGGCGGCGGTGGCCGAGCCGCCCGTGCTTGATCCTCCCAGTCCGAGTCGCACCAGGTTCGCAGCGGCAGATTTGGATGCCGTCGCCAGCATCGGCAGCAGCGCGCCGAGCAGCTCCAGTCCGCGCTGCCGCTGCTGCTCCTCCGTCAACGCATCACCAGCGGCTTGATGATCAACTTGATCATCCTTCTCGCGTCGCTGCCGCGGCCCGTCTTGATACTCCGCCGTCGCTTGCTCCCCCGCGGGCTGCGGAGTTCGCGGCGCATCGCCCGCTGCCACCAGATCTGGGCTGGCGGCGGCGCGGTCGGCGCCGCAATGCGCGGCCGGCGCCGCCGCGGCGTCGCAAGGCACTTCTGCCAGAAGCGCGCGCAACTCGTGAAGGTGGTGCATCAGCTGTTGGCGCGCTGCGGTCCCGGTCTGACTGTTACTACTTGCAAGGGCAGCAACGGAACTACCAGGAGAACCCATGAACAAAAGCCGATGCTGCTGCTCCCGGTGGTAGTGTGACTGTGAATGAGACCTAGAATGAGCCACTGAATGATCGGCGTGTGATGCGGAATTGCGATGAGACTCTGACGCTGGAGAGCGGAAGAAGGAGAAGGGGGAGGAGAAGTAGGCGGAGTTGAATGTCGTAGTTGCGTCTTTGTTGTTGAACGGCGCCGTTACGCGGAGATTCAGTAGGTAATAGTAACGAAGCAGTAACGAAGTTCCGACACTCGTAACTTCGAGTTTTAACGGGATCGACCTATTTTTTTTCGATACTGAAGCGTTTCAATCCTTTCCAGTGGAAGAACGACACGCGACGTGAGTTGCTCAAGGGATTTGTCACGAGGATACAACCGCTATTACTGAGGCTGGGGCTACGGTGCTTCTAGTGGCAATGGAAAATCCTCCGCTCTAGCCGTTTTTTTCGCTGTCTATGTGATCGCGGCGGGGATAATCATGAATGCCGTTGAGTCGTTTTTTTTCTTCTCCGGCGGTGATGGGGTTGTGAATTTATTTCCATTTGGAGGAGCCAAACCTCTCAGTGCGCCAGCGTCCCTCCCTAAACTTTGCCGCGCCTTCGTCGTAACGTGGGTGGGTGTGCGGCGGGGATTTGACCTTCGTCAACGCGTCAACTATGGCGAAACGAGAAACGGGAGCTGCTCGTTACCTGCGCACACGCCACTGTACTGCACTACCGTACCTGCCAGATCACTCCCAACCCAAACCTCAACACTCCCTCTCCCAAACTCATTCACCACCAGCACCACCGCCTCGCTCCCAAACCAAACGGCTTGGCCAATGAACCTCCCCACCGCTTTTGCAGAATGTGTGACACCCCAAGCGTGTCTCGCACGATGTCGAGGGCTTGGAAGGGGGGTTTCCAGTGAACTGGACTAGTCACTCTCAACCGTCTCGGGTTATGAGAAGAAGCAATCGCGTTCTTGGAAATGAATATTTGCTCAAAATGAAAGACGTAAGTATTCCGACTCCTGTGGCAGATGGATGGTGCTGGAAATTGGTTAGCGTATGGCGCTGTACGAGAACGTAAGTAATGATCGAAGCTGACCGGATTTATTTAGGGCAAACACTTTCTGAATTGGAGAAAAAAGGTAGACTTTATTCCAAACCGAAGCCCAGGCCTGGTCGTTGTTCCCAAAACCTCGCGATAAGTCAGTGAAACCAGAGAGGCACATGCTTGTCAGCACAGCTTGCACACACCGACCGCCAAGGGTTCGGCGAAAGTCGGGCGAAACGCAGTTTCGAACATGTTCTGTGACGAAGAGGTGAGGAGGACACCCAACTACAAGTCGTAGGATGCTGTAACAGGTCGTAAGCCTTCGTGTATCGAACTCTTATTGGTCAGACACTGCTGGTAAACGGCTAAGGTTTTGCGGGTGGCCAGATTTCCAACCGCTGACGGGTTGACAAGACGTTGAAACCGTCAATGCTTGTCTGCAAGTACAGTCTAGCATGCTCTCTCGATGAATCCGCCCCAAAATCGTGGACCGTAGGGTGATCTCGGGAGCGTCGATTGGAAGATGGACGTGAGAAGGTCACCGCAGAAATTCGGCGGCTTGTCACCGCCAGCCAGGTGAAGCAAAATCTCAAATCTGCACAGTGCTACACACTGTAACGGCGAGGTTGGCAAGAGGCTCAACAATGTGCCAGGTGGCGAGCGCAGGTGTGACAACGAGGCTGTGACCTCACTTCGACAGAAGTTTCGCGTGGCTTCGACAGTATCGCAAATGTTTGCCATTGTTCTTGATACTGTCATTCTACACTTTGTCGTGCCTAAAGAAATACGTGAATGTTTTATCTTATTATGTGTCGCCAATAGTTCACTTCGGCTTGTGCTTCAGTTGGGTAGCATCGAGTTCAAATCGCCATCACCTACATCAATCACAGTTTATTCCTTGGCTATTTCCGTGTTGGACTGATCAAACCCGCCTGGTTCAGCACCATGGCATCCGGAGGGCGAACAGCCGGCGCAGGAGGAAGGGGAACAGCAGGACGAGAAGGAGGGAGAGGAGGAAGAGGAGGAGGAAAAGGAGGAGGAAGAGGGGGAAGAGGAGGAGGACAAGAAGGGGGAGGAGGAGGAGGGCGTCGCAAGTCATCGTCGGATCGCGACCCGTTGACCGCCAAAGTGTCTCCCAATTTCGGAGGAGGCGCGCTTCCGCCTCCTCCTTCCGCCAGGGATGTCTCCGCGCTTCCCGCGTCCCTCCGGCGAGTGATGGCTCTTCGGACGCGCGCGGAACAAGATGCATCCGCAGGTAGCGAGTGATTGCGCTAGCGCGCTGTCTAAAACGCGGAACAAGATTCGTTAGCAGGCGCGTAGAGCGATGCTGTGGCATGCGCATGCACACTCGTGGAACAGAAATGGTGGACTGTAGTAGCGGCACACAACTCCGTCGCGGCGAATGCGGAGAGGGAGACAGCTGGTTACCACTTTGGACACGTTGCAACCTTGATTGGCTGCGAAGTTGCGCCGGGAGTTTCAGGGTTTTGAGAGTGTCAGGGTTTCGGGGTTTGAGGCTTATCACTCATGTTAGGGTCCAGGCCTCAATCTCCAAGTTTCAAGTCGTCTTGTTGGCACAAGCGCTCGCTCGCCTCCCTACGCCTCTCGCTCTCCCTTTTTCCTCCTGTCCCCTCCTCTCTCGTCCTCGTCCCCCTCCTTCCCCCCCCTCCCCCCTCCTCCCCCCCCCATCCCCATCCCTCGTTTCCCCTCCTCTCCCCTGACCGCTCCTCCCTACCGCCCCTTCCTAATGTTCCTTCCCTTACCCCTTGCGACTCCGCTTCCACCTCCCCTCGTCGCGCTCTCACCCACCCGCGCCACAGGGAAGCGGAAGCGGGGAGGGGATACAGGAGGCCGCGGAACAGGGGGGGCTGGGGGAAGGGGGAAAGGGCGCGGGGCCGCGGCGAACGGTGGAGCTGAGGGGAATGCAGCAAGGAAACGAGCGCGCAGGGCGGAGCAAGGGGGAGCGGAAGGCATGCAACCTCCGCAGCAGAGTAAAGGCCACGCGGGGAAGGGGGAACAGGATGGGGGAAGTGGCGCGGGGGAACGCGGTGGGAGCAACCAGCGCGCGGGTGTGGCAGGGGGAAGGGGGGGGAAAGCGGGTGTGCGGGGGGGGAAAGGGGGGAGAGGAGGCGAGCGCGGGGGGAAGGGGGGGCAGAATGTGCCCGGAGTGGGGAGGAAAGAGGAGCAGGATTTACTGGCGTTTGGGGAAGAGCTGAAGGCGGCTGCTGCTGCTGCTTCCGGGAGCCAGGGGAAGAGGAAAGAGAAGATGAAGAAGTGAGTGCTAAGGGGTGTGCAAAGAGGTGTGCAAATGGGAGTGTGTGTGAGAAGGGTCGTGCAAGGAGTTTCCGGTTCAGTGAGTTAGTTAGGGAGTGGGGAACTACAGGCAAGGAAGGAAGTACTCTCGTCATCCCCCTGTTCACCTCCGGCGTTGTATTGTAACTTCAGGCAGACTTATTGTGTTTCCCCATGGCAGGTTCCTGACAGAGCGGCGTAAGGCCAAGAAACTGAAGCAGAGGCATGGAGGGCGCGGGGATGCAGAGGGCGGGGGGGGGGGGGAGGGGGAGGGCAGGGGGAGAGCAGGAGCGCGGATGGCAGGGCGCTGGAGTTCCCTGAGAGGGACGTGGTGGCGTTTGGGGATGTGGTGCAGGAACCACCCCGGAATCTTCCTCAGCCTCGGAAGAAGGTTGGTGTGCTATGATGTTGTGGGAGTGTGTGTGAGAGTGGGGGGGAGGTGTGGGGGACGGGGAATGTGTGGGTGCGTGCATGCGTACCGGTGTGTGTGTGTGTGTGTGTGTTGGGGGAGCGGGGAGGTGTGTGTGTGTGTATATCAGTGTGATGTGTTTTGTGATGCGCTTCTACCTTTTGTTCCTGCAAATTCATTTTCCCCTTGCAACCGTTCCCACCCTGACCACTCACCCAACCATCCACTCACCCAACAAACAGCCGCCCTTTTATGTCTTAGCTCCCTCAGTTATCCCCACCTTCGTTTCAAACCCTCAGTCCCTAATACTCGTGTCGTTGCACTTGCCTTTCATCCCTCCTGCAGAAAACCCCCCAACAAATACTCTCCGCTGCTGCTGCTGTCGTGTCATCTGAAGCTGCTGCTGCTGGCCCCATTGTTGCTGCACCTACTGCTGATCACTCTACTACAACCCACCCTGATGCATCCACATCTGCTGCTGCTGCTGCTGCTGCTGCAGCTGTTCCTGCAAAGAAAGAGCCTCGGCATTGGCCGGCGAAGTTGGGAGATTCTGTGGCATCGCAGGAGAAGTTGCGATTGGCCGCAGTGCAGCATTACCGCGATTTGCATAAAAATAAGAAAGAGAAAATGCTGGCTAACCTTCCTGCACGGGCAATTCGAGCGGAACTGGAGTGAATTTTGCTTGTAGTAGGGTTTGGAATGTTTCTGGAAGGCTGTGAGTGTATGATGGCAAGCTTACTAGTTTCTCCTGTCATAATGGGGGTATGTTGCTAAGCACCCAAGTTGGGGTTTACCCTTGATTCTTGAACCGTGCGAAGATTTATTCACAGGGTTGACCCGAAACAAAATGGCCTCGGATGACACGAACTTGAGCGAATCTCACATCTGTTAAGCATTGTAACTTTTCCGCTTTCGCCTGCCGCGAACCAGGTCACTCTGGTTTCAGACTCTCCACTATCACCGTTTTTTCAACGTGTTTCGTTCCGCGTCTCGTGCTGCAAGTTCCATGATCCACCGCCACTTGCGCTTTGGTCGGATCGGAGGTTGTGATATGAGTGTTTCGTGAATGCTGGAGCAGCGGTATCTGGCTATGACTACCCTCTAACGAATAGGTCTTCTGCTCGCCGTTGTTCGCTCTGGCACAACAGAGTTTCTGTTTTTCGCTACCAGTAAAGGAGTTTCCTCCAGTCATGATGACTCAATCAGTTTCCTTGCATCATTTGCGAAGCCAATTCCTTGTGCTTTTTTCGCCTCGTTCGCCTCGCGAGGTTCGGACAGGTGAAGGGTTTGAGCCCTCGACCTGCGTTCTTGCTGCCGCTTCGCCGCTGTCGCATTCCGCATGTCGTTCGGCCGTCGCATTCGCACCGCGCGACATCTCGTCGCAGATAAAGCGACAAGAAAGTGGATTCCCGGAACGCGTGGAGGCAGGGACATGGATCAACCCGCGGAAAGAGCGGAGGATGTTGCGCTACTCCGCGGAAGCAACTGCGGGAAGAGTGGGGGGAAGCGGGGCGGCGGAGACCGACCATAGGGGAGGGGGAACGCGCCGAGAGGGGATGCGCGCAGACGGCGTACGGGGGAAGACAGGCGGGGCGGCGCAGGCAGCGGGGGAGGAGCGGAGGGACGCCCGGGGGAGCGGGCGCGAAGAAAGCGATCGTTCCGAGAAGAATGCGGGTGGGAGGGGGAAAAGTGAGGCAACGGGGGGGAGCGCGGAGGGACGTGCGGGGAGGAAGCGGAAGATGACAGTACTGGTGAGCGCAGCACAGTGACGAGAGGCTAGCTCGGAGGCGCCTCAAAAGAAGGTTCCGTGTGGTGTGGTGTTGTGTGGTGTGGTGTGGTGTGGTGTGGTGGCTCTGGAGAGGTAAGATCTGGGGAAGTTGTTATAAGAAAGTGGGTCTTCCCACTCTTCCTCACTCTCTCCCAGTGTCTCCCCCATTCCTCCCCCGGTCAGGTTGTGAGTCGACTCAAAGCACGTGTGGTGGCTCTGGAGAGGTTAGATCTGGGGAAGTTGTTTATTTTACCTCTCCAGAAAGTGGCTCTTGCCGTCCACTCTTCCTCACTCTCTCCCGAACTCTCCCCCACCCTTTCCCCCCCCAGTCAGGTGTGCGCAGGCGACGTGATGGACTGGTGGCCGCGCTCCCCAGCTCTCCGCCACTCTCCCCAGCTCTCCGCCACTCTCTCCAGCTCTCCGCCACTCTCCCCAGCTCTCCGCCACTCTCCGCCACTCTCCTCCATTCTCCTCCATTCCCCCCCTGTCAGGTGTGCGCAGGTGACGTGATGGGCGACGACCACGCGGCTAGACTGGTGGCGGCACTGCTGGGAAGAGAGAAGGGCTGGCAGGGAGAGGAGGGACGGAAGGGAGCGGAGCAGGGAGAGGAGGAGTGGGAGGTGTACGCAGTGGCAGGGCCTAGGAGCGAAGCAGCGGGTGCCACCCTCTTAGGTATGCTGGTGCTACTGCTGCCAGCTACCCTCGCAAGTATGCTGCTGGTGCTACCTTCTTGCAGTAGCAAGAAATGAGCTGTCTGTCTGTCTGTCTGTCTGTCTGTCTGTCTGTCTGTCTGTCTGTCTGTCTGTCTGTCTGTCTGTCTGTCTGTCTGTCTGTCTGTCTGTCTGTCTGTCTGTCTGTATGTCTGTCTGTCTGTCTGTCTGTCTGTCTGTCTGTCTGTCTGTCTGTCTGTCTGTCTGTCTGTCTGTCTGTCTGTCTGTCTGTCTGTCTGTCTGTCTGTCTGTCTGTCTGTCTGTCTGTCTGTCTGTCTGTCTGTCTGTGTGCGTCTCTTGCTCAAGTCTCAGCCACCCTTGTCCTGCCCTGCCCTGCCCTGCCCTGCCCTGCCCTGCCCTGCCCTGCCCTGCCTGCCCTGCCCTGCCCTGCCCTGCCCTGCCCTGCCCTGCCCTGCCCTGCCCTGCCCTGCCCTGCCCTGCCCTGCCCTGCCCTGCCCTGCCCTGCCCTGCCCTGCCCTGCCCTGCCTGCCCTGCCCTGCCCTGCCTGCCCTGCCCTGCCCTGCCCTGCCCTGCCCTGCCCTGCCCTGCCCTGCCCTGCCCTGCCCTGCCCTGCCCTGCCCTGCCCTGCCCTGCCCTGCCCTGCCCTGCCCTGCCCTGCCCTGCCCTGCCCTGCCCTGCCCTGCCCTGCCCTGCCCTGCCCTGCCCTGCCCTGCCCTGCCCTGCCCTGCCCTGCCCTGCCCTGCCCTGCCCTGCCCTGCCCTGCCCTGCCCTGCCCTGCCCTGCCCTGCCCTGCCCTGCCCTGCCCTGCCCTGCCCTGCCCTGCCCTGCCCTGCCCTGCCCTGCCCTGCCCTGCCCTGCCCTGCCCTGCCCTGCCCTGCCCTGCCCTGCCCTGCCCTGCCCTGCCCTGCCCTGCCCTGCCCTGCCCTGCCCTGCCCTGCCCTGCCCTGCCCTGCCCTGCCCTGCCCTGCCCTGCCCTGCCCTGCCCTGCCCTGCCCTGCCCTGCCCTGCCCTGCCCTGCCCTGCCCTGCCCTGCCTGCCCTGCCCTGCCTGCCCTGCCCTGCCCTGCCCTGCCCTGCCCTGCCCTGCCCTGCCCTGCCCTGCCCTGCCCTGCCCTGCCCTGCCCTGCCCTGCCCTGCCCTGCCCTGCCCTGCCCTGCCCTGCCCTGCCCTGCCCTGCCCTGCCCTGCCCTGCCCTGCCCTGCCCTGCCCTGCCCTGCCCTGCCCTGCCCTGCCCTGCCCTGCCCTGCCCTGCCCTGCCCTGCCCTGCCCTGCCCTGCCCTGCCCTGCCCTGCCCTGCCCTGCCCTGCCCTGCCCTGCCCTGCCCTGCCCTGCCCTGCCCTGCCCTGCCCTGCCCTGCCCTGCCCTGCCCTGCCCTGCCCTGCCCTGCCCTGCCCTGCCCTGCCCTGCCCTGCCCTGCCCTGCCCTGCCCTGCCCTGCCCTGCCCTGCCCTGCCCTGCCCTGCCCTGCCCTGCCCTGCCCTGCCCTGCCCTGCCCTGCCCTGCCCTGCCCTGCCCTGCCCTGCCCTGCCCTGCCTGCCCTGCCTGCCCTGCCCTGCCCTGCCCTGCCCTGCCCTGCCCTGCCCTGCCCTGCCCTGCCCTGCCCTGCCCTGCCCTGCCCTGCCCTGCCCTGCCCTGCCCTGCCCTGCCCTGCCCTGCCCTGCCCTGCCCTGCCCTGCCCTGCCCTGCCCTGCCCTGCCCTGCCCTGCCCTGCCCTGCCCTGCCCTGCCCTGCCCTGCCCTGCCCTGCCCTGCCCTGCCCTGCCCTGCCCTGCCCTGCCCTGCCCTGCCCTGCCCTGCCCTGCCCTGCCCTGCCCTGCCCTGCCCTGCCCTGCCCTGCCCTGCCCTGCCCTGCCCTGCCCTGCCCTGCCCTGCCCTGCCCTGCCCTGCCCTGCCCTGCCCTGCCCTGCCCTGCCCTGCCCTGCCCTGCCCTGCCCTGCCCTGCCCTGCCCTGCCCTGCCCTGCCCTGCCCTGCCCTGCCCTGCCCTGCCCTGCCCTGCCCTGCCCTGCCCTGCCCTGCCCTGCCCTGCCCTGCCCTGCCCTGCCCGCCCTGCCCTGCCCTGCCCTGCCCTGCCCTGCCCTGCCCTGCCTGCCCTGCCCTGCCCTGCCCTGCCCTGCCTGCCCTGCCCTGCCCTGCCTGCCCTGCCCTGCCCTGCCCTGCCCTGCCCTGCCCTGCCCTGCCCTGCCCTGCCCTGCCCTGCCCTGCCCTGCCCTGCCCTGCCCTGCCCTGCCCTGCCCTGCCCTGCCCTGCCCTGCCCTGCCCTGCCCCTGCCCTGCCCTGCCCTGCCCTGCCCTGCCCTGCCCTGCCCTGCCCTGCCCTGCCCTGCCCTGCCCTGCCCTGCCTGCCCTGCCCTGCCCTGCCCTGCCACTGCCCTGCCCTGCCCTGCCCTGCCCTGCCCTGCCCTGCCCTGCCCTGCCCTGCCCTGCCCTGCCCTGCCCTGCCCTGCCCTGCCCTGCCCTGCCCTGCCCCTGCCCTGCCCTGCCCTGCCCTGCCCTGCCCTGCCCTGCCCTGCCCTGCCCTGCCCTGCCCTGCCCTGCCCTGACCTGCCCTGCCCTGCCCTGCCCTGCCCTGCCCTGACCTGCCCTGCCCTGCCCTGCCCTGCCCTCCACTGCCCTCCCCTCCCCCACACCATCCCAGGCAGCAACCACGGCATGTCGTCCATAGGGCTCTTTGAGGCCCTGCGCTTCGTGCCGCGCTCGCTGCTGCTCCTTCAAGCCGCCAAACGCTTCGTGCAGCAGCACAAGCCACATGCGGTGGTGCGTGGGAGGGTGGGTGGTAGGTGGGTGGGTGGGTGGGTGGGTGGGTGGGAGGCTGTGGTAGGCTGTGGGAGGGTTTCGAGTCGACTCGGAGCTCCTTCACACCGCCAAACGCTTTGTGCAGCAGCATAAGCCACACGCAGTGGTTTGTAGAAGAATGGGAGGGTTTGGGAGAGGGGAGATGTTGGATAGGGGGAGGAGAAAAGGAGGGGGGGGCGAGGGTGAGTAGAAGAGGGAGGGGCAGCGTTGGAGGTTGTGAGAATTCTCAAAAGTTGTGATATTAATATTAGAGCTCGCGCCTTATAGCCCCTTTGTGTGTTTTCAAGATTTTTTTGTGGCCCCTCTGGCGTACATGCCCCCAATGTCCATGCTGGATGATTTTTCTGTTTGCATTCTTATGCTGGCATATGCACATTCATATGTGCATGCGCTTGAGTGGGGGCTTGCATGCATGTGTGTGGTGTGTGGTGTGTGCATGCATGTGCATGCGTGTGCACGTGTGTGCATGCCTGCATTCCTGCATGTGTGCATGTGTGCATGCGTGCATCCTTGCATGCACCAGGTGCTAGTGGATTATCCGGGTTTCAACATACCTCTTGCTGACTACATCCTGAAAAATCACCGTACGTACGCAAGGATGCACACATGCATGTGTGCATGTGAGCATGTGTGCATGTGAGCATGTGAGCACCTCATACGGGTTTGAGCATGCCAGCATCTCATTGACTCAATGCTCAACGTAACCTTAAAACATCTGAGCATGCTCCAGCAATGATTACATCCCCTTGGCCTGCTCGTTGTTGAACGTAAACTTAGGCCATGGTGACTGTTTGCCTGCTGAGTCGAATTTTGAGACGTCTCAAAAGTCCTTAGGCCATGGTGACTGCCTGCTGAGTCGAATCAAAAGCAGCCATCGTGCGTCGTAATCATTGCTTCTCGCCCGACTGCCCGTCGTAATCATTGCTTCTTTTGAGAATTCTCAAAAGTCACACGGATATAACATCATCCGCGCCTTTTGAGAATTCTCAAAAGTCACATGGATATAACATCATCCGCGCCTTTTGAGAATTCTCAAAAGTCACATGGATATAACATTATCCGCGCCTTTTGAGAATTCTCAAAAGTCACACGGATATAACATCATCCGCGCCTTTTGAGAATTCTCAAAAGTCACATGGATATAACATCATCCGCGCCTTTTGAGAATTCTCAAAAGTCACATGGATATAACATCATCCGCGCCTTTTGAGAATTCTCAAAAGTCACATGGATATAACATCATCCGCGCCTTTTGAGAATTCTCAAAAGTCACACGGATATAACATCATCCGCGCCTTTTGAGAATTCTCAAAAGTCACACAGATATAACATCATCCGTGCCTCCCCTCCTCTCCCCTCCTCTCCCCTCCTCTCCCCTCCTCTCCCCTCCTCTCCCCTCCTCTCCCCTCCTCTCCCCTCCTCTCCCCTCCTCTCCCCTCCTCTCCCCTCCTCTCCCCTCCTCTCCCCTCCTCTCCCCTCCTCTCCCCTCCCCTCCCCTCCTCTCCCCTCCTCTCCCCTCCTCTCCCCTCCCCTCCCCTCCTCTCCCCTCTCCTCGTTCAGCCGCCACGCAGGTCAACTCAACTCAACGAGCAGAGCAGCTATATTGGTGCGAGCCACTTTTGAGATTTCTCAGAAGTCACGGGTCAACGAGCAGCTCTGCTCCTCTTCCTCCTCCCTCTACTTTCTTACCACAATCCATATTTCCCCCACCTTCCCCCCCTGCACTCCTCTCATCGCCCGTGCAGCCGCCACGCGGGTCATCTACTACATCCCGCCCAATAAGTGGCTCTTCTTTGCCTCCTCCTGCCCCTTCTCTCTTGCCCCATTCCATCTCTCCCCCATCTCTCCCCATCGCTTCCCCCCACTGCACTCCTCTCATCGCCCCATGCAGCCGCCACGCAGGTCATCTACTACATCCCGCCCAACGAGTGGCTCTTCTCCTCGTCCTCCTCCCCTCGCATCGCCTCCGTTGCTGCCTCTCATCTCGTCATCGCCACTTACCCCGACGAGGTGAGCCTTGCCTGTTGGCGTGAGAGTGGGAAGAGGGAATCAGTTTCCGTTTCTCTGTGTGTCTGTGGGTGACTTTTGAGAATTCTCAAAAGTCACTCCAATGTAGCTGTTGGCGTGAGAGTGGGAAGAGCGAATCAGTTTCCGTTTCTCTGTGTGTCTGTGGGTGTGTCTGGGTGTGTGGCTGTGTCCCGGTTGCTGCCTTCCCCTGCCTGTGACCTCGTTATCGCCACTTACCCCGACGACGAGGTGATGTGCTGTGCATCATCATCCCTTCATCATCACCACCATCCGTCTGCCCCATGCCCCGCATAGGCCGAGTTCTTCTCATCAGTGAGAGCCAGAGTGAAGCTATTCGGCCACCCTCTAGTGGCCTCCTTTGTTGCCCATGCGCATCATCACCCCTACTCATTCGGCCACCCTACTCATCATCACCCCTTTCTCCCATGCCCCCCCGCACAGGCCGAGTTCTTCTCATCAGTGGGAGCCAGAGTGAAGCTATCCGGCCACCCTCTAGTGGACAGGACACCGTTGCATATGCGCCAAGCTGACATCATTTGTATTTTGAGGTGCCGAGCCGACAGCAGGTGGTGTTCGGTTCGGCCACCCTATTCACCACCACCACCCCTTGATCACCCCTCCTTTCTCCCATGCCCCCTCTCACAGGCTGAGTTCTTCTCATCAGTGGGAGCTAGAGTGAACCTATTCGGCCACCCTCTAGTGGACACTGTTGCCCATGCGCCAAGTCGAAAGCAGGTGAGTGCATGCATAAGATCTCGTGTTGGTTCCTTGTTGCTCCTCTTTCCTTCTGTTCAAAGCGTGTGTGCCGAGCTTCCCTGTCGCTGTGCCTGTCTGCTCCTCTTCTCTCACGCTTTCTGTTTCCCAGGAATTATTCAGAAATCTTGCAAAAAACGTTTTTTTCTGACAAAACTTGGTTCTAGGAACTGGAAAGTCTCTGAATTAGCTGACCCGACTCAAAAGCTTGTTTGAGTCGACTCAATAATCAGCTCAGAATCTTTCTTTCGATCTCCCTTTTGCCCCCCGCTCTGATCTGTCCTCCCTCCGTTGCTTACCCTCTCTCAAACAGTCCCCTCTCTCCCTCTCTTCTGCTCTCCCTCTCTCCCTCTCTCCCTCTCCTGCACTAGCTCCAACTCACCGCAGGCGCGATCACAGCTAGCAATCGCCCCGACTGCCAGGGTGGTGGCGCTGCTACCCCCCTCTCGCCCTCAGGAGACCTCCTTCATCCTCCCCATCGTGCTGTCAGCTGCTGTCTCCCGATCCCCCGCCCTAACTCTTCTTCCCCACCGCAGGCCCGCGCACAACTCGCAATCGCCCCGACTGCCAGGGTGGTGGCGCTGCTGCCAGCCTCTCGCCCTCAGGAGACGTCCTTCATCCTCCCCATCGTGCTGTCAGCTGCTCGGCTGCTTAACCAACAAATGCTTGATGCTAACCGCGAGTGAGCTCTCAACCGCTTGCCCCACCACAACTCCTCTGCACCTCCTCCTTCTCCCCCCTTCCTCCCTCTCAGCACCTCCTCCTTCTCCCCCCTTCCTCCCTCTCAGCACCTCCTCCTTCTCCCCCCTTCCTCCCTCTCAGCACCTCCTCCTTCTCCCCCCTTCCTCCCTCTCAGCACCTCCTCCTTCTCCCCCCTTCCTCCCTCTCAGCACCTCCTCCTTCCCCGCTCTTCCTCCCTCCCTTTTTTTTCACAACCCTTCCCTCCCTTTTCCTTTTTTTTTTGTTCCCCCTTTTCTTCCTCCCCCCACCCACCCCCGTCACAGGGCGCCCCTCTGTCTCCTGCCTCTTGCAGACGAGTCTTTGCGAGCTCAGGTGGAGGAGCAACTGAGGGCGTTCAACATGCACACATGCTGCCGAGTGCTCGAGGTATGGTTCCACTATCGAGGAACTCTCTAAAGCAATAATCAAGTAGCTTCCTCTGGCAGACGAGTCTTTGCGGGGACAGGTGGAGGAGCAACTGAGAGCGTTCAACATGCACACATGCTGCACAGTGCTGGAGGTATGGTTCCACTATCGAGGAACTCTCTAAAGCAATAAAATAATCGTCTAGCTTCCTCTGGCAGACGACGAGTCTTCAAGAGCTCGTTTGGAGGAGAGGAGCAGCTGAGAGCGTTCAACCTGCACACATGCTGCACAGTGCCGGAGGTATGGTGCCTCTCTTGAGAGCTCTCAAAAGCAACTCCAGTCCAGCTGCCTTGGGCAGAATAATCCTTGAGAGGCTGGGTGGCGGGGCAGTAAGGGCATTCAGCATGAACATGTGCTGTGGAGTGCTGGAGGTATTATGCGTGTCTCCTTTCCAGGGGTCACTGGTCATGAAGAAGAGCTGCAGCGTGAGGGATCGCTTTAGCAAAAGCGATCGTTCAATACTATCGTTCTTTGCTAAAGCGATCCCTCATGCTGCAGCTCTTCTTCATGACCAGTGACCCGAGTGCTGGAGGTATTATGCGTGTCTCCTTTCCTCTCTCCCTCGCACCCCCACTCCCTCCCCCCACCCTCTTTCTCTCCCTTCGGTTCATCCTTTCTTTCACTCTCACTCCACTGTCTGCGCCCCATGCCCCCTGCCATTAGCCATAGCAGAGCCTACCAGCCATGGTGACTTTTGAGTCGACTCAAAAGTCCCTGCACAATCCTTTCTTTCACTCACACTCCACTGTCTTCCCTCCATGCCCCCTGCCATCAGCCACAGGAGAGCCTACCAGCCATGGCAGCAGCTGATGCAGCCATCACCAAGTCCGGCAGTGTCACTCTCCAGCTCGCCCTGCTCAAGGTGAACCGCGTTGACTTGCTTTGACTTTCATTGATTTTTTTTTTTTTTTTGGGCTTTTAGGAGACTTTCATTGACTTGCATTGATTGCATGGAATCTCATTGACTCTCGTTGACTAGGGTTGACTTGCACTGCAACGTTCTGACTCACCGCTGCTCCCATGCTAACGGAAGATGCAATGCGCGATGCCTTGGTGCGTTGGCTTGCGTATGCAAACTGGGTGCTCAAGTAAGCAACCAAGCAAGCAGATAAGCAGGCACACGCCGTATCCTATTGCCCACTCCACAGTCCTCTCTACCACCACACCCTGCATGTGCTCATTCCTGTCTGTCCCCATGGCCCCTCTCATTCCTCTCATCCATGTCATCCCACTCATCCCTCTCGTTCCATGCATGCATGCACGTGCTGTCCCCATCAGGTACCTCAAGTGGTCCTCTACTGCCTCTCCCCTGCCACCGCGCTCCTTGCGCGTTTTCTTGTTAAATTCCGCCACCCCTTCTACTCCCTTGTCAACCTCGTGCTCCTGGAACTGGTACGCCTCCTTCTCTTTCCCCTTTTTTTCCTAGGTGACTGTTGAGTCGACTCAGAAGTTGAGTCAGCTCAGAAGCCACCTTGAGTCTGTCACCCCTTTTACTCCCTTCTCAACCCGGTGCTGCTGGAACCTGTATGCCTCCTCCCTCCCCCTTTTCTGTTGCTTCCCACTTAGTTCCTCTCCTCTTTCCCTCTCCCCCTTACCCCTTCCCCTCTGTTTCGGCTAGCTTGTTGTTCCAGAGAGTGATTTCCACTAAAATTGACTACGATTTTTTTTCCTTTTCTTTTCTTTTCTTTTGGGGGGGGGGGGGGGGTGTTCTTCTTGTGTACCCTCTTTTCCCTTTTCCCCCTCTTCCCCTTCTGAACCGTGGCTTTAACTGTCTTTGGCTTGCAGCTTGTTCCGGAATTTATCCAAGACAATGCCACTCCGGAAGCTATAGCTGGTGCAACAATGGAGCTGCTTGTGAGTGAATCCGCTCGCTCACTGCAGCTCGCAGGCTATGAGAAGCTTCCTTCCCTCCTTGGAAAGCCTGGGGTTTCGCTGCGAGTGGCTCAATGCATCAAAGAACAAGCAAGGCTAGGCAACATGTGAAATACATTACAGTAGCATGTTGCAGTGCCCGATTGTAACATTTTAGAGTAATCTTTTTGTGTTCCTTCTTTTCTGTTAACAACTCCTTTGGTGCGTACGTTTCTTGTCTGTACATGATATTTGAAAGAAGTCTTCTCTTAACAGGTACGTACCCTCCATCATCCATCAATTGTACCACATGCCGCGTCAGCCAATCCATGTTGAGAAAATCTGCACGTGGGATTTGAAAGTGATGCACGTGGACCATGATCGTCAGCATCCTGCAGATACAGTGGGTTCCACCACTCACAAGCCATCCTCAGTTACAGTCCCTAGGCGAGCTTCCATTCGTTGTTGACCCGCCGCTCGTTAATGTCAAGGGGATGTAAGCAATCACTGGATGACACTCGGGATTTCCCAACTCATAAAGTTGGCGAACTGCGTGCTGCTGCTGTGGACCCCACAATCAGGTCGACGTGGCAAGGAGAACCAAGCCCCAGATTCCAGCGTCAGCGCGCCCACGATCCAGTTGGCTGCGCGCCTACCCACTTGTTCCTTGAAATCACCGCAGAACTGACACGAACTGGCGTGACATGAATGACATGACATTTTCCAATGGGCTAATGGGCTGAAGATGCACAGGACAAGCATATGCTCGTCCGGCATGTTGGCTGGTTGGAGTGTGTTATGCGATGTCATGTGCGAGGAGAGCGACGATCCCCAAAGTGTCGTCATGTTCTTCCCTCTGTGCTCCTGAGCACCAGTTCGAACAGAACGGAGGGCACCCCAAACCTTGGGTGTGTGGAGGAGCCAGAGCAACTCTTCTGGTCAACATCGTTGCGACGACGCCAACTGACAAGGCCTTGGTATCTTGGCTGATCAGTAACAGCACTCCAGCATTGTTGAGTTCCGTTCGTAGCCGCTATTCCTCTTCGCCTTGCAAGTTTGTTGCATGAAGGATTTAGCATTGAGGCGTTTCCTAACAGACGGGGCTTCGTATTTAATCTCCACTAGTCTGGACTCCAGTCATGGTGACATCGGCGTCTTGAAGCTTCGAAAGGCTGACATTTCGGTCATGCTCTGAGATATTATCGTGGTAAGACGTTTCGGTGGAGAACTTGCAGACAACAACCTTAGCGCCATTGTCTCTCGTTACCAGTATCAATGACCCGTGCTGTGTGAAAATGGGGTGTGCATTTCGCCGTCATCTACCAAACGCCTCTGACGCTAACGCTTTTACGATCTCTAATCTGGCAGGTTGCATTTCGCGCTGGCCCCGAGCCAGAGCCACTCGGAAGTGAGTGACGTGGCGTCCGCACGACGAGTCCCAGAAAGCTACTGAGCTACATTCGGTCCTAGAAAGCTACATCTGACACGAGTCAGAACGAGTCTACATCTTTCAAACAGCTAAACCCGTCGATTTTGTAAAAAAAAAAGGGAAAAATAATCACCTTAGAACAAATCAGATCAGATCAGCCAGACGCGTTCCCCAATGGCGTCAGGGCAGCATGGTTTCTATTTCGACGGGGACTTCGACCACATAACGGAGGATCCAGGGGAGCGGGAAAGGCCCGCGCCAGGCCAGCGCCACCCGCACCCGGCCCCGCAGCATTCCGCGCACCCCGCCAACCCGCAGCAGCGGCAGCAGCAGCAGCACCAGCAAGATCAGCGCATGCACCACTCCGCGCATCACGCGCACGCGCACAGGCCCCGCGCTGCGGCAGCGGGTAGCCATCCCCGGGCTCCGCACAGCGGGAGCTACGGCATCGGGGGTTCGCGCGGAGCGGTCGCGAGCGGAAGCACGGGAGCGAGGGCGGTAGGGCGGAGCGGGAGCATGGGGAGAGGGGGGAGGTCGGCGCAGAGTGGTCGATATGATGACGATGAGTTGGACGAGGAGGAAGGGGTGGGGTCTGTGCAGGACCGGCCGTCGCTGCAGCAACGAGCGCACTGGCCGCAAAGCTACCGGTGAGTGGGAAAGAGGAGAGCGACGGAGAGAGGGGGAGAGGGGGAGATAGGGAGACAGAGGGAATGAAGGAGAGAGGTTTTGAAAGCGATGACGATAAGCGGCTGCATTGTGCGTGTTTCCCACTTTGACAGGCAGGCCCGGTTGGTTTCATTTCCTTGCCAATTCTCGGTGTAGATATGTCACATAGGTGAGAGGCGGTGGGTTTTCTGGTAGATAACAAGCCATCGCTTCGGAGGGCCAAGTTTTCCTTGTTCTCCCGTTTCCTTCTGCTTCCCTTACCCTCTGCTCTGCTCCACTTCCCCACGATCATCACTCCTGTGCCCCACCCTCTCTTCCTTCGCCCCTTTTCCCCACCCCCCGTCCCCCCACTTCTTCCCTCCAACCAAACCCTGCCGTCCCCCCACTTCTCCCCCCCCGTTACAGTCAATCCATGGACGTATACAGTCACATGGCCTCCCCCAGCATTCCGAAGCTCTTCAGCCCTCTGTCGCACCGACTGAGCGGCGCACTCACCTCCCCACACCCCTCCCTCTCCTACCGCGGCAAGTCCCCCATCCTCTCCGCCTCAAGCTATACCCAGCCGCAGATGCAGCAGGGACTGCTGCCACCGCACCAGGAGCAGCAGCACTACCAGCAGCAACAGCAGCAGCAGCAGCAGCACCACCACCACCAGCACCAGCAGCAGCACAGGAAGATCTCACCAGACGGTCAGCTCTTAATAGGCGCCGATGGGCGTGTGTCCGAGGCTGCGGCGCCTGCTATTCCGGAGCTAGGCCGGCGTGGCTCTGGAAAAGCAGCAGCGGAAGACGAGGAGGAGGACGACGAGGACGAGTATTACGACGGAGAGGAGGACGGGGAGGAGGAGGAGGAAGACGACGAAGAAACGTACTACGAGCTACACGGCAAGGGGAGTGGGAGTAGTTTCATCCAGGCGATGTTCAACGGGGTGAATATCCTCGCAGGAGTAGGGGTTCTCTCCACCCCGTATGCGCTCATGCAGGGCGGGTGGGCGGGGCTGCTGCTGCTGGTGCTGCTGGCGGCGATCTGCTGTTACACGGGCCTGGTGCTGCGGTTCTGCCTGGATAGTGAGCCGGGACTGGAGACGTACCCGGATATTGGCGAGGCTGCTTTCGGCCAGATGGGACGCTTGCTGATCTCGGTGAGAGGCACGAAGGGAGGAGAGAGAGGGAGGGGGAAGGGGGGGGGGGAAGAAGGATAAGGCGGGAGTCGGGGGCGATTGGGCGGGGTGTGTGCTAGCAATGGAATTGACCAGCTGTCATGTCACGTGAATATGAAGGGAGAATGCAAGGAGAGATTCGCAGGCTTTTTTATCTCTTCTTCTTCTTTGTCTTCTTTTCCTTCATTCTCTTCACACTTGACTAAATTTTTTCTTCGTCTTCTAGCATTCTTCAGCAAAATGCTTCCTATTTCTCAAGCCTTTCCCAAGCTTCTTCCCATGCCTGGCCCAAGAGGCCTCCCAAACTCCTTCTAACCTGTTCCTTTCTCGTCCCTTGTGTGCCTTCTCCCTCCCGTGTTCCTGCCTGTCTCTCCTGCCGGCCTCGCCGTGTCCGTCTCCTCCTGGTGCTCCAATGCCACATCAGATCGTCCTCTACGTGGAACTATACGTAAGTTGCTCAACTATCTGATGAGATTGTCACCCCTTCATCAGTGCAAGTGGAAACGAATGAGAACGAAGCATTGAGCAATCTTTGAGACGTTTAGAAAAACCTCCTGTCGTTCCAATGCCACATCAAATCATGCGTTTTGTGGAACTTAATGTAGGTTGGAACTCAAAAGTCACTGCCAAGCGAGGTTGTCCTTTATATGTAAGTTGCTAGGTTAACTATCATTCTCTTTGGTCAACGCTTGCTTTTCCATTTCCTCTATTTTCTGTGGACTTAAAAAGAGGGCAGCCACCGACACATACAAAGTCACATGCATGCACACATAGTCACATACATGCACCCTATACCCGCCTTAATATTCCGTTTCTCCTCCCCGATCCATCCTCCCTATTCCATCCATCTCCCTTTTTCTCCTCCAATACCCTTGATCCCCATATTTCTACTTTTGAGGCGCCTCAAAAGCCTTTTCTCCTCCAATACCCTTGATCCCCATAATTCTACCTTCCCACCATCCACTCCTCCCCCTTCTCCTTCCCTCTCGAGGTGACTTTTGTCAACTCAAAAGCCACTATGTTCCTGCTTTCCCACTGTTGAGTCGACTCAAAAGCCACTATTTTTGAGGTGCCTCAAAAATCGAAATCCACCATCTTCCTGCTTTCCTGCCTTCAACCCCGTCCCTTCCCAACCCCACCCCTTGCACAGGCATGCTGTGTGGAGTTTAGCCACGTGAAGCGAGGTTGTTTTTGAGACGTCTCTAAAACACCCTTGCACAGGCATGCTGTGTGGAGTTTCTAATCCTGTAGGCCGACAACCTAGGTGCCATGTTTCTTGAGCTGATGGTCCCACTGTCTCAACCCAGTTATCCACAAAACCCTGCACCTTCCCCACCTTCACCCCCTTTCCATCAGGCATGCTGTGTGGAGTTTCTGATCCTGGAGGGCGACAATCTGGGCGCCATGTTTCCGCAGCTGGGTCTGTCCGTGCTGGGCGTGCACCTGACGTCGCGCCATGTGTTTGTGCTCATATCCGCGCTCTGCATCCTGCCCACCATGTACCTGCGCGACCTCAGCCTCCTATCCTACGTCTCTGGTGAGCTTGTTACGGCCACGGTATCACAGCTCAGCTTACACAGGCGCCCTCTGCATGGCTATCTCATACTGCCCACTGCCCACCATGTACCTGCGCGACCGACCTCAGCCTCCTCTCCTACGCCTCGGTGAGAATGTTGTGGCCACCCTGTCGAGATAAGATGATTAAATTCTGTCGAGATAAGAAATTCAATTCTGTCGAGATATGATAATTAAACTCTGTCGAGATAAGATAATTAAATTCTGTCGAGATAAGATAATTAAACTCTGTCGAGATAAGATAGTTCTACTCTGTCGAGATAAGGTGATTAAACTCTGTCGAGATAAGATAATTAAGCTCTGTCGAGATATGATCATCAAAGTCTGTCGAGATAAGATAATCAAACTTTGTCAAGATAAGATAATTAAACTCTGTCAAGATAAGATAATTAAACCCTGTCGTAAACCCACTAATCCCTCTCCCCATCTCCCTCCCAACCCAACTGCACACACCAATGATATCTCCCCCTTCCCCTCTCTCCCTCCCCTTCCTCCTCTCCCCACCGCGTCTGCGCATTCCCCTTCCCCTCACTTTGCCTCCCTTGTCTTTCGATCCCCTCTGCGTATGCTTTGCAAACCTGTGCTGCTGCTGCTGCTGCTGCACTCAGCGGGGGGAGTGGTGGCGTCGGTGGTGGTGGTGTCATCAGTGGCGTGGGTGGGAGTGGCAGATGTGGGATTTCACCAGTCGGGTCCGCTGCTCAGCATATGGGGCATGCCCGTCACCATCGGCCTCTTTGGCTTCTGCCACTCTTCTTTAGGCGCCTCAAATACATGCTCCTCCCCACACACCCCCTTTTCAATTCTCCCCTCCCCTTGCATCTCCATCTGCTCTCTCTCTCCCTCCCTCCTTGTGTACACCTGCTGCTGGCGTGGTGCTCCTGTGTCGCAGCGGGGGGAGTGGTGGCGTCGGTGGTGGTGGTGTCATCAGTGGCGTGGGTGGGAGTGGCAGACGTGGGATTCCACCAGTCGGGTCCGCTGCTCAGCATATGGGGCATGCCCGTCACCATCGGCCTCTTTGGCTTCTGCTACTCGGGCCATGCTGTGTTCCCCAACATCTACATGTCCATGCGCAACCGCAACGACTTCAACAAAGTGCTCTACTGCAGGTCGGTACTCTGCTTTTGAGACGCCTAAAGAAATCTCTCAACATGAAAGCCGCGTGTGAGGACTCTATATTTGAGGCACTTAAAAAAGGGCCATGCCGTACTCCCCAACATATACACGTCCATGCGCAACCGCAATGACTTCAACAAAGTGCTCTACTGCAGATGGGTGTGCTACTGCAGGTGGGTGGGCTACTGCAGGTGGGTGGGCTACTGCAGGTGGGTGGGCTACTGCAGGTGGGTAGCTTGTTGCAAGTAGGCAGCCTGCTGATGCCAGTAACCTTGAAACTGGCACGTTTTTGGCCATCCCTACTGCAGGTCGGTAGCTTCTTGCAGGTATGCAACCTGTTGATGGAGGTTTCCTCGTAATGAGCTGAGCATGCCCTTCCCTTTCTTCTTCTTCCACTTCTTCTTGTCTTCTATCAGTGAGAAATTATGTTGAAGGCAAGCAATCATGTTTGTCTAGTGTGAGATTTTCCAGTAAGAGTGCGATCGATAATCTTCTTTCTCCACCCACCTCTCCCTCGCTATCACTCCTCTCTCTGTCAAAACCCCCTGGTCGCAGCTTCATCCTATGCACGCTCATCTATGGCGGCATGGCAGTCATGGGGTTCACCATGTTTGGGAGTGCGCTGGAGAATCAGATCACGCTGAATCTGCCCCGCCAATTCATCGCCTCCAAGATCGCCATCTGGACCACTGTGAGCCCACATGGGAGTGTCTCTGTGTGTACGTGATGTGATGTGATGTGATGTGATGTGATGTGGCTGTAAGCTGACTGGCTGTCAGGGGATGTGTTTGTAAAGTGGATGTGTTTGTTAAGGGGATGTGATTATTAAGGGGATAGGATTGTTAAGGGATGTTACTGTAAGGGGATGTGAGTGTAAGGGGGTGTTTATGAGATATTCAAGGCGACAGGGTGACTGTGAGTGAGGTGCTACCTGTGTGTGAGTGTTGCCGTAAGACTGTCGATGTTTTCTACTGTGCTTCTATATCTGCTTTTGTCCCATCCACTCACCCACCCACTCACCCACCCACTCACCCACCCACTCCCCCACCCATGCTACTCCTACAATGTCCTACATCCTCATCTCTTCCTCCCCTCCCCCCTTCCCCCCTTTTCCCCTCCCACCCTCGTTTTCCCCTTCTCCCCCTTATTGTTTGCCTCGCTCCTCTCGTGTGACTCTATGGCAGGTCGTCAACCCCTTCACCAAATATCCTCTCATGCGAACAATCCACCCCCCCTTTCTCTCATCCTTTGCTTCACTCCACTCCACTCCACTTTTCTCCGCTCTACCGCTCTCTCTTACTCGCTCATTCTCACTCATTTTTTTCCGTGCCACTCACTTCCATTCTTTCCTTCCCTGCAGTCGTGGCAATGCCATTCCATCATTTTGATTTTGCCATTTTTCCTACATATACAATCTTGATGCCCTGTGCTGCAACACTTGCTCATGTTCCCGAAGCTCCCAGCATATGCTCACCCATCCAGGTGTAAACTCTCTCTTCTCAGGTTTCCTTAACCCACTGTGCCCTCCTCCTACCCTCCTCTCCACTCGCTGATCCCCTTTCTGATCCACCTCACTGATCTCTCCCTTTGATCTCCCCCTCTCACCCTCCTCCCCACCCCCCCTACTTCCACACGTTCCAACACCATCGTGTCTCCCCTTCTTCTGCCCCACCGCTTCCCTTCCCTCCCTTTCTCCCACCACCTTCTCCCCATCTCCTTGCATATGTAACCCCCATCTCCCTCATACCACCATCATATAATCCCATTACCATCGCCTGTTACTGTCGGCATCCCCCCAAGCACATACGCGCTCTCCATGACGCCAGTGGCGCTGTGTCTGGAGGAGCTCCTCCCTTTAGACCCGTACTCCCCGGACTACCGCCGGGCCTCCCTCGCCATCCGCACTGCGCTTGTCGTCTCCACTGTCGCTGTCGCCCTACTCGTGCCTTTCTTTGGTGAGAATCTGCACTGCACCAAAGAAGGGCACGAGTGATATCTTTGTCGAGTGAGGTGGTTCGGTTCTTTGGTGGAACAGTTAGTGTCCTCACTGCTGGTTCCCCCAGTGGCTCTCTTTTCTGGCGCTGTTCTCTCTTAAATCACACTCCTTTTTCTTCTTGCAGCTGCTCCTTCCATGTCCCTCTTCTGCAGCTGAGTTTGTTTGATTTTTGATGATTCTCAAAAGTCAAACCAACATGTCTTGCTGCTGCTCCTTCCATGTCCCTCTTCTGCAGCTGAGTTCTTGCTGTTCCTTCTTGCTGCCGCTTCTTTCTTCAAGCTGATTTCTTCCTTTCCGCTCCTACCTCGTGCCCTGCAACGACCTGTTTTGAGTCGACTCAAAACTCGTGCCCCGCAACGATCTGTTTGAGTCAACTCAAAACTCGTGCCCCGCAACGATCTGTGTGCATCTCTTTCCTCTCTGTGTGTGTGTGTGTGAATGCAGGCTACGTGATGGCGTTCATTGGTTCGTTCCTTAGCATGACTGTGGTACGTGCATCCCTCTCTCCTCCCCTGTATGATACGTTTTCCCCTTGCTTGCTGCACTGCAAATGAAGAACGACCTTTTTGCCTGGTCAAAGCACCCCGTACCATTTCCCACTCCACTCAACTCCATTCCATTCTCCTGCCACCAACAGGCACTTCTATTCTAAATGGCAAGGTTCCTCTTTGCTATCAGTATTGCTCTTCATTGCTCATCACTCCTCCTCACCACAGGATGCTCCTCCGTGATCACCCATGTCTCTCTCTCCTATGTTCCTTCACGTCTCTATCTCCCTCTCTCTCCTATGTTCCTTCACGTCTCTATCTCCCTCTCTCTCCTATGTTCCTTCACGTCTCTATCTCCCTCTCTCTCCTATGTTCCTTCACGTCTCTATCTCCCTCTCTCTCCTATGTTCCTTCACGTCTCTATCTCCCTCTCTCTCCTATGTTCCTTCACGTCTCTATCTCCCTCTCTCTCCTATGTTCCTTCACGTCTCTATCTCCCTCTCTCTCCTATGTTCCTTCACGTCTCTATCTCCCTCTCTCTCCTATGTTCCTTCACGTCTCTATCTCCCTCTCTCTCCTATGTTCCTTCACGTCTCTATCTCCCTCTCTCTCCTATGTTCCTTCACGTCTCTATCTCCCTCTCTCTCCTATGTTCCTTCACGTCTCTATCTCCCTCTCTCTCCTATGTTCCTTCACGTCTCTATCTCCCTCTCTCTCCTATGTTCCTTCACGTCTCTATCTCCCTCTCTCTCCTATTTTCCTTCACGTCTCTATCTCCCTCTCTCTCCTATGTTCCTTCACGTCTCTTTCTCCCTCTCTCTCCTATGTTCCTTCACGTCTCTATCTCCCTCTCTCTCCTATGTTCCTTCACGTCTCTATCTCCCTCTCTCTCCTATGTTCCTTCACGTCTCTATCTCCCTCTCTCTCCTATGTTCCTTCACGTCTCTATCTCCCTCTCTCTCCTATGTTCCTTCACGTCTCTATCTCCCTCTCTCTCCTATTTTCCTTCACGTCTCTATCTCCCTCTCTCTCCTATGTTCCTTCACGTCTCTTTCTCCCTCTCTCTCCTATGTTCCTTCACGTCTCTATCTCCCTCTCTCTCCCGCCCTTCGCCGCTGTGTTGGTTCTCCTTCCGCAGTCTGTCATGCTGCCTTGTGCCTGCTACCTTCGCATCCTCGGGCCTAAAGCCACGCTCTCGCAGGTGTGTTTTCAGCCCCTAAACCTGAACTCCAAACCCGGAACCCAATTCTCCAAAACCTAACTGATGAATATGGACATACCGTACCATACCTTACCATACCATACCATACCATACCATACCATACCATACCATGCCATGCCATGCCATGCTGTGCCTTACCATTCCTCATTGCCAATCTTCATCTGCCATCCTGCCTCCTTACTTGCCTCCTCGCCTTCTTCCCTTCTTTCCCTCTCCCCAGCACCTGTTGTCCTATCTCCTCATAAGCATAGGCTTCGTCTGTGCTGTTGCCGGCACGTATGCATCAGTGAAGGGCATTATTGAGAGCATGGGGGGAGGCGCACAGGGGAACAATCTGCAGCTTCACCTCGCCTCTTCTCTCATCTCCTCGACACCAGCTTGAGTGGATAGAGATGGCATACCCACTTGTGCCTGTAGGGTGGGTTGGGAAGCAAAGGGAGCTGAAGGAGGAGGAAGTGTGCAGGGAGAGGGTGGGGTGAGGTGAGGAGAAACAAGATGAGACGGGTCACGGACGGGTTCTGTGTTCTGCGATTATTTATGAGCAAGTCATTTCAGGATGGAACAATGCGAGGGCTACCAGGTGATACCACTCGATGGCTCTGCACAGCTCTGTATTGATCTGCACCGCTCTGCACTGCTCTGACTGCACCGGTGTGTCGTGAGGGGCTTTTGATCTTGTCGATTGTAGATTACCTCAAGGGTCTGCTGCTGGTCTGCCTGGGGGAACTAGGTACGGGTAACAGTGCATTAGTTCCGCACTGTGCTGTGGCAGCACAGTGCTAGCAACTGATTCTTGACTTAGAGGGATGACTTGTTCACATTCACCTGCTTCTTGTTATGCAGAATTGGCTAAGTTCACTTGACTAAGTGACATGGTAACCAAAGAGCAGATCCAGCAAGAGAGCCACTTGAGGCACCTCAAGTTTATCCGAATTTATGACATGACACCTCAACAACAGCCTTCAGCCTCTGCATAGCACCGCATGGCAGGGCATTGGAGGTGCCACAGACCATGCATTGTGCAAGCAGGTACCACGGAAGAGAATCCAAGAGCCGCACCGCACCACCCAATTTACCTAAGGCAATTATTTGAATACGTGCACTCTAAAAGCACGTGCAAAACAATACCTCACTGGCACATGGCACAGTATCGGGCTTGTTTCAAAGCATCGGGCTTGTTGCAAAGCATCGGGCTTGTTGCAAAGCATCGGGCTTGTTGCAAAGCATCGGGCTTGTTGCAAAGCATCGGGCTTGTTGCTACATGGCACAGCATCGGGCCCCACAGAAGGCGAGAGAGAGAGAGACCTGTTGCAAACTTCACAATAGTATACGGTAAACTCGATCAAGGCGCCTCAACAGCAAGTACGAGACCTCCCGAAGCCATTGCTACATGACAGGGCGTCGGGCGCCACAGAAAGTGAGAGCCATGTCACAGAAGGCCTGAAATACTCGTAGCTTGCTCCTGTCCGATGCAGCAGCGGGTGGTGGCGCTCTATCCAGTACCTGAAATGGTGCGGGGGAGAGGAGAGGATGAGAGGGGGCAGGTGTGAGAAGAAGAGGAGTGGGAGATGAGGGAAGTAAGGAAGTTTGAATAACAATTGGGAGGGAGGAGGATGTGGATTTTGGAGAAGCAGAGGAATTAGAGGAGGCGAAAAAGAGGGTTATTGAGGCGCCTTAGAATGTTTTCAAGGCAGAGGGTTTCTTTGCTTTGCTTTCTGTGTTTTATGTTCCTCTTAGCAGAAAGAGGCTAATGAGGGATATTCCCTAAAATACTCCAAGACATAAATTGTTCTGGTCGGATTGCAGGGGGAACAGTGGGAGGAAAGAGGGGGAGGAGTGGGAAGGGAGAGAGAGAGGGGATGGGGGGTGGGGAAGAAGGGGAAAGAGGAAAAATAATTCTCGTGGTACTCACAGTAGCAAAGGTGCGCAAGGCGAGGTAGGCGAAAACCAGCAGGGCTATGACTACTAGTTGAATGCGCATGTCAGCAGCGGGAGCGAGGGATGGTGGGAGAGTGACAGAAGAAGCAACTGCAGCTGCTGTTTCTGCAAATCGGTGGGCCTCAGCGATTAGGAGAGAGGCGGCGGTGGTGATGGTGGAGGCGACTTGTGGTGGGACGTAGGGGGGGAACTCCCAGCTGGAGGTTGGGGGAAGGGGGAAAGCGCCATGGGCAGGAAGGGAGGAAGGAGAAAGGAGAGGTGAGAATAGGGTGGTGGCGGCGGTGGTTATGGTGGAGGCGACGTGTGGTGGGACGTAGGGGGGGAACTCCCAGCTGGAAGGTGGGAAAAAGAGCAGGGCAAAGAGCAGCCAAGCATGAGGGGAGTAAGGAGAAGGGACAGGTGAGGATGGAGTGGTGAATGTGGTAAATGCTGAGAAACCTAGTGTTTTTTTGTGTTTTTTTTTTTAATAATTAAGATTATTTAGCAATTGTACACTATTAATTATTGGAACAAGATAGGACTGTGATCGACACATGATACAAGGGTTACTCACAGAAAACGCACTTCACAGAAAGAAACCATGGAGAGAGCGCAAAGAGGAGGGGACGAACCTGGAAGGATGCGGCGCCTTGGCAGCGTCAATGTTTGCCAAGTGACGAAGGAGAGGAGGAGGGGAGATAATGAGAGAGAGGGCAAGAGGGATGAGGAATGCGAGGAGAGGAAGCAGGAGCGACGATGCAGTGTCCTGTAGACGTTGAGCTGATGGAGGGTAGCAGTACAGAGGGAGGGAGAGATGGAGAGAAGGGATGGAAGAGTTTTGAGACGTCCCTAAAATAGGGATGCGGAGTGCAAGGAGAGGAAGCAGGAAGGACGATGCAGTGTCCTGTAGACGTTGAGCTGGTGACGGGTATTGGTACCGAGGGAGGGAAAGACGGAGAGAAGGAATGGAAGAAAGGCTGTGCTAGAAAAAAAAGAGCGCTGGTGATGATGCATACATGGCAGGTATGGAATGATATGCATGGGAAGACATAGTATGCTTGGTAAGGCATATGGGATAGACCCATGTGTCAACAGCCCACAAGTTATCGTCCCACATATGCCATCATCCCATATCCCATCAACCCATACGCCATCACATCACCCCATCACCCCATGTGCAACCTTGCAGTACCTTGCTTTGACCTCTGCCGTTGCTCGCCCTGCTCCTGCTGAAACTCCTGAAGCTTGCTGCAAGGACACATGCGGTCAGAATACGGTACAAACATAGATACGTACGCGACCATGTGTCAATATGAGACGGCCGAAAGCATATGCAGCCCTGTCACGAGCCTTGAGTCGTCATGCATGCGGTGTCATGCAAAGATGTAGAGACGATATTTAAGGCAGCGAACAGAAAATGATGGGAAGTACATTTGGCTGATAGGAGATGGATGTGTGCCATGTCATGTGATGTGCCGAAGGCATGAAAGCACCTACCCGCGGATAACATCCCACCTGTCTATAACAGCCCACCTGTCGATAACAGCCCACCTGTCGACAACAGCCCACCTGTCGATAACAGCCTTCACTCGCCGCACATCCCTCTCAAACCGATCCACTCGTTGCTCCACCGCTGCTTTTACTGCCTGCAATCACAGGCAACCACATGTATACACGCATGTAGGGATTGACGGGCAGGTGCACATGCCATACTTAGTGTCAACCCAATTGTGAGAGAGCCAACGTATTACAAGAGGGTTGACACTAAGCTCTATCTTTGAGGCGCGTAAAGAACAGCCCTAGTTTGGACAAACGGACAAAAGGACAGATGGAGACATATCGGGAAGGAAAGCAAAAAGATATTACCCGCTCTGATGCAAGGCAAGCAGGCATCGTATATCAATCCACCCTTCCCGCACCCCTCCCCTGACCCTTTTTCCTCCCTTTCCCCTCTTCTCTCAAATTCTGAAAGTTCCCCAGCCTTGGATTCTCTTAAGGCTGGGCCTCCCTTTAAATAAGAATATATCTTTAAACGAACAAGAATATATCTTCGTTTCTCCTTCGTCTCTGGCCCTCCCTTAATATCTTTAAACTGCACACACACCTTATCCAGTAATTCTTCAACAAACGAGAACGTTTCTGGACCGGCCTCTTTCCCTTCCACTTTCCCAGCCTCTTTGCCTGCCTCCTTGCCCTCAGCCCCAGGAGCAGCCGCAGCAGTGGAAGCAAGAGCGGGGGAGGAGGAGGATGGCGGTCGGAGAAGTGTGACTTGATCAGCTGATAGGGAATGCAGCTCCTGATGGGGGTGGTGGTGTGGTGGTGGTGGTGATGGTGGTGGTGGTTGAGAAGGGGGGGAGGAAATGTGCAAGCGAGGGAGCATGAAGTCATGGACATTCAGGGTGGCGAACGATGGGAGGCTGTGGCATGCGAACGAAGTGGATAGGTCGATACACGCCGTAGAAGCGAGAAGAGAGAGAGGGTGGAATGGGGGGAGGGTGGGGACCAACTAACCTTGACATTGGATCGAAGGTAATCCACAACCGTTGCTGCTGTGCCTGCTGCTGCTGTGCTTGCCTTGCTCTGCCCAATCCCAGCGACGAGGAATGGATAGAGATGACAGGCAAGGTGAGGGGGATGGAGACGGCAGGGGGTGGGTGTGTGGGAAGGGGAATGTAGGCGCGAAGGTTGAAGATAAATACTACATGTTTTCACGTTGCTCGCGATTTTTGAGGCGCCTCATAAATACTAAATGTTTTCACGTTGCTCGCGTGAAAGGTGATCTGAGACTCTTTTCAACGTAAGTGGAAACAAGCCGAATGAATTGGGAGAGGGATTACCCCGCCAGCCAGCCAGCTAGCCAGGCAGACAGGCAGGCAGACAGGCAGGCAGACAGGCAGACAGGGGGGCAGGCGGTCGGGCGGGCAGGCAGGAAGGCAGAAAGCAAGAAACCCATGCCTGAGGCAGGAGAGCCACGAAGTGCACTCGGTCAAGACGAGGAGTGCCCTCAGTAAGTTGCTGTTGCTGCTTTTTTTATAATTCTCAAAAGGCGCACCAATATAGAAAGCCATGCCTGAGGCAGGAGAGCCACGAAGTGCACTCGGTCAAGACGAGGAGTGCCCTCAGTCAGTTGCTGTTGCTGTTTTTTTTATAATTCTCTAAAGGCGCACCAATATAGAAAGACATGCCTGAGGCAGGAGAGCCACGAAGTGCACTCGGTCAAGACGAGGAGTGCCCTCAGTCAGTTGCTGTTGCTGTTTTTTTTTATAATTCTCAAAAGGCGCACCAATATAGAAAGACATGCCTGAGGCAGGAGAGCCACGAAGTGCACTCGGTCAAGACGAGGATTGCCCTCAGTCAGTTGCTGTTGCTGGTGCTGGGTGTTGGATGGAGAGAGGACCAAAGAGAGCTGGTTGGCCAGGCGCGAGGAGGGAGCGCGCACCGCCGCAACACTCATGAACACTGCCATGGGGAAGGAATGGCAGGGCAGGCAGGATGACAGAGAAGGCATGGGGGAAGGAAGAGATGAAGGTGAGCTTTAGCGACTCAAAAATCTCAACCAGGAGGCAGACAGCATGGAGCAGGGCATGGTGGGGAGATGTGGGAGGTGTTTTATGAGTCGGCTTCAAGAATTAGCAACAGCTGCAACACTTCGGAACGCTGCCAAGTAAACGACAGCAGGAAACAAGGAGCTTGGGGATATTTCGAGAGCAGAGAGAGGATGGGAAAAGGGCAAGAAAAGAGGTGTTTCGCGTGAATCTGAGAGGTAATCTCAAGCTTGCTCTCAGAATTCGGTGCAAGCTTGTTCCCTGAGTATTACCAATGATACGCCACGACTAAGAAGCACTAGGTGCAAGCCTGTGTCATGGCTGTTATTGATGACACCAACCTAGAGCAAAAATACCACAAATCACCACCAGCATCCTTCTATCGTACCTACGACCACATCAGCAGCAGCACCCAACGCAGCAGTAGCTAAGGATAAAACAGCAGCAGCAGTGGCAGCAGCTGATGGGGCTGAAGCAGCAGACGCAGGGGCGGATGAGGAGGCGGATGAGAGTGGGGGAATGGACGATGCAGCGGATTGGGGTAGAGGCAGGTCAACGAAGTCAATGCAGGGCAGGGAGCGGTCCTTGGAGATGCACACGTGCACAGATAGGAGGTCACGTGCAGCCTGGGGGAAAGGGAGGGGGAAGAGCCAGCAGGAGGGGGAGGAATCGGGAGGATTTATTTATATCACGTGTGGATTGCGGCGACTTAGAAAGAGGATCAATGCAGGGCAGGGAGCGGTCCTTGGAGATGCACACGTGGACGGACAGGAGGTCACGCGCAGGGGGAGGGAGAGGGAAGAAGAGGGGAGGGGGGGGAGGAATTGGGAAAAAAAAAAAAAATCTATTTGTGGATCGAGGCGACTCAAAAGAGGGTCAATGTAGGGAAGGGAGTGATTCTTGGAGATGCATATGTGTACGTATAGGAGGTCACGTGCAGCCTGGGCGGGGGATGGGGGGGGAAAGCGGGGGTGGAGGGAGGGGAAGGATGTGGGAGAGACTGAGCGTGTATTGCGTCGGCCCACCACTGGGTCAATGAGGGCTAAAGATTTGCACACACGCAATTGTAAGATATGCAAGGGAGGGGAGTGACAGCATGGGGGGTACTGGCACACGGTTGAGAGAGCACGGGTAACCTCGGGCACAGCAGAAGCAGCTTCAGAGCGAGTGCCTACATGAATCGTAAGGTTTGCAAGAGAGGGGAGTGGGAGGGGGGCGTACAGGCACGTGGTCGAGAGCACGAGCAACACCAGGCACAGCGGAAGCAGCGCCTTCGCCCGTGAGAGTGTCCTTCCAGCTGCCACTTGTCACCACGCGAATGGCCGGCTCTGTGCCCGTGCTGGTGCTGCTGGTGCCGGTGCTGGCGGTGGTGTTGGTGGTGCTGGTGCTGGCAAGCTTGGTTGACGTTGCTGCAGGAATGCTTTCTCCCGTGTACCTGTGGTGTGGAAGGGTTATGTAAGAAAATACTGGTTCATAAGATAATGCACAAGATTCTTAGCGAAAATTGAAGGTAATATTAGCGCATTCACAACTTTCCTTTAACAAACCAAGTTCTCTTCACAAGTACTCGAGGCTACGAGCGTTCAAGTGCGCACCATTCGAGAAAGGAGCGCCTGGCGGTTGAGTCGTCCCCCACCAGCAACACGGTGAGCTTGGGCGGCGGGCCGCTCACTGCCTGCCCCACCAGCGGATCGCCTGCCACGTGGCTCAAGCACAAAAACTCTGGCAGGCGCGGCGGGGAGGGGAGACAAGGGGGGCGGAGGGGAAGGGAGGGGAGCGGAGGGGGGACAAGAGGAGAGGAGCGGAAGGGGTTTGATTGGGAAAACGGGGGTGATCTGGGGGCGGGGAGATGGGAGGGGCGGCGGCGGGGAAGCAGGGGAAAGGAAGGGAATGGCACATGGGGGAAGGAGGAATCGGGTGCAGACGAGGGTAGGGGGGGGGGGGGGGGGGGGGCGCGGCGCGACGCGACGCACCGTTCATGGGGGAGTCCGGCGGCGGGCAGTACGCTTCGGAGACGAGGCGCAGCGCGGTTTCCTGAGGTCCCAGGCCGGTCCACCCGAGGCACGCCATGGCTCGCACGCGCGGAAGTTTGATCCTCTATTCTGAAACCTCTATTGGAAAATCCCTATTCTGAAATGGTCGAAACTGGGCCAGCTCACGCGTTCCAGGTCGGCGCCACACGCGATTCACTCAGACTACCCATGCGCGCGAGTCACGAGGTTTGGTTCGAGCCCGTCTGGTAACCGTTTCGTGACTGTTCCGAGATCGAGTCGCGATGATCTCGAGACTCGCACAGTTCCAAGGCGAAGGGTGTGAGGTGGGGTGGGGTGCGGTTATCTCGACGACAGCGAGGCTTTGTTACAATCGAGCCGGAGAAGAATCGATCTTGTGCAGTGCAGAAACCAAGCAATGCTATGGATCCGAAATGCAATGTTCGATCAGCTGTGTCGGCTCAGCGAGTCAGCAGCAGCGCACATGACTCACGCCTGCCCAGTTCCCTTACGCTTCTTGCCTGCTGCTCCTATCAGTTAAGGGAATAAAGACACAGCGGATTCGGCACGTTGCTTGAGTTAAATTGGGAGTGACAGCCAACCTGAGCCTTGGCCCCTGACAGATCGCTGGTGAGGTCATAGGTATTGCCGAGCATCTATTTTTTGAGAATTCTCAAAAAACACGTGAGGTCATAGGTATTGCCGAGCATCTAATGATGCTTCTAGAAGTTGCTTCGCTTCCATCATGATTTCTCGTTAGATAAATCTACACAAGATAGAGCCAGAAAGTAAGAATGTAAGGCGAGCTACTATGTTAGCCTCTGCTGCACAATGAGTCCGCACCACCAATTACCTGTATTATGTGCAGGCACTCTTGTTAAATTAAGAGTCTAGTAACCGTGCGATCACATTCGTCCAGAAAGGCTAGAGGTTGCATTGCGTTGCATCCTCTCTGAATCTCAGACCCTGACCATAGAATTACCTGTACTAGTACTGTACCGTGCATTTCTATTTCACAGGCTGGAGCTTCACCACCACCAGAGCAGCTGTTTGAGCAGCTGCTTAGGCAGCAATCGAATCACCAGCAGCAGCACAGCTGCTGGCAACAGCAGCAGCCTGGCCTGGCTATTTGAGGTGCCCCCACCATGCGTGCGTGATCATCATCCGGCCTTGTTGAACATGCCCGTTCCACGCTTCTTCTCGTCCACCCTGTACCATTGACCAGCCAGCCACACGGGAAGAATGGGTAGCGGATAGAAACTTAAAGCTGCGGCCTACATACTCCTAGCGGGAGGGCTGAGATTATCACTTGAAAACAGGGTGACCAGTTTTTGGACTCGGCCCCCTTGCAAAGTTAACGGTTGAGAGGGGTGGAGAGAGGGGGTTGGGGTTCTTTCCGCACGAAACCGAACTCCCCAGGTTGTTTCCCACCCTTCCGCAGACCCTCCTCCAAACCACCCGTCAGCACGAAATTGGGCTGGATTCGCGTTTCCTGTCTGAGTTCGTCTGCTGCGGTGTTTCTGAAACATGCTGACTTCGTTCTCCAATCAGGCCGCACGAAAGGGTTGGCATAAAAAATACACCCAAAAAACACCACTTAGTATGTAGACCGCAGCTTTAAAACAGCGGCAACAGGGTTTAAGGTTAATGCAAGGTGTGGAGGTGCTAAAAAGGTGTGGGGAGGAAGGTGTGTGAGGGAGAAAGGTTCTGTTGGATAGTGTCGGAACACTAATACAGGACTATGGCTTTTGTTGGATGGGAGAGGGTTGGGTTGGGACAGGAAAGGTCAACAGGAGAAGTGCATAAGAAGCGCAATAGACGTATGCTTGAAGCCTAAGTTAGCTGGGTTGGGTTGGGTTCCTACTGCCTCTGTTATTCTGAAGCACGCAGTGCAGTCATACCCTTCCCCCTTGTTACCCTCCTTCCCCCACTTCCCACCCATCCATCCACTCACAGGTTCCCAATGGATAGCATGGCCTTGCCCAACAAGATATCCACCACCGTCCCATCTGTCTCTTCTTCAGGCCGCACTTGAACACCCATTTCTATGGCTCTGAGACAAGTTCCATTATCACTTCCCCATCCCTCTCTCCCACCCTTCCCCCTCCACCCATCCATCCACTCACAGGTTCCCAATGGATCACATGGCATTGCCCGACACATTATCCACTACCGTGCCATCCACCTCTCATTCAAGCCACACCTCAACACCCGTTTACATGACTCTCTGAGAGGCACACAGGCTCCACCATCACTCCCCCATGTAGTAAGTCAATTTTTGAGTTATTCAACTAAAACATCGACTAACTCAACACCCATTTACATGGCTCTCTGAGAGGCAACACAGGCTCCTCCATCGCCACTTCCCCATCCCACCCTCCCCTCTCGCACAGCCCCATCCACCACATCCACCCTCTCCACCCATCCATCCACTCACAGGTTCCCAATGGAGCGCATGGCCTTACCCGACACGTTATCTACAACCCTGGCATCTGCCTTAAACTAGTTCGAAGCAAACTGCAGCACCCGCTTCTATCTTTCTGACGTGCACAGGTTCGCTCATTCCTCCACCCCTCCCACCCCACAAACCCGCCCACCCACCCATCCATCCACTCACAGGTTCCCAATGGAGCGCATGGCCTTGCCCGACACATTATCGACCACCGTGCCATCCGCCTCCAGAGTGTAATTCGCCCCTGGCAGGTGCAGCAGGCCCTTCTTGGTCAACGCAGTCAACTCCTTCTTCGGCACCTCCCGCCCGTTCACATACACCCGAGTCTTGCCGCCCGCTCCAGAGCAGTCCTTTTCCAATGGGTGGTTTCCAAACTCGTGCATGAACGCCTGTTGTGTGGGGAGGGGGGCGAGGGGGAGGAGGGGGAGGGGGTGGAACGGTGGGAAGTCTACATTTGAGGCGTCTCAGGAGTCCGCTCCTGAGCGGTCCTTTTCCATGGGGTAGTTTCCAGACTCGTGCATGAATGCCTGGTGGGGAAAGAGTGGGGGAGGAGGGGGAAAAACGAGAGGAAGAGGTGGTTCGTGGGGAAAAGAGAAGAGGGGGGAGTGTGAGCGGGAAGGCTCAGTTGGGAGGGTGGCTCTCAAAATTGTAATCATAAGGCCTTATGGAGAGATGATGCTGCAATAGAAACATATTCGAGAGAGGGTGCTGTGAGTGCAAGGGTGCATGCGCGTCCAGTCAATTTTAGTCAAGTGACTCGAAAGTGAGAGCAGGCAGCCAGCGTGTAACGGTGGGTTGGAATGGAGGGAGGACAGCAGCCGGAAAACACAGGTGGAATGGAACAGTTGGCCCGATGGGCAAAATACTGAAGGGCTGACACGAGGAGACCCTTGAGTCAAATCAAAAGTCACCTCGAAACCACGGGTGGAACAGTTGGCCCGATGGGCAAAATACTGAAGGGCTGACGCGAGGAATGCAAGAAGGGAAGAGCGGCAGGCGAGCAGGGAGTTGGAGTGGGAGAGGGAGTGCGAGTGCGAGTGCGAGTGGAAGTGGGAGTGGGAGTGGGAGTGGGAGTGGGAGTGGGAGTGGGAGTGGGAGAGGGGGAAGGAGAGGGAGGCATACCGGCAGTACACCAAGAGATGGCCCGCCCATGACTCCCCAGAAGCCAGCTCGGATGTCGTACCTGTGGGGTGGGGGATAGGGAGGGAAGGGCATGTGACGGGAGTCAGGATAAGAGAGAAAGTCGGGTCAGCATGATTGCCCAGGATTGCTCGGTTATTCTCCACTTATCCATTACAAGAGGAGGGAGGGAGGGAGGGAGGGAGGAGGGAGGGAGGGGGCAGGGGGGCTACAACGCATGGTCACACAATGCTGCACTGCACTGTTGCCTCTGTCACACCCCCATACTACTCATGAAGAACAAAACTGGAAGTTTCCATTGCTAGTACACCGCCTCACTCTTCAATATTCGACAGTGTTCAAGGCCACGCATCCAGTTCCTTTGAGGGAACGAGCCGAGCTCTTCCTTCCTTCCATGCATCCAGAATCCAAGTCATTCACTTCAGTGCGCCTCCCTCGCATCGCACCTTCTCTCAAACCACGCCCTTTCTCCAGACTCCCCCCCGGGTCGATGGAGCCGATTTGCTCTGCTCCGCCTGCACCACGTGCTGGCCAGGCTTAGGAGGCGCCTCAAACCTATCCTCCACACCCCCGCCCCCCGCCCCCCAACACCCCCCCGTGCTTACCAGTATTTCCCCGGGTCGATGGGTCCGATCCTCTGCTCGGCCTGCACCACCCGCTGGTCCGGAACGGCCTGCCCGTTCACCCAGATCTTCCGCCGGTACTGCTCCCCCCCTGTCCAACTCCTTCTCATTGGCGGCCTCGCCTCCTCTGCATCGCCAGCAGCAGCAGCACCTGAAGCTTCTCCTGCGGGTCTGCGGCGGAAGGAGGAGCTTCCCACTCCTGCTAGCAGCGTCCCAGCCACGGCCCCGCCCACAGAAGCAGAAGCACCACCACCACCTGCCATTCTTGCCGACCCCATGCGTCGAAACACCCCAGCCCCTGCTGCTGCTGCTCCTCCCCCTACCCCTCCCCCTCCTCCCCCTACCCCTACTCCGCCTCCTCCTCCTCCTCCTCCTCCTCCACTGCCTACTCCGCCTCCTCCGCTCTCACTGCCTGGAGCACCACCGAACCCAAACTGCCCAAAGCTACTACTAGCCTGTCCGCTGACCTGAGAAGCACCACTGGGGGTCATGGGGACAGGAACCACACGAGACCCCGCTGCTTCTCTGTTAGACTGCATTCGCCGCACACCCCTAGGCGCCACATGCTGCTGCTGCTGCTGCGCCAGTGCCCCACCTGGTCCCCCAGGCCCCCCAGGTCCCCCAACAGCCCCCCCAGCCCCCCCAGGCCCCCCAACACCCCCCCCAGGCCCCCCAAATCCCCCCAGTCCTTGGTTTCTCTCCTTGAAGCTGGGCGATGGGATCAGGTTTAAGTTCTGCATCTGGTTCTGGTTGTTGCTCTGGTTGTTGCGTTCGTTGAAGCTCCCTCCGCCCCTGCTTGTCGCCTCTGAAAGGCTGCGGGATGCTGTAGAAGTGAGGGAGCGCTGGGATTGCAGTGGCGGCAGTTGCAGCTGTAGCTGCGGTGCCTGCTGCTGCTGTGCCTGCTCCTGCTGCCACTGCTGCTGCTGTGCCTGCTCCTGCTGCCACTGCTGCTGCTCTTGCTGCATTCCCTGCTGCTGCATCATTGCGTGCTGCTGCTGTTGCTGCTGCCATTGATACTGCTGCTGCTGCTGCTGCTGCTGCTGCTGCTGCTGCTGCTGCTGCTGCTGCTGCTGCTGCTGCATGCCTGCGGGCATCCCTCCTGCTGGTCCCATCGCATGGGGCGTGGAGAGGTGATACATATTCTGTGCCTGCAGCAACTGCTGCTGCTGCTGCTGCTGCTGTTGCATGGGAGTGGGAGGCGGCGGCTGCTGATACTGTTGCTGGTATTGTAACTGCTGCTGCTGCTGCTGCTGCTGCTGCTGCTGCTGCTGCTGCTGCTGCTGCTGCTGCTGCTGCTGCTGCTGCTGCTGCTGCTGCTGCTGCTGCTGCTGCTGCTGCTGCTGCTGCTGCTGCTGCTGCTGCTGCTGCTGCTGCTGCTGCTGCTGCTGCTGCTGCTGCTGCTGCTGCTGCTGCTGCTGCTGCTGCTGCTGCTGCTGCTGCTGCTGCTGCTGCTGCTGTTGCTGCTGCTGCTGCTGCTGCTGCTGCTGCTGCTGCATGAGCATTGGTGGTCTACCAGACGGTGTCATGGGCCCATACCCTCGCCCTGGCGGCCCTTGATACGCCATCCCTTCACCAACCCCACTCCAGTTCCCGCTCCCACCCCCACCCCGCATCAAACCTCCCATCCCACCCCCATCCCCAACCCCAACCCCACGCCCATACCCGTATCCATACCCCTCCCCTGCATCACTCCCGTTCCCATATCCGCCTCTACCATTTTCAGAGAAATCAGTCTCACCATGTGCGCCCCCACCTGTATCCAGCTGTCTCGGTGGACCCGCCTTGCTCTTGTTCTTGCTCTGCTTCTTGCTCCCAATCCCATTCCTGTCCCCACTCCCGCTCCCGATTACGCTCCCGCCCCCGTTCACGTTCCGATTCCGGTTCCCCTCACCTTTCTGCTCCGCCCACTCACCCACCGCTCCGCCATTCCCCCCCTCCTCCCCACGCCCCGGCCCACCATTATACTCGTCATAACCCTGCTCGTTATAATAACCCCCCTCGTTACACTCACTCCGCACTGCCTCCTGTCCATAAACATCCCGTCCCCCCCCATAACTAGAATTCAACTGATGCGTATTCGACTCGTGACTACCCCACTCGTTACTCTCCCCAGAATATCCAGCCTCTGCACCATAATCCCCTCCTGCTTCGTATCCTCCCGCCCCTTCAACCTTTTCTCTGTCCATGTACCCTTGCATTTGCACCTCCTGCTGCTGCTGCTGCTGCTGCTCGTCGTAAGGCTGCTCGGCCCCTGCTGCGGGCTGTTTCTTCTTTATCTTTTTCTTCACTACCTTCTCCTTCACCTTCGTCTTCTTGCTCCCACTGCTCTTACCCGTCGCAACAGGGGAGCCCAAAGGGGGCCGCCTTGTGCTTAGCGGGGAAGGCGGACGGCCCGTTATGACTGACAGTGTCCCTGCCCCTCCTTCCGCCCCCCTTCCCCCTCCCCCTCCCCCTCCCCCTCCCACGCCCACGCCTCCTCCTCCTTCGCCCCACCCTCCTCCGTCTGCAGTCATGCTGCCTTCTCCCATCTCCTGTTGGGTCTGGCGTAGGGACACAGCGGGTTACCACAAGCGTGGTTGGATAGGGTTACCACAATGATGGCTCCATAAGGTTACCACAAACATGGTTGAATAAGGTTACCACAAGCATGGTTGAATAAGGTTACCACACAAGCATGGTTGAATAAGGTTACCACAAGCATGGTTGATTAAGGTTACGACAAGCGTTGAATAGGGTTACCACAATGATGGCTCAATAGGGTTATCACACAAGCATGGATGAATAGCTTACCACAAGCACGAATGGATAGGGTTACCACAAGGACGGTTGATAGCTTTTTACCACAAAAAGTGATCGTTCGAAACGATTTTAATTGATCAAAGTGGGGGAGGGGGAGGGGAATGGATAGAGGGCGAGAGAAGGCAGCACTGTAGGAAGCGAGGGTGGACTGAACGGGTTCACGCAGCAAATTGGGGTGGGAAACAGACCCCCAAAAAGGGGTGAGGGGTGGGTGGCGAGACGTAAAGCAAGTCATGCAGACGGACAGCATGCACACCACGCGCGGCAGCACAGCACATGCAGCGGAAGCAGCTTACCCGGTCGTCTTCACTGGATGAGATCGTGGGGAAACACGCGCCCACGGAGAAGGCGGAATTGTAGGACAAGCGGGTAGACTGAATGCACCCACAACATACCACATGCAGCACCGTAGGCAGCAACGTAGGCAGCTTACCCGGTCGTCTTCACTGGACGAGCTCGTGGGAAACACTCGCCCACACTCCGCCTCTTGCACGCCCATCCCAACGCTTGCCCCTCTCCCCCCTCCGCCCATTCCGCCCGCTCCGCCAGCCGTCCCCCGCCCCACACTAACGCCGATATCACTCCCGCATGAGGTCCCCGCGGGGTCCAGGGGCGGGGGGGAGCCGCAGCGGGTGTGCGCAGCAGGCGCGGTTGGCGGCCCGAACTCGCTCTGGCGGGCTTTCCGCGCGGCAATGGCGCGCTGCGCTGCTGCGGCCGTGTGCGCGTCCATTGCCTGCCTCGACCTCTGACCCACCGCCTGCTGCGCCGCTTGCTGCTGCTGCTGCTGCGCCGCATGCGCCTGCTCCAGCTGCTGCTGGTAGTACTGTTGTTGCTGCTGCTGCTGTTGCTGCTGAAGCTTGTTTTGACTGGGTGCCGGCATGGGCGGAAGCTGAAACCCTGAATGGTCGGACGAAGACGAGGGAGACACAATCGCCGCCTGCTTATACGGCGGCTGCTGCTGCTGCTGCAGCTGTTGCTGCTGCTGCTGCAGCAGCTGTTGCTGCTGCTGGTACTGCTGGTACTGCTGCTGCTGGTAGCTCCCCCAGCTGTCACCTCCCCCGCCTTGCCCCATGGGGGAAGGAAGCGGCGGCTGCCGCGGCGACGGCTGATAGCTCGACCGAGACCCACCGTGCCCCATCTCACCAGACCCCGGCGGTCCTTTACCAGCACCTCCTTTTGTATAAGCCTGATTAGGGTTAGAATACGGGTCCATATGCGAAAAGTCGTCTACGAAACCTTGCATCTGCTGCTGCTGCTGCTGCTGCTGTGGTTGCTGCTGTTGAGTGTGTTTGGATTTTACCTTTGCCTTTGCCTTGGGCTTTGTTTTCTGGACGGTCGGAAGCGAGTCCTCTGCCTCCATTCCCGACCATTGCGAACCGACTTCACTATAAGCGCACTCGTCATGGTACCCGTTCATTTCTCCCGCTCCGTATTGCTCGTTATTGTACGAAGGTTCCTCATACTGCGTCGAGCCCTGATACGGGACCTGCTGCGACCAGCCTCCGTAGCCGTCAACACTACCGCGGCCGTCAGCACCTCCTGCCGGTCCGTCTCTTCTGTCCGGACTCGGCCGGCCGCGAGAACTTTTCTGTGTTCCTTTGCCGGCGCCGTCTCTTATCAAATCGCTCCTCGTGCGTCGCACTTCAGGTGGGTTCGAGTCGGAATCGCTATGGGTCGCCTGACGAGTCGTCTCGCTTTGCGTGCGATTCACTGGCGGCGGAACGCCCCCCTCCGCACCGTACTCAACACCGTCGTCACCGTTGTCGTCACCGCCGTTACCACCGCCGGCGGCGTAAGCACTCTCCTCGTTCCAAACCACCGACTTTCCCGCCGCCGCGCTGCTCGCTCCACCGATGCTTCCTCCCCTCCCACGACTGCTGCCGCCTCCGCCGCCGCCGCCGCCGCCGCTGGCGTCGCTGTCGGCGAATTGAAACGAGGCAGACGACGACTGGGACGGAGTTTGTCGGCGAGTGGAGGACTTCAGAGAAGGCTTTAAGTTACGACTGGTAGATTCTGTGACGGAATTAGACGGCGGGAATGGTGACGAGGACTTGGAGCGATGAGGTTTGTCGGGTGCGGTTGTGGCTGGTTGCTGACGTGGCTGCTGCTGCTGATGGATTCTTCGGGTGGCCATGAATTAATGATTAGTATTAGTAGGAGCTGACAGCACTTATGGCTATATGCCGGAAATTATAACGACGTCAGTTCAGAGAGGGTCTGAAAAGATTGTCAGGTCAGTTCAAAGGAAGCCGACAAAAAAATAGCGGGAACAATCGCGACGCAGCATAGATGGTTTCGTTGCACCCAGACTTACGAGAGCTTAGGAAAACGGAAGACACTAGACACCAAGACAAAAGGAGGTTTCGATATTAGACAAGCACTAAGATCCGCAACCCGTGGCCGCTAGTAGAACTGTATTACAGCAGCATTGCTTTTCTGATGTTCATTTCCAACCGCTATTGCAACAGACTTCGCTTGTTGCGGGAGTGCACTGCACACAAATTAGTGCTGAGCCGACATGACGATTTCTGCGTCCCAGCCAAGCTTTTTGCGGCAACAGCAGCAGCAGCAGCATGGATGCAGGAAATGTAAATAATAACGAAACCACCAAAGCAATTGCAGTGTAGTCATACTGTCAGGCTTGGCCATCTTTCACACACCAAAGGAAGGCCAACGGAGGCATCCAAAGGCGAGGAATGGGTCGAGGCTAGGAACCCTGCCTGGACAGGGACATCGAGCGGTGACGTCATGGCCTGTTTCCCCTTGAGCTGCACGGATGGTGATTGGTGCTTAGCCTGGCTTGGGAGCAGGCCTGTCGAAGTTCCTGGGGCCCATACTTACGCTCCCCAGCTCCTCCCCATCTGACCCTGTTTTTGGTGTAGCTGAGCGTTTGGGCACCCTTAACGGTCACGGGCGCACCCCAAAGTGAAAACTTGAAATCCGGGCCTGTGAAGAGTTTGCACTTAGACGCTAAGGGAAAATTCGGGTGCTCGAAGCTGACTTAGACACTTTATAAACACAGGATTGGCTAGAAAACGCAAGAGAAAAAACTACTCCTCGCGTGCAACCTAAGGAGGAGGGGGGGGGGGACTTAGGCGCTAAAGAAAATTCAGGTTCTCCAAGCTGACTTAGACACTTTATAAACACAGGATTGGCCAGAAAACGCTAATAGGAAAAATCCACTCCTCTCGTGCAACCTAAGGAAAAAGAGGGAGGGGGGGGGGGCAGAATTCGGGGGGGAGGGTCTTACAACCGGAAACCAAAACTTTGAGACAGGGGAAGACCTGGTTTGGGTACTTAACGCATCCAGGGAAGGGTCGAACTAGGCACTTAGTGGCACGGGTGCTGTACGAATCAAGCACTTTATGCAGTCGAGCTGGAGCAAAAGTAACCCGTAATATTTAGGGCATTAATGGAATATGCCCTTGAATCGACAGGCCTGCTTGGGAGCCTGTTTGGTTTGCGTAAGTGGTTGGGTTTGGGGGCAACGTCGAGGTGAGGTGAGGGAGGTACGGACGGAAGGATACTCAAACGGTCGGTGATGTGATGAAAAATGGCAGAGGACACATGAGGACTAAGTGGGAAGGGGCGCCCGAAATGGTCCTCTTCCAAACGCGTACATTTCGCTTGACGTCGACCGTCACGATGTCGTCTACGATGTTCCTTCGCGTGTGTCCACTAGGATGAGTTGGATATTCGTCGGGATGCGATTGGATGCGATTTTAATGGGCAAGGAGGCGATGAGACGATATGATCTATCCATCCAAACCGAACAGTGCTGGAATAAGCACCCTTTATTTGTTTCACCAGTAAAACATAATACTGTACTGGTACTTCTCGCCACAGTATTGGATCCTGCCATTTACGCCACCAATATTGAGTCTAGAGAGGCGTAACCTCCACCAGGAGTGGACTTGGTAGAACTTGCTAAAACATTCATAGGTTTCTTCACTGGACATTTGGGTGATCCCCCGCAGCAGTACAACGGATCGTTGTCAGGGCAAAACGGTGCCAGGGTGGCTGGCAGGAAAGCTGGCCTAAGGCCCAATTGGCCCCCCGGCTTTCATCCAAACGAGACTCTGGCAGTTTCCGCAACCGCCACATCCTTGGGTGGCAAATGCTGCTGGTTCGGGAGGTGTCCTCCCAACTAAACCAGACAAGCTTGGTCCGACTTCCTTGACAACCTCCGCCTATCCGATGTTCTTGTTTGTCTACGGTGTGCCGCTAAATGTTGTCGAATTCATTTGAATCACACAGCGCCTTGTTATGATTCATTTAGAGAAAAATGGGATGATCAGTCTGATGATCATATTTATTTATGTGACAATCAGACGAATTAATCAGCACTTAGGGTGGTCTGATTGACTAGTCCTCCCCTTACAAACGAATGCCATCCTAGATCGTACAGACAGATATTAGAATCAACAAATTCAATCATATTTTTCTTTACACGCAGATAAAGAATACCAAGTTGTTCTCTTGCTGACAATTAATTTTAACGATTGCATCTCCATGCTTGGAGCTAAAGTTTCAATGGTAAAATGAGTAAAAGCTAGAACGATTGAGAAATATATGAAACTTTTCGAACTAGCATAAATCGTTTCAATATTTTCTGAAAGAAAGACACACATACGGCATGATCAATTCCTCATATGGACACATGTGGAAATCGTTGCTACCGTCTATACACTAACAGTCTACGTGTATTTGATGCGTGTTGTCCTCGTTCACCCCCACAGCAATCTCGAGAATTGATTCACCCATCCGCATCATCACCATCGATCAAGAATGATCCACCACCAGTGCGCTATGGCTTGATTTCGTTCATAGTCGCTTTCAGCGGCTCAACGCGCACGATGCCATCGGCTATTCGGAAAACCTGTAGATTTCTCAGTGTTTTAGCTTAGAAACTCGCTGGTTTGGAAGCTTGCAAAAGGACGCGCTTTGCAGCCTTCGCGAGCGCGACGGGAGTTGTTGCGGGATGAATAGCATGGGAACGGCGGGCTGATTCCGGCTTCTACAAGCGACCATATTTTCTTTGCTCCCCTGTTCAGTGTAATCAGTCAGCTTTTCTACTTGAGAATTATACTCAAACCATCCTTCCGCACTGCCAGATTCCGCGTTTGCAGATCCTTTCCCCGCTAGCCCCCCCTTCCCCGCACCCCCTCCCTCCTCCCTCCCTTCCACCCCCTCTTTCGTCTCTTCCGTTGTCCAATCATCAATTCGACGCAGTCTCAGTCAACTTTCAGTCACCGTCACAGTCACCGTCAGAGTCGCCGTTTCACTCAACAACGCCTGACATCGTAGCTCCACCACTCCACCAACGATGCCGCTGCGCGCCGAGTCTCGCTCCGCGCATGTGTCCGACGGCGCATCCGTCCACGTCACCAGCCCGCACCGCGCCATGCTCTCCTTCCTCTCTGGATCTACCGCCGTCGCGACCGCCACAGGCCGCAGCGCAGGCCGCAGCCGGCAGAAGAAGCTAGGTATAGGCGTGACAGGCGGCGTAAATTGCGGAGAGGAGGGATTGGAACTCGTTCCCCCACATGGCAGCAGCGCCGGTGCTGGTAACCCGATTTCCCACTCCTCCTGGCACTTAGCTAGAAGGGATCCTGGCCTAGGAGCCGGGTTAAGTGCCAGTGGCGGCAGCGGGTTTAGTCTAAGCGGCGGGAGTAGTTTCCACAGAAGCGTTGGGTTAGGGGTAGCAGGAGGGGGAGGGGGAGGAGGAGGCGGAGGAGGTGGGGGAGGAATTGGTATCGGTATTGGTGGTGGTGGTGTTGGTGGTGGTGGGAGCGGAGGAGGGGCGATGGGTATGCACAAGCTAGTTCAGAATGGGCTATCTACGCTAGGATCTTTGCTGCTGCTGGTACTGGTGCTGGGTCTGGTGGGGTACCAGGCGGAAATTCATGAGACTCTGATCCGGGAGACTGCGAGAGTGGGGGCTGCGGCGGCGGCGGTGGGTGGTGGAGGGGGTGCAGGGGACGGGAGAGGCGGCGGTGGTAGCAGCAGCAGTGCTTGGCCGATTGGGTGCCCTCTGCCTCTCACGACTGACCTTCCTAACAAGGTGGGTGGCGGTGGCCCTTTGAGAAGTCTCAGAAAATCACCAGCTAAGTGGGTGGCCCCTGCCACTCACGACTGACCTTCCTAACAAGGTGTGTGTGAGTGATGCGAGTTCTGAGATGTCTCAAGAATCGTTTCAAGAAGTTTCAACAAAGCAGCAGTGCTTGGCCGATTGGGTTCCCTCTGCCTCTCACGACTGACCTGCCTAACAAGGTGTGTGAGTGATGCAAGTGACACGAATGGACTTCCACCCCCCCTCCCCCCTTCTCCTGTTGTCCGGCTTAATGACACAGAGCCGCTTTCTGCTCCCCCTCTCCCCGCCTAGCCACCCTTCCCTCCCACCCAACCCTCTCCAACCTGTTTCCGTACTTGTGTGCCTGTGCGTGTGCCTGTGACTGCATGTGCTTGCGTCTGTGTGTGCGTGTGTGCAGACTCGTCTGGTGGACTCCCCACAGCCGTTTCAGCTGCGAGTCAAGCTGCTCGTCTCTTCCCGCAACGACCTAGCTTCCGTGTCTCGCACGCTCGCATCACTTGCAGCTGTTGATTATGACGGAGATATTGTTCGCCTGCATGTATTTGTGGACCACTTTCTTTATAACGCGTATGGAGGAGACAGAGGAGGGGGAGGGGGGCGGGAACGTGGAGGAGGAAGACAAAGACGAGATGATGTGGATGGGGATGCTGATGCTGATGGTGATGGTGATAGAGAGGGTGATGGTGATGCTACAGACAGAAGGAGCGATCGTGGTGTTGCAGATAAGGCAGAGAGACGTGCTCGGGAATTGAGAATACGAGTCGGAGAATCAGAAGAAGAATCAGAGGCGGGCAGTAAAGGCGACTCCATCAGTAGCAGCAGCAGCAGCAGGAGCAGCACCGCTGCTGCCAGCGCTGCCACTGCTGCCAGCAGTACTGCCGGTGGTGGTGGTGGTGGTGGTGACGGTGCTACTGGCAAGGACGGGGAGAGTGCTGCTGCAGAAGTGGCAGTGCGGTTGGCGAGGGCGAGGGCAGTGTTGGAGTATGTGGATGCCTTCCCATGGCCGCATGGGCCCAAGGACGTGCACTACAGGTACGCCCTTTTGAAACTTGGTGATTATTTTCACTTTCGGGTGCCGTGTAAGACCGTGGAACTTGTGATGTTTCTTCATTCACGCCCTCGTTCGCCCCCTCATCTCCCCTCCCTTTCTACCCCCAGGTCAGTGAGTGCAGGCGCACAGGCGCAGTGGGTGGAGGCGTGGTGGCCGGCATCGGACCACGAGTTTGCTCTGCTGCTCACCGACCGTGCGTTGGTGTCACGGCATCTGTACCGCTACCTGAGAGCGCTCGTCACGGCCGTGTATTTCCACCCGGATACTTCGGACCCTGCTGTGCTCGGCATGGCCCTCTCCCGCCCCGCCACCGTTGCCGGTAGGCTTTGAACGGAGGCAGGTGGGTGCTTGTAGCGCTGTTGGTGCTGCTGCTGCTGCTGCTGGTGCTTGTGCGCAACTGCTGCTGCTGGTGGTGCTAGTTCTTTTCTTGAGGCTCCTTAAGAGTGTCGCGGCACTGCTACCACTACTTGAGAGCGCTTGTCACTGCTGTGTATTTCCACCCGGACACCTCTGAACATGCTGCTGTGCTCAGCATGACCCTCTCCCGCCGCGCCACTGTTACTGGTAGGCTTGAACACAGGCAGGTGGGTTCTGGTGGTGGTGATGCTGTTGCTGCTGCTGCTGCCGCTGCTGCTGCTGCTGCTTACTCCTCCTTGCGCCGTCCCCATTGCCCTCCTTCCTACATCCACCAGGCAAGCGAGGGAACCAGGCTCTCCACTCCAACACTACGGGTCTTCTCCTCTCTACCGTGCCACTCATCCCCCTCACCCACCTGCTTCTCTTTCCCATGACCCACGCCACTAAATCCAGGATACCCCCTGTGGTGCGCGCACGTGTCGTGAGAATCTTCCTAATACATTCTACAACCGCAAGGCTATTACCAACTTCTCTTTTCTCCCCACCCTAACTCCGTGCCAACTTCTCTACCAGGCAAGAGAGGCAACCAGGCGCTACTCACCAAAACCACACGCCTCTTCCTCTACCGCGCCACAGACCCTCTCGCCCAGCTGCTCTTCCCACCTCCTCTAACTCTCTGCCAACTCCACTCTGCAACCCCCCTCCACTCCCACCAGGCAAGAGAGGCAACCAGGCGCTACTCACCAACACCACGGGTCTCTTCCTCTACCGCGCCACAGACCCTCTCGCCCAGCTGCTCTTCCCGCGGCCCTGGAAGGCCTTTCGCCGCTGGTACGACCAGCAGAGCGCCACAGGCGGGTCAGCAGCAGTCGAAGGCCTGGTTGCTGCGGCCGATGCGCCGTGGCAACGGCGGCAGCAGCGGCGGTGGGAGCAGCGGTGGGAGCAGCAGGGGCAGCGGGGGCAGCCGGGGCAGCGGTGGGAGTGGTGGCGTGGGGGAGATGATGTGGTGTGGACCCCGTGGGAGTGGGTGATGCGGTTTATGCATGCAGGGGCGTATGTCAACCTCTTTCGGGTGTTTCCCCGGGGAGGCACGCTGGCGGTTTCGCACGAGTGAGTGTTCTGTGCTCTGGTTTTGAGTCGACTCAAGAGCGCATGAGTGAGTGTTCTGTGCTCTGGTTTTGAGTCGACTCAAAAGCGCATGAGTGAGTGTTCTGTGCTCTGGTTTTGAGTCGACTCAAGAGCGCATGAGTGAGTGTTCTGTGCTCTGGTTTTGAGTCGACTCAGAAGTGCATGAGTGAGTGTTCTGTGCTCTGGTTTTGAGTCGACTCAAGAGCGCATGAGTGAGTGTTCTGTGCTCTGGTTTTGAGTCGACTCAAAAGTGCATGAGTGAGTGTTCTGTGCTCTGGTTTTGAGTCGACTCAAAAGCGCATGAGTGAGTGTTCTGTGCTCTGGTTTTGAGTCGACTCAAGAGCGCATGAGTGAGTGTTCTGTGCTCTGGTTTTGAGTCGACTCAGAAGTGCATGAGTGAGTGTTCTGTGCTCTGGTTTTGAGTCGACTCAAGAGCGCATGAGTGAGTGTTCTGTGCTCTGGTTTTGAGTCGACTCAAGAGCGCATGAGTGAGTGTTCTGTGCTCTGGTTTTGAGTCGACTCAAGAGCGCATGAGTGAGTGTTCTGTGCTCTGGTTTTGAGTCGACTCAAGAGCGCATGAGTGAGTGTTCTGTGCACGCGTGAGTTGGCCCGGCCCAAAGCTCAGTAACCTGTTTTTGAGTCGACTCAAAAACAAACCTTCGCTTCCTGCTTCCTTTCTTCCCTTCTCTCCCTGCCCCCGTTCCCGCCCACCCCTCTGGTCCGGCTTGCGAGCTCTCTTTCTTTCAACCTGCATTTGTCAGTTCACTAGCGCAATCACCACCTTGTGGCTGAATGCGTTCACTGCACTGCATGACCATATGTGCATGTGCATGTGCATGTGCATGTGCATGTGCATGTGCATGTGCATGTGCATGTGCATGTGCATTGTATCACATCGCATGGCATGCAGGGACATGGATTCGCCATACACAGGAACAGCAGGCATGGTATCGGAACTCGTGAGCGACGAGGCAATGGCGCAGGGAGGAGGAGGAGGAGGAGCAGGAGAAGGAGGTGGTGGGGGAGGGGGCGGAGGAGGGGAAGAAGCAATGGCAGCGGCAGCCTCGGATGACACATGGTCCTTCCCACCGCTCCGGAAGCTGCGTCGCTTCGACCCCTGCTTCCAGGTGAGCCGGGCCTGTGATGTGACCACATGTGACATGTGACGCTGCCTGGCCGGTTGGTGGAGTGGAGTGCTGTTGAGATGAGACGTCTCAACAGTCGCAAGCTGCGTCGTCGCTTCGACCCCTGCTTCCAGGTGAGCCGAGCCTGTGATGTGACCACATGTGACGCTGTCCTCTGCGTTTTAAAGTTTTGAGACGCCTTGATACTCGATACATGCGACTGGATTTTGATTGAGTCGTCGACTCAAAAGTCAAGCTGTGTCGCTTCGATCCCTGCTTCCAGGTGAGCCCGTGGCATGTGACACTGGCCAGTTGGTGGAGGGGTGGGGAGGGGAGTGGAGTGGAGTGGAATGGAGTGGAGTGGAGTGGAGAGGAGTGGAGTGGAGTGGAGTGGAGTGGAGTGGAGTGGAGTGGAGAGGAGTGGAGTGGAGTGGAGTGGAGTGAAGTGGAGTGGAGTGGGGTGGAGTGGAGTGGTGGAGTGGAGTGGAGTGGAGTGGAGTGGAGAGGAATGAAGGCTTCATAGTCACCCTTCATCCTTCACTTCCTCCTCCCCTCTCTTTCCATCCCTCACGTCTCACCATGTCTCTCATGTCTCTCCTCGCCTCTGCTGGTTGGCTTGGCTGGCATCATGTCTCTCACATATGTGATCTATCAATCGTGCGGTCTCTCCCCTTCCTTCTTCCCCTCCCTCATCCGTGCTTTTGAGTCGACTCAAAAGCACCTTTGCTGGTTGGCTGGCATAATGTCTCTCATGTCTGTGATCTATCAATCGTGCGGTCTCTCCCCTTCCTTCTTTCCCTCCCTCATCCTCTCTCCCGTCTGCTGCTCCACTCCCCCTCCCTCCTCCCCTCTCATCCGCTCCCTCCGCTCCATTCCCCTCCCCTTTCCCCCATCTGTCTCAGGAGTTCTCCTCCTCTCGCCTCGCTCGCAGCCCAGAGGACATAGCCCCTCTGCTGGCCTCAGTTCACCGCCGCTCCACCATCGTCCTCGTCAACGCGCTCCACTCCTCCGCACCCTCTCCCACCACATTCCACTCCTCGCCTTCCTCAACTGCTCCCAGTTCTTCGGTCCCTTCGGTCACTCCACCCGCTTCCCTTGATTCCTCCGCTTCCCCTGCTACTTCTCCTGCCTCTCCCGCACTCTCTTCCTCTTCCTCCGAAGCTTCGTCGCATCCTCCTCTCGATCCCTCATCTGCATTATCATTATCACCTGCATCCTCATCCACCTCATTCGCGCTAGACTCCCCTGGTCTCGACCCACTACTGGCGAACTGGCTGTGCCGTGCTGCTCGCCTGCAAGTGTCCAACTACGTGGTTCTGCTGGATGATGGGCCGCTGGGGATGCACCTCACGCGGCAAGGCCATGCCGTCATGCAGGTATGCGTGTGTGTGTGCTCAATGTCACGTTGCCATCGAAATGTGTGATGGAAGTGTGCTCTTTGCCTACCTCCAGGGCCCAAAGCTCCTCTCTTTCTACTCTCACCTTATGAGGCGCCTCAAAAGTTGATGCAGGTAAGCGTGTGTCTGTGCTCACTCCCATGCGGCCTTCCAATCCAAATGTGTGATGGAAGTGTGCTTTTTTCCTACCTCCAGGGCCCAAAGTTCCTCTCTTTCTACTCTCACCTTATCTCCTCCCTTCCTTCACCCACCATCCCCAACCTTTCTAGTACACTTTTTTCCATCCCTCCCCTCCCCATCTCCTTCCCCCACGCTCGATCCTACTCTCCCCCATTGTCACTTCCCGCCCGACCTTCCCCTCCCCTGACACCACCCTCCTCCACCCCTTCTTACGCGTGCAGCTGCAGCAAATCCAGGAGGCAGCAGATGAGAGGGAGTCTGCAGTCATGCTCGAAGGCAGGGGACAAGACCCTTCACTCCTAATCATCTCCCCCACACTCGACCCCTCTTTTACCCCTCTTTGCCACCCTTTTCTTGTACCCACAGCTGCAGCAAATCCAGGAGGCAGCAGATGAGAGGGAGTCTGCAGTCATGCTCGAAGGCAGGGGACAAGACCCTTCACTCCTAATCATCTCCCCCACACTCGACCCCTCTTTTACCCCTCTTTGCCACCCTTTTCTTGTACCCACAGCTGCAGCAAATCCAGGAGGCAGCGGATGAGAGAGAGTCAGCAGTCATGCTAGAGGGCAGGGGGCGAGCCCCTTCACGCAAGGTGGTGGGTCGGGTCACCTTGGAAACACCTGATTCGCTAAAGTCATTGCCATTGTACGGAAACTCACATTCGCTTAGATCCCTGAAGTCCCTTGGGAATTCCGCGAGCTACCACAATGCGGGCAGAACTTCCCGGGATTCTGCAGGGCAAGCGGGAATGTCGGGAATGCTGGCACGAGCACACGGGCTTGGGTCAACTGTCGTATCGTCACAACAAGGGCCGAGACCTCCCTCTCTCGCATCTGCGTCAGCACAAAGGTCGAGAGTGTTACTGTCGCAAAGCTCGCGCGCTGTCCCGTCACAAGCATCTCGCAAAGCCGAGGAGAAAGGGCAGGCAGGGTTGGGTGAGGAGGGGGACAGACCTGTTCGGCTTGCTTCTACCGGAGGAGCTGGTGTCGGTGTTTCCGCGATTGAAGCAGAACGCTCGACTGTTGCTGCTGCTGCGTTTGCTGCTGGTGCGGATTTTCCTGGTGTTCCCCCATTGGGCGAGGGTGTTGGTACGGCACAGGGGGAAGCAGCAGGTGTGGATCTGATTGCGGCTTCTGCTGCTGCTGCTGCTGATGGTGGTGATGGTGGTGGTGATGGTGATGGTGACGGTAGTACAGTTGGAAACGGAGAAGAAAATGGGGACGGATTGACAGGGGAGGAGTATGGGGATGATTTGGCAGTGTGGGAGGCGGCAGGTCAGGCATTGGAGCGGCAGAAGCTGTGGCTAGATGGCGTGCATTCCGCCATACAGCTAGGGTATCACGTTGTGCTTGCTGATCCGCGCTCTGTGTGGCTCTCTGATGTCTCTGCTTCTCTCGCTGATGCTGCTGCCGCTGCTGGTGCTGGTGCTGGTGCTGCTGACGGTGCAGGGCCGAAGGGTGAAGAGGCGGATGTTGTGGGAGTGGTAGTTGTAAGAGAGGCAGAGGACGGAGGAGCAGAGACAGGAATAGGAGATGGGAGTGAAGGAAGAGCAGGTGGGGATGCGGTATCAGGACCTGCAGGCAAAAAAGCGGTGGTTGATGTGGAGAAAGGTGAAACGAGGCTGAAGGGAGTAGAGGGGGTAAAGGGAGAGAAGGGGGTGGAGGGACCAGAGGGAATGGAGGAGGTAAGTGAAAGAGGGGTGGTAGAGGTGAGGAACGCAGGCAGTGTGGGAGGCAGGAAGCGGGTGGATGCAGGTCAATCTGAGAGGGAGGAAAATGGAGAGGGGCGGGGATTAGCGGGCAGCGGAGAGGAGAACGAAGAGGCACGCATGGTTCTTGAGACTACAGGGTTTGTAACACAGTCCGCTACTCCTAGCTCGAATGCGCACGCTCATTCCCGTTCTCGTGCTGGTGCTGCTGGTGGTGCCGGGCGGGAGTTGGTAAGTAGTGATGGTGATGTGAGCAGTGCAGCAAGAGCCATGGACCAGAAAAGAGACAGCGAAGGAGACGAGGGCGAGGGTGCTGGCAGCAGCAAGAGCACCGGCAGCAGCAGCAGCAGCAGCAGCAAAATTACCAGCGGCAGCAGCAGCATCGGCATCAGTCCTGTGAGTGACGGAACAGTGGATTTGTCAAAAGCGGTGGAGCAAGGAGGCGCGCTGTCTCTCACGCTGCTGTATCTGCGCAGTTCAAAGGCCACAGAACGCATGTGGGCTGCTCTCATGGCGTCCCACGAGAAACACATGCAGCGACTGCAAGCAGCCAAGCCTCCTTCCACCTCCCCTTCCTCCACCTCCTCTTCCTCTTCCTCTTCCTCTTCCTCTTCCTCTCCCTCCTCATTGTCCTCTGCTTCTCCTGGGAATGCGTCAGCTGCTGCTGTGAACGATGCAGTGGGAGAGGAGGGAGGGGGAGGAGTCAGTTCCTTGCTCCCACCACTCTCGTCACAGAAACAGGAACTTTTCAAAGTAGAAAGTGCAGCAAGAGAACAGACCAACCCCGCCACCACCACCACCACGATAGTTGGAGGGAGAGGAGGTGCAATAACACAGGATGTGGTGGCGAAGAGGTGGGGCGTGGGGTGGGATAGACTGGGCCGGTCAATGCTCCAAGCAGCCAAGGCCACTGGTGTTGTTGTCAGGAGCTTTCACCCCGACGCTGTTGTTGCACTGTCTCAGTACCAAGCCCTGGTTTTGGAACAGCAGCAGCAGAAGCGGCTACCCTCGGAGCAAAATGAAGAGGAGGATGGGGCGGAGGTGGGAGGAGAGGAGCAGGAGGCAGAGCTGGAATCAAAATCCCGCCGAGGATTACAGGAGGGCAGTGGTGGGGCCAACAACATTGGTAACACAGAAGAAACAAGATTACCAAAACAAAGAGCTCATACTGGCAATGCAAGTAGCCTGGAAGCTGGGCCTCTTTCTACAGCCAGCCTCACAGGCAGTAGAAGCGACAGGTCCGCAGCTGCTGCTGCTGCTGCTGTTGCTGTGGTAACACTCCCAGTACCGACACAGCCTAGCACCGCAGGGAAATCTAATACGCAAAGGGGGAAGAGGGCAGGGGGGTCATCGGTTCTAAGAACGCTAAGTGCTGCAGACTTGTGGGAGGTGGATGAGGACTTGGCGTGCAGAGAGGTGGTATGCACTCCTGTGCCCTCATGACAGTGATACTGGTCGGCTTGAGAAGGGAACTGTAACAGCATTTTATCATCATGCATGTACAGTGTACACCATTGCAATACCATGCTCATTTGAGCAGTAATTTCCATTACTCACAAGTCTGTTGCCTGCCATGCCATGATGCCATCATAAACACATCTTGGTCACAGTAAACCATTGGCCTTCCCACCCACCCATTTACGGTACCTGACATCTCTGGAGTGAACAGTGAACACCTACCTGCGTGAATCCATGCGTATTGGCTGGCTCATAGATTCATCAACCATACACTCCTCATACCGTACTACCACTACATGACATGAGCTTGCATATAGTAAGTCTCTCTCTGTCCCGCATACTCATCAACCATGCAAGTCTCTCTCTGCCCCTTGAACTGGAGCCGCTACTTCACAAATATACCGTTGTGTGCTCCTAGTCTGACCTCACTCAGTCATACTAGTTTCCCTCTGCATCCAATCCAACCCACGATGTACACCAACCAACGTTCTTTAGTCATGTACTGTGTAGTACCATAAGAGCCACATGCATCTCACCCAATCTTCGATATCAATCAGCACTAGCTGGAATACTGTAGGGAGTCAGGAAAAGCTTTTACCGGCACGGGTAAATGAAACACACCAAATTGGTGCCCTTTTAACGAGCTGTGTACATATAAAAAGTGTTAGCAGAGACACTAAAACTATATCTCCTCTCCACTCCAGCCATACATGCACAGATAAGCGCATGCATTTGGGTTGAAAACATCCATGCAAAACTGACGCTGTATTCCCACCTACCATATTCCCAACTGCTGCTCACTAACTAGAGACACGTGCACTTGCAGCAGCAGCAGCAGCAGCAGCAGCTAAAGAGCAACATCACCACTAACACCACCACCAGCAGCAGCCTTAGCTGCTACTAGTCCTCCTAACTGTGACTTGCTAAATACAAGCTGCTGCTGCTGCCAACCACCACCGACCGCCACTACGCAATCCCGCATTACAAAAACCCTCTTGATGCTCATGCCATTGCTGCTGCTCCTCCTCCTCACTTTGCCCCACTATCCTCCCCACTTCTCCTCGCCCCCATTTAGTCGAGATCAGCTACATGCTGGGTGTGTCCCACCAAGGAGACCACTCATCTATCTTCACAGCAACCAGCAGCCAGAGCAGTAGCTCAGGACAACACCACCCACTTCTACCTGTATCTGTACCCTATATGGGGGCCGACTAACTATCCGCCACTACCCTGCCGCTGTCTCGTGTCCACTGCTGCTGCTGCCGCTGCTGCTCCAGACCCTAAAAAAGCATCCGTTGTCACACAGGCAGCGAAACAGGCTGCCTTGTCCTCCTTCCCCCCCGCACACGACTACACCGATTCCATTTTTTTCCACCTCTCTTCTCTCATTCTTTCTCCATCTCTTTCTCTCTCTCTCCCTTGCTTTCCAGGCACCTTTGAGCGAGGTGCCGCCTACTCTTCATTCATACAACCTTCATGAACCATCTCTCCCTCCCAGGACGCTGTTTCATGGAGCTACGTGCATGCGTGCAATGCCCCTTTCAAGGGAAGCACAACACGCCACAGCACCACGCTGCACCGCACAGCACCGAACAGCACCGAACAGCATGCCTCACAGCACGTGCACATAGGGTGAACCGGATCCTGCTGAAACTGAATCGTCCTCATACCCACGCGTGTTGCTCTTGCTGTATGGGAACATATTTTCTGCCGAAGGGAAAGGAAGAAGAGGTGGGGGTGGGGGAATGGAAAGATGTGATGGGATGCAAAGACTAACGTGGGTGCACCACAAATGAAACAAAAAACGCGGATTTGAGGAAAAGTGAAGCACATGAAGGCAACCTGGGGGTTTTTTAGGCTTTTGAGGCGCTCCAAGAAAAGACATGCGAACCACATGCATGTAACCAGTGTTGAAGTCCAAAAGGGCAGTGCGGGGAATCCAGAGTATTGTGAAAACATTTGGAAGAAAGAAAAACGGAAAAATAAAACAAAGGGAGAAGGTTTCACAAGCAACCAGAGAGAAAAATAGAGAAGAGGGGAGGGCGTGCGTACGATGCATGAGCTCTCTGTCTGAAAACACCATCTGCCTGCACTGCTTTCTTTTGAGAAGGCTTAGAAATCAGAGAGAATATCTACAAGGCGGGGAGGGCACGTACGATGCATGAGCTCGCTGTCTGAAAACACCATCTGCCTGCGCTGCTTTCTCCGCCACACAAACACGCCTCCCGCCACCAGCAGCGCCACACCGCACAGCACCGCAATCACAATCCCCACCACTGCTCCCGTGCTCAGCCCACTGCTAGACGAGGCCGGCGTGGGGGCCGGCGGGGGGAGCGGAATGGCCTCAAACGTCCCGGGCGGGGCAGATGCAGCAGCAGAATCGCAGGATTGGAGTCCATCCGTGCCACAGAGGTAAGGGTTGTTGGCGAGGCTGTATGGGCATGGGGGGGGCGGGGTGGGGGGGAGGGGGAAGCGTGGGTGTGAGGGATATCAGGGCAGTAGTAGGGAAATATCAATTGCAAGGGAACAGGGCAGTTGGGGACCGATAGTGGTGTTGAGATTCGCTGCCAGTATTTTCTGGGCGAGGGAGGGAAGACTGGTTACAAGCAGAGAGAAGATGTGCCTTTGTATGGGAGTGAGGGACAAGGGGAAAGGAAGTATGTCAGCATGCCAGACATGAACCCTGTGTGTTCATATCTGTGAATTCTTAGGAGAGAGAGGAACGGACCTAAGAGTGAGACCGGAGGGAGCGGGCACGGGACCCTGGGGAACACCGGCCAGCGCATTGTCGTTGTGCAAGTGTTTTGAGACGTCTCAAAACACTTTTTCATATACGAGAGGGGAACGGACCTGAGAGTGAGGCCGGAGGGAGCTGGTACGAGTCCCTGGGGAACACCGGCCAGCGCATTGTCGTTGAGATAGCTGTGATGAGCGAGAGAGAGAGAGAGAGAGAGAGAGAGAGAGAGAGAGAGAGAGAGAGAGAGAGAGAGAGAGAGAGAGAGAGAGAGAGAGAGAGAGAGAGAGAGAGAGAGAGAGAGAGAGAGAGAGAGAGAGCATACAGACAAGCGCACGCACGCACGCACGCGCGCCCACACACAGTCGCACAAACCACACACACACGCAGGGAGAGGGAGAGGGAGAGGTGGAGAGGTGGAGAGGTGGAGAGGGGAGTAAGGGGTGGAAGACAAATGAGACAAAAGGACGGTAGCAAGAGAAGCCAGGTATGAACAGAGAGCTTGGAAGGAGCTGACTTTTGAGTCGACTCAAAAGTAAGGGGTGGAAGACAAATGAGACAAAAGGATGGTAAGCAAGAGCAGCACAGGGACGAACAGAGAGGTTGGAAGGAAACACAGCCCACACGTTCCGCCCCGAACAACCCATATTCCCCGGATACTCACAGTAGGTGGAGGGATGGCATGGTTGCGATCCCAGCAGGAATGGAGCCGTCCAGCTGATTGTGTGAGAGGTCCCTGCCGCGAGGAGGAGCGAGCGAGAGAGAGAGAGAGAGAGAGAGAGAGAGAGAGAGAGAGAGAGAGAGAGAGAGAGAGAGAGAGAGAGAGAGAGAGAGAGAGAGAGAGAGAGAGAGAGAGATAGAGAGAGAGAGAGAGAGAGAGAGAGAGAGAGAGAGAGAGAGAGAGAGAGAGTGGGTGGTGGGTTGGGGACGAAAGGAGACAATACAATGAGAACAGCAGCAGCAGCAGCAGCAGCAGGGTTCAGCAAATCGCCCTGAATAGAAGTGCGAGAGTGGTGTGAAGAAGCGGTTCCCGTGATTACAAGCACAGCGGTACACGTAAAACACGTAAAGCGCGTAAAACGCGTAAAGCACAGTGGACGTACAGCGAGGCGAGGTGGGGGAGAGAGGTGATGGCGGCAGGAATGGGTCCCGTGAGTGCGTTCCCGCTCAGGTTCCTGCCACAGCAGCAGCAGCGCCAACAGCATCAGCACCAGCAACAGCAACAGAAACAGAAGCAGAAAACAAACAGCAGCAGCAGCAAAAGAAACATAAACAGAACCACAGAAATGGATTCAAATTCAGATGCTTAGGAGAGCGTGCTCAGTGCACGCGAGACGACACCCCCCATGCAACATACCACGGTCACGCGGCTCGGCCCCCTCACACACATGCACACTCACAGAGAAACAAGAGATGTCAGTTGCGAAATGGCAGGCGGAAGAGTGCCGTTCAGAGCGACGTTTGTCAGCGATCTGCACTCAGTCAGAGGCACAAGCCAACGCAGGAGTGGGAGACAAGTCAAGCAAGGGAGAGGACGGAGGAGGCAGGGAGAGGAATAAGCGACAACCACCGAGGGAGGGCAGAGGAAAGAAAGAAGCGCCACAGACAACCCGCCACGCCCCACTTCCCCTTGCCCTTTCACCTCAGGCCCCTAATCATTGGGAAAGTTATCTCCTTCCCCTCTCCTCTCCCCTCCTGCTTTCCCCCCACCGCCTGCATGCCTTCAAAGCCCCAACGCCCCAACCCCCCCACATCCCAAGCCCCCCACGCCTTCCGTGCGTACCACCTAAGCCTCGCCCATGGCGTCTTATGCTTCTCAACCTCCCAAGCTCCCACCGTCCCAGCTTCCCAGCTTCCCAGCTTCCCAGCTTCCCAGCTTCCCTCCTCCCCCACCCCTCCTCCCCCACCGCTCCTCCCCCACCGCTCCTCCCCCACCGCTCCTCCCCAGCCCTTTTTTCCCAACTCCTCATTCCGATCTCAACCTTTCCAATCACGTACATGATCTCAACCTGCGCCTCGCCCATGCTGTCCACTGTGCAGTTGACACCTGTCCACGCGAGCGGGAAGCACGGGTGCCCCTGCCAGCTTAGCGACTCGGGCACCTGCAGCGCGCGCTTAATCTCCGTCATAGCAGCCACTGAGGGGTGGGGAAAGCAGGGGGGAGCAGGGGGGCATACGGGGGAAGGAAGGGGAAGAAGGGGAGGGGGAGAAGGGAAGGGGGAGGAGGGGAGGAAATGGCGATAGGACGGTG